AACGAAAAACTGTTAATTAAAACTGTATATTGTGGGGATTTATTTATTGTTGCAGCTGTATAATAAAGACGAAAATAACGCCTCATATACGCGATGGTGACAAACGTAATTCCGTCGACCGTGTAGTATGTTTGCAAACAGCGATGAGTATATATTGAACGAAAATAGACGTTGGCGTCAAAGTGCCAACTCTTCTATTGCGGAAACAGAAGTGAAGAAAAAGTCGACTCTCATTTAATCAACTTGCAGTCGCTGATGATTTATATCTGAGATAGTCTGTCAAAGAGCTCAGAGAAAAAAAACCGCAAAGAAAGACTTTGTTTGTAGTACAATATAAACGAAATATATAGAATTATGCACACATATATACGTCTTGGAGAGTGTATATACTAAATACATAGTGAATAGAATCGTATCTGGTGCACTATGCACATTACATACCATGTATAAACATTATTGTATGGTAACGTACATATATAAGTGTAAATATATATGAATATATGTATTTATATTCATATAAATATAGATATTCATATGTTAAATAGAACTGTTAGTGTTCCCTTTTTTTTACTTTTTTTTTATTTTTTTCCATAATACGTGCACATGCCGAGATCTCACAATGAAGCCGCGAGAAAAGCCAAACTGACGTCTACCCTCTCTATTCCGCTTGACAACAAACATATTCAGCTTATATTGCAAAATATACAGTTGGTTGTCTGTAAAGGATTTGTAATCTATAGAGCGGAAAGTTGGAGAGGACATTTTACCCTATTGTCCTTATACTAGTGAGGTCGGAAATATACAAATTAGGCTGAAAATGTATCTCTTTTTCAGTCAACTGCCACTTAGTTTGTCTATGCTGTACGTTTTATTGTAATTTAGACATTTTAACCGATGTTGTCGTCTACAAATCGATTAGGCTTAATTTAAAAGTCTTGAAAAAACTTTCATCGAAAGCGAAAATCCCTTGTTTGCTTTGGTGATAAACAGTCTCGCCTTATAGCGATTTTCCTCTTTTTACATAGTGCTTCTATCCGAAACTTACTAATCTTCAAGACTAATCTTATTCCTCCCATAGAGTACAGGATTTTTATAAAAGAGAACGAAAATCCTTCGAAGGATAAAAAGTAACCTACCGACTGTAAGAGAGCATTTAGCGGCATTAGACGCTCGAAAGGCTAACAGGAGAAGCAATTTGGGAAGAATTCGATGGAATTGCATGTCTTCAGTCACGTTCCATCTCTAAATGAACAAGCAGACATCTCTCCCTTATATGTGAACATCCAATGAGCTTAAGAGCTGCACACAGTTGTGACGTCATCAATTTCTTAAGTTCCGTCTGGGTTAATCTAAATCGAAGTTTATTTGTTTCCTTAATTGAATATTCTTTTGCACTTAATAAGAAAGAACAAATAGAAAATCTCACCTTCGAAAATGTCGAAATAAATTACATTGGATAAACTTATCTATAAATAAACAGGCGCCGGTCCAAATTCCACATACAAAAGAGACTTTTTCACGGGTTCGTCGTTCGAAATGAGCTGGAAACGAAACGATCGCGGTCACGTGACCAATATCTATCACGTGATTGCCAACGGGAACGTTTGTAAGTCGTCTCCTTTCCTAGCCCGCTTTTTCCGTCTACCCCTTACAACCCCCCTTTACTGCTCTTTCTCCCCCCTGCACTCGTTTCCTCATTCTTTCCTCTCTGTATGTACAAAGACCAAATTAATAATGCTACTCTATCCTCCTGCCACCCATTCCAACTGCCCATTCCACTATTTACGTGTCTCATTTATTATAATGAACATTATATTTACTGATATATAATTTCTCACTATTATAGGTTTAAGATTACAATAGATAGGTCGCACCTCAAGCGTCTCTAGATCTGCTTATAATAACCAACGTAGACGTCTCTCGGGCAACCCATTAGACGCCTCGTTGAATTACTTTAAAAGTTCGTTTTTACTTGTGCCAAGGAGTAAAAGGTACGAAGAGATGCAGAAAACAGCGTTACCTACTTATCTCTATCAATTATTTATAGGCTAATCAAGGCATATTCCCTGCATCTTAGTGGATGGTAAAACGTGCCAGATTTAGCAGCAATTTATGATTTACAAAAAGAAGTATAGAGCTAATTTGGACTCGATCTTATGTATTTGTGATCTCCTTCTAATGTATACGTGATAGAGGACAAGCTACTAGAAAATTAAATGAGCGTATCTTGGAAAGGAAGCCTTTCCTATTTTTTGATAAGTTTAGTTTCGGGAACACCTGGGACTCAGCCTAAAGAGGGTGATAAGCAAATCTCAGAATTATACATGGTCTTCACTTTCGCCCTTATCCACCGATTACCCTTCTTAGGCCTGTAATCTAGCCAGAATGGATGATTGCGGAAGCATGGAAAACTGAATTAGTTGGAAATGGTAGATAGATGGCAGCATTGTCGACTAATAGTCGATATAAGCGTGCGAGGACATCTGTTCGATAAGAGGTTGTAAAAGTATTAATTTTCAGTAAAAACTTTCTCCCGCCAAACTACAAACAGGAAAGAACAACGAAAGAAAAAAGGCTCGAAAACTGACCTACATGTGAGAAAACATACATCGCATACCGAGATCGAATGATTTAAGTAACACATCAATCGAATAGCGCGCCGGGCTCTACACGTATCGCCTATCACTCGACCAAACTCGTCTTATCTAGTCTTATCTACACTCGCGTAATCGTGCTCTATGCTCCCTGTCTCTTGAGGTTGTTCTCAGTCGATTTGTTGGCAATCTTAGAAAGGTGGCGGCAAGATCTGAACAGATTATTAGATAATTCAGAAAAAGAGAAGAGATAAAGAAGAGTGTTAAATCGGGCAATATATATATATATATATATGATAGTAATATGCCCAGAAGGAATTGTTGACACTAATGAAATAGTAATTATCCAGAAAGCAAAACATAATTAAGCAGGTGCGCTTCATTAATAATCACCATTGGGGGTTTTTGTAGATTTAGTGGCTTTTTAGCGGACGCTTCGGGATTCCCCAACAAATTTGGGTTCCGTATGTTATTTGCCACTTTACTTTCTATTTATGAACGTATTAAATCACAACATTTTAAGGGTCTAGAAATTAATTTATAACCCATTTTACCCAGATTTTTATTTATTCGAATAAATTCACTACGACGACAGTTAGCTATTATCTTACAGTAAGTTAAAACTCTTTGCATTCAATTACGCAATATGTCTTTTTACTGGTAAAGTTCAACTGTTTATGTAAATTCTATTAGATTATTTATTAAAGAGTGAAAGTGAAATAAAAATCGTGAGACTGATAAGATATAAATCTACTTTAAAGTTTATTGGAAATGGCGCCTTTAATAACATATTTTTCCATCTGTCAGATAATATCTGTAATAGTGTCGAAAGTCACCCGACAAACGTCAGGGCGAGCTAAATTTTGACAAATGAGGGCGCCTTGCAAAACCTGGCAAACGTACGCGCATATTATCCGTCTAATGCGAATTTACTATATCATCCTAATTCTATCTTTCTTTCTATCTGTTTGCCTTTTTTGTTCCATTTTCCCCTAATCAAAAAATATAGATGTACTTCATACTTTTGCGTCGTTTTTACATCGTTGGCGCAATGTCCTCATTGCCCTCCTATTCCCCCTTATCATCGTCCGCGTCATCCTTTCCCTCCTCCCCAGGATATGTTATTTATATTGTTTTTACTATTATTGTTATTCTTATTTTTATTGTTATTTTTATTATTAATTTCTGTTGTGTTTTTATTCTATTCTATCTTCTAAATCCTTCTTTTCTGGTTTTTTTTTACATGGTCAGCAAAGTTTTCTTTTCTCAAACTTTCTCCATCTTTTTCTCCTCTCTTCCTTTTTTTTAGTTTTCTTTTTTTTTAAATTTTATTGCGCATTTATCCTATAAAAGTTCAACGTACATCGCATTAAAGGGTAATAGTATCTTCTTCTTAACAGTTTATTGTCAAATATCGTAAAGAAAGCTTGTTTATCATTGTTAGTAAATATATTGAAACATATAAAAGATATATATGTATATATTAAGCTATTCTCTTTAAGTAAATATATCGATAAGAAAGAAAAAGAAAAGATTGTAACAATACCAAAATTCAACTTGTAGAAGTCTACTTTTGTGTATAAATAGAGTGTAAAGTATATCTCCTGTTGCCTTGTAATTTAAATAGACATTATCGAGTAAAGAATCCAATAAAACCTATTAAACACCGTATAATGATGCGTATTTAGAATGGCAAACAATAGAAATTTGAACATAAATTTACTACTTTCTTAGACAAACAATTTTCGTATCGTCTTGCTTTTCTTTTATTTTATTTTTTTACTTAACTGCAAAAACCAATAGAGAACACTTTCCAAAAAAAAAATCTTCTATTCTAAGCTTATTTTCAATAACAAAACGAAAAAAGTCTATAATTAATCAAAATCTATTTCTTATCCTTTATCTAATTGGTCCGGTCTGCTAGAGCTATCTTACGGATTGTTTCGAATGAATAATGAATTTTGTTGGAATGCGCTAACTTAATCGAAACTTTTATCTTTGAAGGACGCTTCTTTTCTCTTCGAAGGTTTGTCTGAGAAAAAGATGGGAGAATAAGTTTTAGTATCAAAATAACAATCATCTAGGAAGTTGTTACATAGTTTTCATTTGGCCTAATTATGTATTTTAGAAAGAGATAATGATGATTGAAAAAAAAAAAAATTTTTTTTTGGGCGACTTCAATAACCAATTTGAGAACACGTTATTACGTGACTTGTAAAAAGATATATAGCTATATTCGAGCGTTTTATGAAACAGCAAACATACAGCACACAACCTACCACAGCGAGTCGTAATTTAATCCATCCTTCAACACTATCCAGCTGTTTGCACCAAAAGTAGGCGTGGCTAAGGATAAAAACTCACCAATCAGAAATGAACCAAACTAGCTTTGTCTCTTGTGTATTTGCATTCGTTCGTGAGACCTATTCGAAAAATGACCGATCAACAATCCAACTCCGATTCGGATTCTGAAATCGACATTGAAGCTGATTTTGAAGAACATACATTTTCATTAACTGATGGTGGAAAGGAACAGAAAAAGAGGAGGATATTAAGGACTCCAAAATGTGCTAGATGTAGAAATCACGGTGTCGTGAGCTGCTTAAAGGGCCACAAAAAATATTGCAGGTGGAAAGACTGTGTTTGCGCTAATTGCCTATTAGTGGTCGAAAGACAGAGAGTAATGGCGGCTCAAGTGGCTTTAAGAAGGTATGACATGCATTTTTATGTACGAACAAGTTTATCCAATTTGTTTTCGGCTTGAATGTCTTGTAACGAATTATCTAGTTGTTAAAGTATTCCATTATTTTCGATGGGGGTACTACTCATGACCTAGTTGCTGTACTGCAAAACTGTATACAGATTTGAGTATACATTGCATATTATTTTCACAAACATTTGTTCCAAAATTCAGCGGGATGTCCGAAGTTGGAACAAATATGGGTCAAACATATTTCTGACCATACGGTACCACGGTGTGCCGGACACCCCGAAGACGAGTGTCTACACGTATAGCCAACGTGAATAGGTGAAAGGTCGGGTGCCCATGGGCAAGAATTCTGGTGGCCCGATGTATTTTCTTTTTGAAAAAAGTTTGGGAATAGGGAGGTGGTCACCTAGGACCAATTTTTATCATAATCTTATCAAGCTATAAACGTTTTCTTTTCCTTTTCTTTCCAGGCATCAACATCAGGTTTCGGAGAATAATACTGCTTCCGGTCAACAGAAGGTACGGAACGCTGCGAACCTTTTACAATATCGAAAAACTCTGCAACGCAATCTGAGAAATCTGCAACAGCATACGTTGTCCAGAGAAATACTGCAATGTAGGTATTTGTAAATATTGTAAATTCGATCCTTACTTTTCCATCTAATATTCTAACTGAACAAATAACCTTGAGAACCGTGACCTACCGTCAACAAACAAAAGGCGAAGATAAGCTAACGTACTTTATAGTTCATCTCGCGCATCTATTCGCTTCTATCTCCTTATCGGCGGCTTTATCGGTCCGAGTCGCTTTCACCCGTGTTTGTACACGGTTCATATTGAGCGTTATCTAGCTGATTTAACCCAGACTTTGGCGGATATAATTTCATCTAGAAAATATGGCACGAATCAGCTACGTTTTCATACGAACGAGATTTTTGTTTGTTTTCCTTCGCTCCCTAGTTCAGAGGAGCATTTAGACCACACGTTCGACTTCCTATTTAATAATATTTCCCTTTTTTTGCAGCTTATAATATGCGCTTCCGCAATGTAGGTCAGACTGAACCAAGAACTCCACAGCATCCAGTTATAAACGAAAGAATGCGCAAGCGCAAAGCCTTCGCCGATAAAGAATTGGATGCATTAACACTTCAAAGGCAGCAAGCTGCCGTTCAACCAATTTTCAAATTGCCACTTCCGATACCGGTTAAGAGTTCCTCAGAACAAGGGGGTTTCCTCCGAAAGCTCTTCCCTACTCATAATCCACAATTTCTGGAGTTAATTCTACATAGTTGTAGTGGGAATCTTGAAAAGGCTATTGAACATATAGTAGCTGGTATGAGCGGTGTCCAATCAAGAGCTTCTCTCACATCAACCTCCACTCATCCTGCATTTGGTTCTGACGACGAAAAAAAGCCAAAAGTCGTTACGGACGAACCAACAACTAAAAAAGTGCCTCTAAAATTTAGTGTTGAATCAATTATTGCCAGATAGAAAATTCAAAGTTGTATTTATTTTTTAAGAAAAATGGAATATGCTAGAATGAACAAAACAGAAAAAAGATTGTATGTATGTTAACGAGAGAAAGAGAGAAAGAGAGAGAGAGAGAGAGAGAGAGAGAGAGAGAGAGAGAAAGAGAAAGAAAGAGAAGGAGAACGAGTATGGAACAAAAAAACAAAAAAACTGGAGGCGTCTATTTATAGTTTTTGTGTAATAATATTATATAGAAATAAAATACAGTAGAAAACGAAAACAAGCCCTCTCTTTCTTTGCGTATAGCGTTGCTAAAAGCCGTATAGGCGATGGCAAACAAAACAAACTGGCAGCACTTGTTTCGAATTGAGAGCGCTAAATATACCGCTTTTATTTGTTTGTCTTCACCTTCGAACGTAGGCGAACAGGCGTTGTTTAATTGACTGTTAAGTCATTCGCCAAAAGGTTATCTGGTCCGGTTTATCGGTTGCGCAAGTATTTTCCCTACAACCGTCTGGAGAAGGGATAAATAGAAAGCAGTTTAACTCCATTTTATTCTTAATCAATTCCTTTGCACCATTAACGTATTTACATACATTTAAGCTACTGTTCTCTTAAAGACATACTATATACCCATTTAACCTACAACTTGTATACAATACATGTACATTGTATATATAACTTATAACTTTGTTAAATGTCTAATATATCCAATTTTCGCCTGTCTCCTCATTCCTTAAACTATCGAATTCCTTTCTCTGTTTTAAGTAGAAAGTTACAAGAACACCAATGAAAAATATTCTATTACTTTTCAACAATTTCGTGTTTTTTAATAAATAATAAAATTAGGAAAGAGGATTACAAAATCAAAAGATTCCTCTATAGTTTAATACGTTGATTGATTCAAAGGTTAAATATTTTATTTATAGCCTTTTATAGGTCTAAATCATCTTAATTGATATTTATATATGTATATTTAAATTGACTTCTTTTAACAGTTTGCCCTCTTTTTCTTGCTGTTTACCTATTTCCCTTTTTAAGAAGACAAATATTAACTAAAGAATATATAGGTAAAAGAAAATACTTTTCAACCATTTATCCCTTTTACTCTTCAACACGGATATCCGCTAAGTAATTCATAGGACATCGTTAATACTCGTTGATGTTAACAAGAACATGTACTCTATATCTTATATTATATATTTTGGTACATGAACTTTCAAATAATTCGAGAATTTATTACAAAACTGTGTTTGATTGTTTTAAAAAAGACAATGCCTTTGTTTTATTTTGTAACAAAAAATATCAACAGCAAAAAGGGAGTTGGTATGATTTCTTTCAACTTAAAAAATTCCTTCTATCCCCCATCCTTCCCATTTGTCTTTCTCCTTCATCTTTTCTTTTTTGAGGTCAGACTATCCAATGAATCATTCTTTAACTTTTCTCCCTCTTTTTGATCTTCTTATACTATGTTTTCTTTATTTTCTAATAAACACAGGGAAAAACCGCCATCTATAGGCCTAGTTAGGCTTTTTTTTTACAATCAGTGAAAGGTATATGTATATATTTGTATAAGTACTTTTTAATTTTATTAGTAAGGTTCAATGTAGATTTTAATGTTTGTTTCACTGAAAGAAAAACTATTATAGGCCTAAAGTTTAAACAAGTTATCCTAAACGTATTATATTAATTCTCTTCTATCCCTCTCCCGCTAGAAGGATGTTGTTTTGAGTTGGTTAATGAAATAGATCTTTTGAATGAGTAGCTTATTAAATTGAATTAATCTTGTACCGTCGTTAGGTTCGAGTACATTTAACTTCTAAAAGCTTCTTATCGGATTTTCTTTTTCCCCTTACATTTTCTTTCTTCCTTTCTCCCCCCTCTCTCGCCTCCTTTAACACCAAGGTCAATTTGCCTCAAGCCTCTGAAACATTTTCGATACCGATGAATTAGGATGAAATTGATTAAAAGAACAAAAATTACGACAATTTCTTGTTTAAACCTTGCACTGTAACCTTTTCAAGCAGATCTTTACGATATGGTTTCATCTTAAATATTTCATATATGAACATACGCCGCTTCCGCCACCCCCTTTCCTCTTAGAACGCCCCTCGAGAATAAACATCTATTGCTGTTATCTTCACCAAAATGCAACCTAAATAATCCGAAAATATTTTTTTTAAAAAAAAAAAAAAAGATTTATTTAATTTTCTTTCAAACTATTTTTACGATCTTAGATATATATTATATATATTTATAAACAAAATACATACCTTACGCTCGTTATCCCTTTATCATCCGATGGATCATTCAATCGCGTGCTCAACCGGAAGTTAATATTGATTATACGGATAAGTGCACTGGGATTTACAAAACGAAACCGAATTGTTTAGCTTTAATAAACCAGGAAAAAAGGGGCGAAAAAAAAAGCTATTATTTTTCTATCTTTAGATATAACAAATATATAAAAAAGAGAAGAAAAATCAGTTTTTATTATCTTATAGGCCTATAAAATTAATTAATAAAAACTTGGTAATTTAGTTAATGAATACTATATTATATATTTAATACTATTTAAAAACAATTGAAGTACTTGAGTAACTGTATATAGAATACGTATATATGTTTATAACTATGGTGAATATTGGATATTTATAGAAACATAGTTAAGTGATGTACAATGTGTGATGGATATAAAATCACAAATATATATACAAATGTATGTAAAATCTATACATTATTCATTAAAAACTATTTAAATATGTGGAAAAAAAAGTATTAACAATTCTGCTGACCTTAATTATAGTATTATTTTATAGGTATTAATAGCATTCGGAAAGTGGACAAAGGATCTTTTTCCTTTAGTTTTTTTTTTAAAAAAAAAATTAAATGGAAAAACTGACAAAGGAAAGAAAGCTAAGCCACCAACGACGATATACATGAGATTATAAGCTTATAAAGAGGAAATATAAGCAATTTGTTGAATAATTATAAAGAAATTTCTTATTGCTAAATTGATCTCTTTCTTTTCTTATTCTTTTATTTTTAACCTATCTCCTCTCTCTCTCTCTCTCTCTTCGTCATATTACCACACCCCTGGATTAGTAGAGTGTATTTTCTGGAGAGTCCCTTATTTTTTCTTGTATGAATATGCTAAAAATCAAGTATTAAATTCATTAAGATAACTGTAATATTTACTTTAGTTTAAATATTTATACAATAATAATATTTTGATAAATACTAATTGATTTATAGATATAAGAATGTCAACAGAATAGTATGAAAATATCATAAGAGACTATGATCGAAGCTGTAAGGAAGAGAGAGAGAGAGAGAAAAAAAGGAGGAAAATGATATACTCTGTATAAAAGTTTAGATAGATAGAACACCCTAAAAAAAAATTTGTTTATAAAAGGGTGGAAGTAGAACGTAAGTGGGTCTTCGGAAGTAATATATGTTATGTTTAAATATTGAAGGAGTCTTCTCACGATTCGTAAAATATAGGTTATCGTAGAAAATATATAAAAAAAAATATTGATTGTAAAAGTTTCCTAGTCTCATCTAAAGAAAGGAACGCTACGCTAAGATTAGGAAGAGTGACAGAAATATCTTAAAGCTAATTTTCAAAAGAATATTAGTATAAAAACACCCGTTTAGTGGTATTCGTAACGATTCATTAGATAGGATAGATTCAATAGTAGGGTGAAAGTGTCTTTTTAGTATTCGTGGACTATCCCCTCAGATAGAACTCCCAATCACAAACGACAATTTCGCTTGTGTGTTGATATCATCGGCCAAATGGAATTATTATTCCGATAAATCCTCATGTGAAATTCCCTTTTATATGTAAAAAAAGCTCAGCAGGTGAACTACATTTACTTTCAATTATAATAATTGCTATAAATAGTGGAGAAATATGTATATTGATATTTACTGACAGTCATAATTTACCTGTTGATCGAAAACTATATTGAAATTGTTTAGCCAAGATAAGGACAAACTATTTGGTTTTTTTCATATTAAAGACTGACGCTTTACAGATGTTCTCTTTCAAAAGATGGCGCCACGAAACCTTGCCTAGCTCCTTATTACTTTTCACCCAGGATGACGTCTATTGAGCTAATACAAGAAACAGCGAAGAGGCTGTCTGTAGTGTCTGAGGATGAAGAAGATAAACGTAAAAGCACGCACTTAGCAGGGGCTAATTCGAAAGATACCTCAACTCGTAGGCCTAAAGTACTCGTCTAGAACGTAACGCTTCGGCTCTTTCTTATTATTTATGGTGTAGTGACATATTTAAAGAGTGTGATAGTATTGGAGAAAGCTTCTAGATCAACTTTGAAAATTGTAAATGATTAATTCAAAGGGAAAATTAATCATGTTCTTAAAATCGAAACTTTATTCAATCGGCTGTAAGAGAGGGAAAAGCGTCTCACATGAAGTATAAAGAACGTTTGACAAACGGAAGTAAGCTAAAGAAAAAGCAGAGGAATTATACGAATTTCCATGCCCTTCGCTGCTACTACTTATTAATTTGAGTTTCAAAAGTTTCATAGTAAAGTTGTTATTAACTTAAAGGGTATGAGTTACTTTATTTCCTTTTCAACTTTTTGTCTTACTATTCATTAGAAATGTAATAGAAAATAATTTGATTTGCGTTAAAAGCAAGCTAAGAAGTTTTTTCAACGAGTTTGGACACGAACTGTACAATTACCCACGTAACTCAACACTATCAAAGCTTTACCTGGTAATACGAATTATAAGAAAATGACAATGAATATTCTAGATCTAAGAGGATTGTTTTTAACGATCAAGAGCAAAAACAAGAGTAAATCGTAAAATCACGCAAATATTAATTTATTCCATTTACCTGTTTTTTTTTCTCTGTTTTACACTTTCCCCATTGGTAGCTTAATTAATTAAAAACTTCCTTTTAATGTTTCTTAAGTTCAGATAAACATTTACAATTAATAGTTAAATATAATTGATAGATAAGCATTAATAAAAGAAAGAGTTAGCCAAAGATTGTTGAAGGGTTGGAAAATTGGAATTGATGAAAAAAGGAGCAGAAACAGAAGATGAATTTGCAGATAAGTCATTCATCCCTGGATTAAAATACTACAAGTATGACATTACCACGGTGTATAGTTTCGTTGGGTTTCATTGAAATCTATTGAACAATTGTTGTATTTCTCTATTAAAGATTTGTTTATTATGTTTAGTCTTATTTGAATATGATAATTTCGACCCTTGGCTGAATATCCGTAAAATGTTAATTAGGTAATTTCTTAGATTAATTAGCTGACCTATCACGTTCCAACTTGGTTCTTTGTTTGCGTGTTGAGCCTTCCCTTTTAAATCGAATGAGCTAAAATGGAGAAAAAGACGAAAGCAAGAAGGAAAAATTTCCATTAATGAAATATGTAGTGCGTAATCGCTTCCTCCTAGTTGGCAGTAGAATGCATTTGATCTGTTTAAATATTCGAGGAGTACAAAAAGGGTTATTAACTTTTCTTATTTTCTTAGTCATCTCGAGTCCAGTTGACTTTTCCTTTGGGGTCCAACTATTTTAAGTCTATCCTATTATCAGAGTATTATTATTAATATTATTTTTATTGGATTAAGTACAAAGTCACAGTACAGAGTGTCTGTTCATTATTAAAATTACGTGCAGAACGTATAAAAAAGCTTTATTTTTTGTTTCCTATTTTTTAACAAGCTTACGAATAAATTAGATATTTCATTTCCTGAGTGAGGATTCCCGTTTAGAGGACCATTTCATTTAGAATTTTTCATTTTGGATGCGTACATCTCCAGTAACAAATTACTTATCTTCTTCTCTTCCTTACGGTCCTTCTCAGATCGTTATGTCACGCGACATTTAATATGTAAAGGATTCCTTTAATAATAATTTCTTCCCTTTGCTTACGCAATATATATATACTTTATATATATCTTTTTCATTCATTCACTCACTCACTCTCAGTCACTATCCTACACCCTCCCCCTCATCCCTCCTCTTCTTCTCCATCATTCTCTCTCTATCTTGTTCTCTTTCTCTCTCGCTTTTTCTCTTTACACCTCTTAAAACTCTGTCAAAAATCTACAAAGGCAAATAAACTAGTTATAGGAAAAGGGTGGTTCAATAAAGAGAACACAGAGATACTTGTACTTTTTTTCTTTTGTTTTCTCAGTTAATTTCTATCGCTGCAAATTACTCTTTTCTTCTCTCCGTTCTCTCTGTCTATTTCCTTCTCTCTCTTCCTATCATCGCCTTTTCATCTCTATCCCCTTTTTCCATTTTCCTGTTCATCATCTTTATACAAAAGCAGAAATATGCTTTATCTATTGAATGTGTGCAATAGGTAAACGAAAATTAAATAATGTTAAATCATTTTCTATGCACAACCTTTAAGCTGAGGGAAATTACTCTTAGAAACGTCTAGGGAACTCTTATGTTTTTTTTGCTTTTTTATTATCTTTTATTATTCCCTTTTAATAAGATAAAGAAGTATGTAATATTCACAGAATGTTTTGATTTGTTGCATTTTAATTGGAAGTCTATACAACGTGTACAACTTTTTGCATGAAATTGCTCCAGTGCATTTTCAATTTTCCTATATATTAATTTCGTTTCCCATTTTACACAACAACAATAAAAATATCATAATTGTAATAACGTTAACAAGTACGATAATGATTATAATAATAATGCATAAAAGTATAATAATATTACTAAAACAGGCTTATCGTGAGTCTTTTAACACATAGCGTTTTCCGAACAATCATCGCTGTCATCTAATCCGGGATTTGTTCCTATATCGCCCGTAAATTCTGTCTCCTCCGACATTGGAGATTTTCCGTTAATTCCAATAAATTTATCTTCCAATTCCTTTATTCTACGTTCACGCTATATGGAAAAATAATACAAGTGTAAACCCTTAGGGTTAATAAGTTTAAACAGAATGTTTCTCATTTTCCCAAGCCAAGTTCTCTTTACTTTTCTATTCTCAATTTTTTCTTTATCCTAATTCTGATTGTTTTAACTATTTATATATTTTAATATATACTTACTTGTTCAAGTGTATTTTTCAAATTAGATACTTCGTCCCTTAATACAGCACTGTTACCCTCTGATTTAAACGTAAATGGGCCGTGCCTATCCGCCCTTCTTGCAGCTGCGGAAGAGTCGCAAGACTTACTTAACATTCCTCCCGATTGGAATTCATGATTTCTCTTTACTATCTTTGGTATAAAGACTAAACAGATAGTTAAAGTAGTTGCAAACATAATAAAAAGCGATATGAGCACATAAGAAGCCTCAATTTCTTCTTTCAATATCAGAGCAATTGGTACTCCAATTAGGCAAAGGACGACTACATTGTAGACACTCATTCCTATAAATTTTGAATCGTTTAAAGCTGGTACGGTCACTTTACGAGTTTCAAAGGCGAGAAATGCCCCAAATACTAAAATTAGGCCTTTAATAGCGTAGATCGCCCCCGCAAAGTACCACATGTGTTTCGATTCGCAATAGCGAATTTGGGGTATGAGATTCTGGTTGTCGTTGTGCGGATCTGGCTATAGATGGCGGTACTTCAATAAAGGTAAATAATACATAATTATTCAAGATATTCCACCTCTTCTCTAAGTCTTGAAGAGATTAGGTGAAATATACATCATAATTATATATATAATATATATATATATATGTAACATATACTTTTACTTACGAATGCTTGTAAAGTCTTATTGACGTATACAATTTGCAGAGGATCAGTAAACTGCCAAATAGAGAGAATGAGAACGTCCAATCCGACGAGGACGCAAACAATCGCCATTAATTGAAAGTCCTTAATGACCTGTTGCGAATCGCTGGAATGGATCGAAACGAACAATGACGTTATACGCAAACACTATACCATTCTTTGAATCTTTTTGTTTGTAAATATCCTATGAACTCTCCAAGTCTTACTAAACATAGCGCCAAAGGCCAATGAAAATCCCAAAGAGAGTGTCCAGATATGGAACTGTTTAGGTTTAAATAAGAACAATTATAATCAAATAAAGGCAAATTGGTATTTAAGTTAGCACACGAGGAGAAAAGAGGAGCAAAATTAAAAAGTTGAACAGGACAGAGATAGGAAATTAAAGGAAAAGGTAGAAAACACAGCAGGGGAATAAGGTTGATGAGAAAGTTTATACTGGCAAGATAAGAAAATTATAAAAGAATAGAGTAATATATAAAGAGAGAAATAAAAGAGGAGAGGCAGATAGAAGGGCGGGGGGGCAGGGGGAGGGGGGGAGATATACAGATAGATTGAGCTAGTAGGAAGGGAGAAGGGTAAGGAAACTAAAAACAGGGATAGATAGTTGAGAACAAAAGTATAAGTAATTTATTCGTAACGATAAAAGCATGCCAAACCTTGCACATGATTAGTTGAACAACTGGAGACACTAACGAATTGGCGTTGCCGCCGAGTATGATGGAACAAAATGCTAATAAGGCTCCCGCTAATATTACGTTATTTAAATTCGGGCTGGACATCTTGATGTATCTGTTGCATATTGACAACGTTATAGGCCAAAGTAATTAGTATGTAATTTTCTTAGTGAAAGGTGAATCAATACGATAGTAACGGCTTTTTGGATGTTAACAGTTATAAAAAGTGCTAATTGCCTGTATGCAGTACAAAGAATAAAACAATACTCACTTTCTCCTTCTATACTTGATGTTGAACACGAGAAATAATATAGATAAAACAATTCCCAATGCTGCAAGTGACGTCATTCCAATAAAAAGTGCAACCGAAATGACCTTGGCAATGGCGATTTCCTTAATGGAATCTGGTGGCGCATGACCACCTGTAATAAGTAAACGGAAGTGGGTGGAGGAACTTTGTATTTAGTTAGCGAATGGAATGTTAACAAACTCTTCCACAGTACTTCTTCGTCCCACCAGGATAACCTCTTCCCTTCTGCAGTTGAATCGTAGAGACCTACCAATTTCTGTGGGGGAAAAATTAGCGATCCACTTACCGTCTATGATTGCTATTAACGTTGGTATAATTCTACGAAATGTATCTTTATGAATTATAGATAAATATTTATACTTTTCCACTGTTCGCTTGCCACTGTTCAATTTTCGTTACGCCCTTCCGATCGCCATTTTTATCGAACATTACCCTGCCCTGCAATATAAAACAAAAGTATCTATATCTATATATATATATATTAGTAAAACATATAATATGTATATATAGTATATATATATACATACATGAAAGTATGAGAGTAAAGTAACGTAATTAGAAGTGTATATAATTGTATAGAAAGAGCGAGATTGGGAAACAAATAAAGGGAAAGAGATGGAGACAAAGGAAAAGGTAAAAATAGAGCTTTTATACAATTTTACATGATATAAGTAAAAAATGAACATTTAAAAAAAACAGCAACACCCATCTCCTCTCTTTTCTTTTTTATTTTACAGTTTTGTTGTTCTGGTTTATATTGAGCATATATACATAAATACACTGTACATATATACAAAACGCGTGCTGTATACACAAAGCATATGTAAGTATTGGCATTAGTTCTCTTTTTTAGTGTTTTTTTCTCTTTTAAATAAGAAGCAAAGCTAATTAAGATTAGACGAAATTTTATGCGATTCTCTCTAAGCCCTATAGTATAATGGATTTATTCGAAACTGTCACCCGGAAAGAGTGCTTAATCAATTCCGATCATATTTTTCCGGAATGGGTGGATGATACAAATGCGAAAGAACGTATAATTTATAAAAGAGGGAAACTATTATTATTAATACATAAACTAAATATAAATTCTTCTTCCCACCTCTCCCTCATCCTTCTACTTATTTCCTATTGGTTTCTTTTTCGCTTTCCTACGTTTTTCTTCACATTCATCATTATCTTCTTCTACTCCTTCTGCTTCTTCGCCTCATTCTTATCTTATTCTCAAAGTTTGGTAGGGAAATAAATAAACTGACGCCTTTACTTCTTTTCTAGACTGCCTACTAAGCCCTTCTAAGCAACTTATATACTGTTTGCAGTCCTTACTTAGAATGTTCTGTCACACGGCGACAAACGACTAAAAAGTACTTTTTATTGTTGTAATACACAAGAGACCGGAAGTTTCGCGCCTTCTTTAACTCCCCGTAGGGTATTTTATATCATTGTGTTATTTTAAGTATGATAAAAAGAAGTAAAAGAAAAGGATGAATCAGGTTAAACGACAAGAGTAAAAAAAGGTAATAATGGATTATGATAAGGCAATTATCTTACCGACATTCCGTCGAAAGACGTCTCCTTCATAGCTTCAAAAATAATGCCCGACATCTCTTGGTCCTTGTAGATGAAGTTTTCGATAGATCGATTGAAACCTTTTCATTTTTCGGATGAACGGAGGAAGAGTTAGAGGATAATTTCCTCGTAATTAAAGAGAAAAGAAAAAAACCTTTGTGTTTCATATATTCGATAGTTCGATTAAGTACGTCAGCAATAGTCCAAACCGAGTCGTAACCGTAAGTTGCTTCGTCATATCCAGTTGGATACGTGTAATTGACTTTTTTTAGGTATTCCCTCTCAAATTCGTCCGTTGTCTTATATGTCATTAATGAATTAGATAATTAGGAAATTAATTACTTTACTAGAAGAAACATGACTCACTTTTCCGGATATGCCAGTTTTGTTTGTAATCGAATGATTTGATGCTGACATGCTGAAATATCCATCCACAGCTCTCTCCATCTCTTCTTCCGTACATTCTACATCGTCAACACGATCTTTCCACCAATCTTTCGTATAGAAGCCGGTAATTATCCATACATACTTTCCGCCAAACATTTTCTCTTTATAAGCTTCGCAGAATACCAGGCGAGCCATGTCAGCGTAGAAATTACCGATAATTATTCTAGCACCATGCTTCTATAAAACATCAAAGGAATAATAGTTTCTTTTCAAATTATTACAGAATTATTGCTTAAAAGATGGGAAAAGGGGAAGAACCCAATTACCTATATATAAATATATATATATATATACAGTATATATCATGTTATATATTATGTTATATATAATAGATAATGATTTATTCTTTATAACATACCTTAATATTGCGAACTTTCGGTCTGGGATCAATTGTAAAACTCTCTGATGTTAGAATTTTAATTCCTTCGTTTTTAGCTTCTGTTAAGAATTTACTTGTAGTCTAGAAAAGAAATAAAGAAGGGAAAAAAAAAGAGAATGAGAAAGAGAAGATTTGATAAAAAAAAAGAGTTAAATCATAAAGAGATGGATGCGTATATTACTATTGAGAATAATTCCTTGGTTTCGGTCAAAGTGGCTATTTTTTTCCATCCATATTGCTTCAGCATTGCCAATTTAGCTGCATTAAAAGCGGATTCCGGTGGAAATACGCGGAAGAATGTCCCGTAAATTTTCTTATCGGATAAAGCCGGACTAGCACTAGTGTAGCTGAGTTGAACTATTTTCATGTGATTGAGGACTCTAGCCGTCGTTTGACTTACATCAGAACATCCTGCTCCTAGTACTATGAGACTCTTTTGATTCTTCAGATAGATCCGCTCAAACATCTGAATAATGCCCTTACCCGGGTCACACTGCAATATTGCAATTGTCAGTTATTATTTTCCATTTTCGCTTCTTAACGTCCGACTTAATTCTAGCTTTTTTAACCCTTTACCTCAACCTTTTTTATTCTGAATGGGGAAAAGTAGAGAGAGGGGGAAGGAGAAAAATAGAAAAATGGCTCAGTACAGAGTAAATATTCTATAACGATAGCCGTTCCGTGTGGAAGCTGATTACCATCGTTGTGGTATTGCGGTTGACACTTTTTTTAGTCGGCGTTAATCGCAAAAGTTGCATTTTCTAACTAAGGGTCGGGTGAAAAGGCCTATAACTCAGCTTGATGGATGATTAGAACGATTCGACATCAAACAATAAAATACCGTTGATCAAACAATCGGGCGTTTCGTAGAATACATCGAACGCCTCTGGTCAGGGTGACGCCTATTATATATTAGTACCCGAACATATGTTAATAAATAATAGCCTCACAAGATCCATTGCCTACGCCCCTTTACCAAAAAAATCGCATGCTATCAATTTGCAGATGACCACCGCGTAATCAGAGCCGTAAAGCTAAAGCCGTTGGAATATATATTTACGGCTTTCAAAGGAGATTTTCATCTAAAATTCTATCCGTTTGAACGCTTCGAGGACAAATTAGAGTATAGATCTATAGGCTAAAAGCAAGTATTTAACGGTCGTTGCAGGCGACAAAGGCGTCAGTAACGCTTTATGAGAAGAGTACACACGATTAATTTGATCGTCGTCGTTTCACCGTCTTTATATAGAGAAAAGGCCTTCTTCATTTATTTATACCTACCTCAGTATCATCTTTGGATATTTTTAATTCGTATCCATTTAGCATTCCCTCCTTTTCATTAACATCCTTAAGAGCAATTTCTATAGCTGGCCAGTGTCCTTCTCCGCCTTTCCAAGAGCCCCGGAAGGGAAAGAGTCCAAGTATATGTAAAGGAAGTTTAGATGTCGTATTTGAATTGTTGTATTCAGTAGTTAAACGTATTAGGAGAAGAAGGAAAAAGCGCGTGAACATTCTAATGGGTGCGCAAGTAATCTGACGACAGCCGTAGACTGGTTTCAGGTCTCCCGCAAAATGCAGTCGGGTTACGAACTCTTTCAGGAGTCAGCGCGACAAAATCCCTTTTCTCTCTCTCTCTCTCTTTCTCTCTTTCTCTTTCTCTCTCTCTCACTCTCAAACTCTCTCGCCATCTCTCCCAAACTACGTGCAGCATTTCTCCTTTTATCAGACCATATTTTCCGCGCGGATTAGCATATAAATTTGCAATTTACGTTACTTTGGGCCTAATATTATGTACATACGTTTTGCTGGACGAAAAACAAATAACGCTCTCGGGAAGAAAGCGTATAGGCTTCGTCAATTATTTTGCACTCCTAGTTTAGTTTAACATGCGACTTGTCAAGAGATCGTCATAAGATTACGTTTGATAGAAAGCTAAGAATTTCTAAAGTGGAAGTTATGCAGCGAAAGATCGAAAAGCTGAGGACAAGAATAAGGACAGGAAAGTCGTGTGCAAAAGTTGGCGACTGTAACAACAAGATGAGGGCAGGATGGACAGTACATTTAGAAACAGGATGTAAGCGAGAAGAAAAGGAAGAGACCCAAGCAGATAGGGAAGAAAAAGTAGTAATAGAGAGAGATAGAAAGACAGAGAGGCAGAAAGGTCGAGAGGAGTAGTCAGAAAAGGGGATAGCCAGATTTTAGCATCGTTTTATTATGCGGCGTCGTTGATCAAGTTTCAATTCGAATTCGTCTAATGAGGTACCGGAAAAGACTATAAGGATAAGAACAGAGAGTAAAAACATTGATTCAATAGTTTACACTATTCTAAGCTCCTTTTTTTCTATTCTTTCCACTCATTTATTTTCATTAATCAAACGGAAAAGCGAGTGGTAGCGCATAGTTTATTATAGATGGACGGCTTGGTTTACTTCGTGAAATAATAATAGTAATAATCTCTAAGCAATTAAAAATTTCTCTTTCATTATTTTTAGTTTTTTTTTTCATATCAATTTTCTCTTTTATTCCTCTTTTTAAACGTCTTTTTCAAATGTAAACATTTTAATTGCATTACTTTCTATTGAAGATTCAACTTTGGTAACTTCGATACTGCAGCAGTTTTCCTGATTGGTCCTCTTTTTGGGTCCAAAATACGCTGATCTTGCGGTATATTGCTGTTGCTAATCATATTAAAATAAATTAGAAAGTAAAAATAAAAGGTAAATTTTCTTAATAGATTGATCGAAAATGATTAATCGTGCGCAATTAGAAACTTTTTTTATTACCCAATACTCGATCTATCCGTACGGGGACTTTCGTGCAGGTCTCTGTACGTGTTTAGTGCCGCCCTCTGCTGGTTATGAAGGGAAGCCTGAGTTTGTTTGCAGTTCTTTAATTCGGTGGCAAACTGCTTCCGTTCTTCATTCGCTTTATGAAAAGCTTTCGATTCCTGATCGAGTTTCCATTCCAAGTCCTTTAGCTGATTTTCCAACGAATGGTGCTTCTTCTCTAATTCCTTCAGGCTATAGGCCGTTATCTAAAAATAGACGTATAGATATGACAAGCCTCAAAAAAGTTCGATAATAATAAAACGTACTGGAGCGTCCGGTTCGAAACTGCGTACAGATTTTGGTGCCTTTGCTGTATATGATAACTAAACGTTAAAAACAAAACAGCAATTTATGAAAATATTATTCAAATGAGGTAAAAGTCCAAAAAGGGAGATGGGATTTAAAAGAAGGAGAAAATTATATAATATTCCCTAACGAAATACTGGAAAGTTGGCTTGAAAAGAGTCCTAGAAATGGCTCTATTCGATCCTATCTATCAGGCAGATATTGAAATGGGATAAGACGAAGAAAGCGAGAAGAAGAGAGAAGAGAAGGAGAAGAGCTGAACGATGGATGCTTGCTAAATTAAGGAGAAGCTAATTGCTTAAATTATTATCTAATATTTCTTTTTCAAATAAAAAACAAATAAAATAAAAGCTAAAGTTGATCTAATTAGCATAAAATGTCTCTTTTGTTTTATCAACTATAAAAATAGGAAAGGATAGATTGTAAGTCATGCAGCAAACAACCATCATCCTCAACGTAGTGGCTATGACGAGCGTAATTATATCCTGAAATATTAATGAGAATTCTATTACGTATATAAGCTATACAGAAGAGATTAAGCCCCATTAAGCCTTTCGTTAATACATATATTTACGTACTATCTTTTAGATTTCTTTTTGCTTCATCCACTCTATCCTGAAGAACGTAAACCTGCTTTTGCAATTGTTGGTTCATCTCCATTTGAGTTTCGTATCGAGTTTTCCATTCATTACCTGGGATATTGAACGATAATTAGGAGAAACACATAATAATAGTATAGAAAACAAAATGGAACAAAATGGTAAAAAAATAAAAAAAAAAACAAAGAAAACCAAAAAGGAAAAGGAAACTAAAAAATAAAAAGAAAAATTTTATCGAATGTCAATAATCTTTTAATTTTATTCTTCTCTTCATCTTTTCATTTTAAACTTTCCCTTTCATTTTGTTTTTGTTAATGCTCTTCTCTTTGTTTCTTTATTGTTTTTTAAGGGATTAATATAGGATTATCCTTTTAAAAAGAATTAAGAGTAACGACAAGACAAAATCACATTTTTGTTATACTTATTTTAGGTAAAAAAAAACAAAAATAATAGAATAAATGTAATATCAGGAGGAACTGTTTAATGGTACATCAATTCTTTTGTTAACTAAAGTTAGCATTACTCTTATGGCATACATATCAAAGTATAAGTTTTGTATTTATTATTAATAACAGTCTATTATTGTATAAGCATTTTGTACATATACAATATAGTTTTGTATTTATACATATATATATATATATATATATATAAATACACTAAAACATACATGATATGTATGAGCTTATTCAGTTGAAAGCTTTAACCAATTACAAGTGACGGGTGTAATATATATAAGAACGCTTTATAGTTTATATCTTACAATCTTTATATCTTGACGTAATCGATTCCAAAGCTGCGTAAACAATACCTTTAAGAGTTTGTCTTGTTGGACAGATTCTGTTATTTATTATGCATAAAAAGCCGTAAAAAAATTGATAAATTGGCTAATCATTCTTTAAATAATTCATTAAACAATTAACTTAGTATATCTATATATAAAAAGTATAAGTTCATATATGTGTACTGTATAGATTATTTGTAACAGGTAACTACTTACACTCTTCATCGAAACCACCGTACTTCTTCTCCAATTCCTCAACTGTAGGTATCAATCCCAGGTAGGAATGTTCAACAATCTCTCTATTTTATAAAAAAAATACAAAGTTAAACCGATGAAAAAGACTTGAACTAATCAAAATATGTAGAACGTTATGAATTTCAGTAGAAATCAATTAATTATCTCTCTCTCTAAATAACCATAAAAAAAACATTTATTTGTGTATTTTTATAGGAATTAGACGGTCTAACTTTCGTTGCTTTTCCTGAGCAATTTCCGCTTTAAGTCTTTCAATTTCGTAATCTAATTCACTCGACGTCATTTTCATCGTTGAAACGCCAACCAACAAAAAAAATATTAACTCATAAACAATACGTCTCTATTGAATTGGTCGATAAAAAGACTGGAACGTTGTCCGAAACCGATCGTTTTGTAAAATATTACATTAGAATAGTTGTTGAACCAGTTATCGTAGTCCGTGTTGTTGTCAACGCCAATGTACTAGGCCTAACATAGCGGTAGCGCGATAATTTCTTGTTTTATGATATCTTTGCTTTGCTTTGCTATGCTTTGCTTTGCTTTTTTGTATTTTCCCCTTGTCTCGTTAAATTATTTAGCTGTTTATCTTATGGTTTGGTGTTATTTTCTCATTTTGTTTATTTTTCTCCCTCATTCTATATATATTTACTACCACTACTGAATAGGAATCTTTATGCGGGGGGGGGGGGGGGAAACACGCAAGATAGGAACCTTAAAATGGCACAAGAAATAAAATGCTTGTCAGAAAAAATTAAAGGAAAAAATGAACACGCACGTATATGTGCGTGTGTATGTCTATACGTATACAAATTAGAGAAGAGAGAGAGAGAGAGAAAGGAAAAAGAAGGAAAAAAGGAAAGAAAAAATGAAAGAGAGGGAAGGGGGGAGGTTGGAAAGCCCTGGCGTATTCCTTGACGTCTGATCTCCCAGTTATTTTTTTTAGCGACGTCTGTCAGTTTTTATATAGATGGATGAGAATACGGCAAATAAAATATTAGCGACAGTCTGATAACTAAGTTAATTAGGCGTTCTTTAGAGTTCGCCTCCAATTCAATAAAAAGTCGGTTCACATCAACGAATCGTTCGTAATACGATTTTTTTTTATCTTTTAGCGCGACTCCTCATCTGAGCCTCCTTGATTATATTGCTCACGTATAAAGAGAGGAAATTTTCCTGTCGACTGTTCTTTAAAATAATGACCATACATTGGTCGGTAGAGGGAGTTAGGAGCACTGAGCTCGTCGGTACATCCCACTGGTGCTGCTTGTCAGTTTGTAGTGCTGACAGTTTTTGCTGTCTGCTGCATCTCCTGCAGTTTTTTTATTTCTCAGGTAAATTTATATTTGATATGTATAGAGTAAGAAACATTAAAGTGTGACAGGGGTATTTTGTTTATATACAAAAGCTGTCGAATTATAGCCGTATAAACATACATGACTATATTCATATGAAATTATACTTATATATACAATATATATATGAATATATATATATATATATATATATATTGTATATTATATATAAATCTATATTTACATATACCATGAATTTGTTTCCTAATTAAAGTTTACTAAATTTATATATATATGCCTCTGTCTACATGTAACACATACCTCATAAGCAAAGACAAATATACAGAGCTTAGAGTTTATTATATCAAAATATCTAAATGCATAGATTAACAAATATGTATATAAATACGTTGTACATTGTTTTACCTTGCTATATAAAAATGAAACTATGTAGAGAATATTTATGACGCTTTGTAGATGATAGAAAGATATTTTACTTTAATACCATTTGTGTTCTATGTATCGTCTATGGCTAGTATATAATTGTACAAAGTTTATAAAAGGTTACAAATACTTCTCAATTTATAGCTGTATATATAAACATATATATTTAAGGGCGTACTACATATACTATATTGCATTTATGTATTCACATATTTACTTATTCACTTATTTAATCTATATTTATGTCATATATACTCTAAATTAGCATATTCCTACATTAATCGCAAATTAATCTATATTATTTAGAAATAAGGCTTAATAAAGTATGTATTTTAAGTATGTTATGGAAGGCTCTATGTATTGCAAATGAGTATGTATCAAATGCAAAGAACTTGTACCGCTTATTTGTTCAAGGTATATTCATTACAAACTTCTTTATGTTACAATCAAGTTCTTATACTGTATTATCCATGCTAAATTTATATATGCTATATATTTATATAGATATATACGAGCGTATTTAGTATTAGACGCGCTCGAAGAGAGACGCCGCCTTCGGCTATGCGGTATTTATTTTGCGAAAAAAGATATATTCGTCTCTTTTTTCGGCAGCACTATACGGTTTATAAAATATCCCACTGGGCTAATTTGTATTTGGGCGTTAATAAACGAAAGCATGTAAGGAAAAAGTAATTACATAGATTACAGAACTAGGATATTTTGCGGAAGAATTGTTCCTGCGTTTATATACACCCATTAGTAGGGCTTTTTTCCACTAGACGATATTTTTCATATAATTTTCTTTCCAACCTCCTCCTACCCCGCCCTAACGCCCCCTTTTCTATTCCCTTTTACCCTCCCTATCCCATACCCCACGCATTTATCTTTCTAGGCTTTATATAATCGGTAAAGTAATAGGAAATAGAGTATTAACGCCCGCTAAAGCCTTGGTCGTCTTATTTTTCCAGTAAAGGAATTTTCATTTCCATGTCTTTGATACCTGTGTTAATCGTTCTGCTGCTTAACTCCAATTTAGTTACTAGCGCCCCAAGGTTAATAGGATTATACGGGAAACATGTAGAAGAGAAAAAATTAGTGCGGGTGAGACATAACTCTCGAAGAAGGAAAGGAGTCAAACTTCCTCTATTCGTCTTTTTTATGTGTTTTTTTTCTCTTCACTAATCCCTGGTTTATATACTTTTACTTAACTTCTCAAAAAATATATATTCATTTATCATATAGAGAAAAAAGAGAGAAGAATAGAGGAAAACAAGTCACTTTTCTTTTTCCCTCATCTTTCTCTTATATCTTTTGCCTATAACTGAGCATCTCGGCTTTCAAATGCAGAATTCCGCCTTTCATCTTCTCATGTACGGCCGTCGATTTCTTTTCATTGTTAGCGACTTTATTTCCTTTATATATATATATATATATATATATATAGTACTTGTAATATTTTATATATAGCGTACACGTATTTCTATTTTCTTCATAATTCTCATAGAGTAGACATTACTTTGTACTATATATATATATAATATACAGCAATCTATATTGTAGATGTATGTATATATCATTTATCAATATTTGTACCTTTACATATACTCTATATGAGATTTCGTCTCATAAACATACTCATAAATCTTCATTTATTGTTTCTTTATATCGTATATATTTATATAAATACATATAAAATATAAAACCTTATCCTTGCGGATCAGTCAATTTTATCGATTCGTACAGCAATGGGCGTGGTGCAATCTGCGCCCAACACGCCGGCCGATGCGGCTACTGATCGGTGGACGGCCGGTGACCCTTTGGTTTTGGCTCCTGCTAAGGTCGACGAAAAGGAATTGGAAAAGAAGAAGAAAGAGGAGGAAGAAGCATTCGCTGAAAGAACTACTAGAACGCACGTTATTGCTCTTTGTAGGGCCAATAATAAATTTGGAATTACAGTATTGCAAGCTATGCTATCAAAGAGACAGGGCAATGTCATTTTTTCACCTTTAGATCTAGCCGTTGGCTTAGGAAAATTATGTATCGGTTCCGATTCGACGACCCGGGAAGAATTTCGCAAAGCCCTTTTCCTGGCTGAAGTTGAACCTAAGCACAGACTACCGGCATTTGCTGCCGTGTATTGGGATACTTTGAGGACTACTGCACCGAAAGGTTGCGAAATTCAGGCTGCGTCGCGCGTCTTCGTCCAAAAGGAATTCCAAATGGCTACGGCCTATAGGGAGACGTGTACGAAATACGAAATGGCCCAGGTAAAGTATGTCGATTTCAAGCGTGCAGATTCGACTAGAGCGGAAATTAATGAGTACGTTGCTGAAAAGACGCTCAGAAAAATAACCAACGTCCTACCAGTGGGCCTACTAGACCAAGAAATAAAAATGTTAATCGTAGCAGCCATTTACATCCGTTCCAAATGGAATTTACCATTCGAGATATCAAAAACCTATACGGCCAAATTTTCAACTGGTGGCCGTGAGAAGATAGACGTAAATATGATGAATACAGTAAGCGTTTTCCGAGCTGGCTACACGACAAAATTGGACGCCGATGTCGTTGAAATTCCATGGGCAATCGATCACGTTCGCATGGTTATCCTACTACCCAGAAAGCCCGATCAACTGCCTAGATTAGAAGCAAAATTAACTAGGTCTATGCTCGAGAATCTCGAAGGTCAATTACATCCTGAATTACTAGACTTACATATTCCAAGAATCAGGTACGAATTAGGCTTTAACGCAAACGAACCAATTCAAAAAGCCGGCATAAAAGACTTGTTCGTAGCTGGTAAAGCTGATTTAAGCCTAATGGACGGTGGTAAAGGTTTATACCTAACTAAAATCTTCCACCATATTTGCCTAATCGTCGACGAGGGACAAGAAGATAAGACTGTTTCAACGCCTACGTTTGGTCGAAGTTCTTCTGTTGGTTCCTCAGCTCCTGCATCAAGCGCCGAAAGGGTCTTCAAAGTTGATCGCCCTTTCATCTTCCTTGTAAGAGACTACCGAACGCGCGCTATAATAGTTCTTGGAAGGGTAGTTAGGCCTAATACTTGAGGCGTATTTATTATAGCGTGTCCGTAATCACTGTATAGAGCAAGTTATATAGAACTCGTGAATAATTAATTACGTACTTGATTATTTGTTAGCTCAAAGTTCGGGAACAGTGTCAAAACTTTTTTCTCTACTATCCCTACATTCATTCCCTCTATTTTTTCTCTATCCCTCTTTCTTTCTCTACTCCTTTCTATTTACCCAATCCACCACCTACTCTATCTCTCTTTCTATCTCTCTCTTTCTTTCTCCTGAACCTGACTCCTTTCAATATCTTTCTGTCAGTTTGTCTCTCTCTCTTTCTCTCTCTTTCTCTCTCTCTCTCTCTCTGTCTCTCTCTCTCTTTTCCTATTCTCCTCTCTTATTCCCTCTTTCTTTCTTTCCCCCTCTATCTATTTCGTATTCTCCTCTCTAAATACTGTATCATCTTATCTATATATATTCCGTTCAACTATAATGATGGAAAATAACTTCAGTGCCAGAAGACTTAAAGGCTGCTTAATAAATAAAACTCAGCCTACTAATTAACAAGCAACAAAAAAAGACCGATGAATACTCGTTCTTATTTTCTCTGATTTTTTAGTGTGTCGTGAGAGCGGTAAAAATACATTTACAACTGCAGGAACGTTAAAAAAACGTCTCTTTAGGCGTCTTATCTATGCGAAAACATGCGTGTAATCAGTAGCAAATATTCGACGCTGAGAAAGCAAAAGAGGCCTATAATTTCGTCCCATACACAAATCAATACCAAACCTATCATTAACTGCTACAAGGATTGGCAGAACGGGCAAAGGTGTTGCTGTAGCTACCCCAATAAAGGTTATTCGTCAGAAGAAGACGCAGCGATTACTGTTTGACTGTTACCCTGCCAAACTATCCCTGAATATTTATGAATTTCCTATTAAATGGACATACCAGACGGCGAGTTGCACGAGTTAAACGTCAACATTCTCATTAACAAAAGTACCCCTTTCCTCCTTCCCTGCTCTGTTTTTTTCCTATGTGAAAAAAAAGAGTTGGGAAAAAAAATAAGCCTATATACGCTACGCGAAAGCAAACATCTTTTGTAATGGGCTTCACATTGATTAGCTGCATAGTGGATTCGCCAGATGGCGTTTTAATGCGCAGTTTGTGACGTCAATACTTCTTCGGCGAGGCTTTCCAAAGAGTCTTTAGCTTCTGTTAATTTTTTCGTGAAAGTCGCACTTGGGTCAGTCGCCATTTTGTATGTTCTTAGCGCCTGATATTCGCTGGGACCACCTCGTTCTATCCTCAGGGGTTTAAATTTTTCGTGGCGTAATCTGAATAATTAAGAGAAAATATAATTGAAAAATACCTTCGAGGAATGTGTTTCCTAGAAACGTATTCTTAGTATTCTTTAAATATTGATAAATATACGATATATCCATCTTTATTACCTTTTACCGGTACCGGAAGCGTATTCCCTTGTCTTCAATTGTTCCGCGATAGTATCATCGTCGACGTAAAACTGCTGCTTAGTGTACTGAATAAATGCCTGCAGTTCCCTTTCTCGTTTTTCCTTATCTTCTCTAGCTGAATCTGCGTGAACCACTTCGGCCATATTTTCTTTATCCTTAATAATCGGATGTGTCGGTAAACTCATTGGATCGACTAAAACGTCATATGGAACCATTGGGTGTTGAAATGTACTCGGTTCGTAGATGTTCCAATTTTCTGATTGGCCAAAAGTGCCAACGTAGTCTCCTGACTCAATAGTCCATACACGAACCGTACAATCGAGAGAAGACGAAATAATTATCTTTTGTTCATCGACTAGAACCACATTAGTAATGCATTCAATATGAGCTCTCCAATTAAGTAGTACTGTTTAAGAAAAAAAAACACTTTTAAGTATGTCTTTGTACTAAAGAAAACCTAAGAAAAGGAAACCAACGTTCGGCAGCGTCTTCTTCTGGACCATTTAAGCAATAGTTCTCTATATTCCACTGATAAATAAAACCGTTACTATCACCCACAATTACTAATTTGTCGCTTTTGTCAACGCACATGGCCGTTATTAGAGATTCGTGAGATTTTACAGAAGAGAATCTTGCTGCCACCTTACCACCGTGATAAATATTCCAGAAATGTAGAAAACCGCAAGGTCCACTAGATATTACTAATGCTGACTCTTTCATATCGAATCTAGAGGGTAGAAAACAGACCTTGTTCACACTTAATTGGCCCGACTCTCTAAGTTCGTTTATCGTGTATTTCGTTTCTATTTAATTAAAAGACAAGTTAGATTTGCATGTTTGTTTTATATATCTATATAAATTTTTTCTATATTTATAGATATATAAATATATATATATATACCGCAATTATTTTCATATTCAGGAGGTGGATCTGCAACTAAATTACAAAATCTATGCCCACTGACCATATTCCATACGATAACTTGGCCATCGTAACTAGACGTTGCTATCAAATTAGATTTGCATTGCGCAACGCATAATATATCATCTGTGTGACCGTTTATCTGTTAGTTAATGAAAAGGGAGATAATTAAGTATAATAAAATATTTGTGTCTATTGACTGCAGAGCTACAAACCGAATCATCTTTCCAATGAGGTTGTTGATGTTGTACCAAACGAACTTTAGCATCGTCATTCGAGTCACTGAATATATTAATACGCTTATCCCAACCAACAGCGATTACATAACGATTTCGATTCATTTCAACATAGGCAAGACTGCATAATTCTTCAGCTTCGTCTTCTCGTCTTAGCGTTCTCAAGCAATGACCATTATTGTAATTCCAAATCCGTACGCAACCGTCTCTTCCCGCGCTTAATAGACGCCTGGATGTATTATCGAAAGCTAAAGCTGTAATCGCGCTGTCACCATGGGCGTCTCCATATTCAAAGATAGCATTACCAGTCTCAATATCCCATACTTTTATTACAGAAGATTCTGAGCTTGTAATAATCTGCTTAAAGTTTGGATTATATACTATGGCGTAGATTGGTTCCTTATGTGTCACAGGAATGTCAGCGTGATGTTGAGGTCTATTCACACGAGATTGTTTATCATAAATAAACAAAATAAATACAAATTCTCTCAATAAAAATCACCTTAGTTTTAGTAGCAGCGAATTCATTTGGTCGGTTGCTATGCACAGAGCCTTAGCAACTGGAGAATAATAACAGCTTTGAATGTCTCCTCGAATCTTATGACCTTTGGCTCTAACTGTAAGAAGGCAATTTTGATCTGAAATATCCCAGATTTTGACGCATTTGTCAGTCGAAATACTGAATATTCTCCCTTCTTCCTCCGCTATAAAAGCATGAACAATCGGGGCACTGTGACCTCGAAGCATAGCCGATGGTTTCCTAGAAAGGAAGAGAAATACATGTACATGATATTTTAATATTTTTTTAAAAGGTGCACTGAAAACAAATGTTTCGATATTATTATCCTTGATTGGAGACTTACGATGAAACGTAAGGGTTCCACATTCTTAGAATTCGATCCATTCCACCGGTTATTAAAATGTTCCTTCGCTTGGAAAAGTCGAACGTTTTTACGCCTTTATACACTTTGAATACATTCTTATCAGCCTCTAATCGCTTTACGGGTGCTACATTGTATTCTTCTCTTTTCTTTTGCTGTAGTTGAGCATAGGTAGGGTCTCTAATCTCCCTTAATTGCATTTCTATCTGAGTCGAACCGGATGTACAGCCTTTTACACACGAAATTATATTTAGTTAAATTTAATTGCTAAATAACATACTTAGATAAACAAATTTACCGATTACTAAGGCTGTACTAGCATTATTGGAACAGGAGATAACTTGACGAAGATCATGGTAATACTTGACTTGTTGAACCCAATCGTAGTGAGCTACCCACCGTAGGAAATGAGTATTTGAATTCTTTGCGACTGCTTCAATAGAAACGGATGCTATTCCATCTCTTTTCGGCATCTTCTTCCACGTTCTCAAACATTCACCAGCTGCGCTTATTACAATTATATTTATGCAACCTTGCGAATCTCCCCATATAATTAAGCATTCATCCTGGCCGGTAGCACTATTTAATTGAACAAAAAAAATTTGTAACCAATTTGAAGGGAATCAATATTAGAAAAGAGATAAGGCCTATACCAGTAATCAATTTTCAAAGGAATTGTTTCTAAACCGCTAATCTGACAGTAAGGTTCAAAGGATGATAATTCGAAAAATTGTATTTCCCTATCGCCGGTTCCAACAAGGAATTTGTTAAATTGATTCATAATCACAAAATCTGTAATCCATTTCGGTTTCGATCTGGGATTTTCTGATTGCTATTGGGGAAACGAATAACTTATTTTACCCAAAAAAAAAAGAGAGAAGGAGATAAATAGAAGGGGCACTTACTACTACTGAGCGAGATCTTTTTAATTCTAATGTAGATGTCCAGAAACTAACGCTTCCATCCTGACTGCATACGATAAACGTTCCATCAGTTGTATCACTAACTCTGACAACTGCTTCTCTATGGGGACTGTTGACTATTTTGGCTGGTAAATGGAGGCATACCTCCTTACCTCTGACGTATGAATCTTCTTTCTCCGCATATTCCAATTGCATGTACGTGCAGAATTCATCCCATGATATTGTTCCTTCTGAAGACCAATCGATCTTTTGAAATAGAGCGTCTATTTGACCTTCTTTATTCGTTGGGATATGTAATTGAGTTCTAAGTAATTTTTTGAATTCATCGAGTTCTAAGCCTCCAGATCCATCCTCATCAGCTCTTCGGAATGTTTGTGAGAGTTTTTCAAGCGTCTCAATGTTTATCAATTCTTCGATCTGTAAATACGAAAAGAGCGGATAAATAAAATCCTTAAGAGTTGTGTAACTTGAGATATATATAAAAAAAATAAGAAGAACCCCGTCTCTGTAAAACCAATTATATAAATTTTTTCTGATTTCGTTCATTCTGAACTGCAGTAAAGAATAAAGTGAATAGATTTTCTTGACCTCGAGAGCGTTTCTCGAGGGTAACGTTTAACGTCTACGCGCTTAATTAAATCTTAAGTCAACCATAAACAATTCGATGCACTTGACGCTAAAGACAATTAATTTTTACATTATTCTTTTACTAATTACGATGCTAAGTCGTCCATTAGCACTATCAAATCTATAGTTGATATGGAACCATTTTTGATACGCTCCTTCATCCCGTGTTCAATTTAGAATCTTATTGCTTTTTGATCGATAGTTTTTGCAGCCTTCCAAGTCCTTTTCCCTTCGATTATATTTCTAATTCTTTTTTTTTTTTGCTTGTCTCTTTCTCTTTCCTCTCTTTTTCCTTCGCCTTATCCATTTTATGTATACAATAATCAAGGGCAAAGTAGCCAACTATGTAAAAGGAATAGAGAGAGATTCGTCTTCCGCTTTTGTTCAACTTGACGAATCGAGTTATAATTAAAGATCAAATTTTTCACCAGATGGCGTGTTTATATTTATTTCTTTTGCAATTGTTTTCCCTTTTTATATTCTCACCTCTGATGTGTCACCCTGAACGAAAGAGGATTTGCTCTTTCTGCCAGTACAATCCTCCTCGTCTTCATCAAAAATAGATGACCGAAAGCTTGCTGAAGATTCGAAGAGACTCCCCTCCGAATATTTAGCATTAATGATATCTGCCGAATTGAAACCACTAGACCATGTGTTCAATCTTGATCTTCTTTTATCCGTAGACGGCGGAGCCGAGAAACGACCGTCAAATTTCGTTTTATTCATCATAGTTTTCCTCTTATTTGGGCAGTTAATAAATTCTTTGTACCACTGCCGCTTAGTAACCGTATCTCAGATTTTGTTATTAGTAACATAAAACAAAAGGCCTACAGTCGTTAAAATTCTAATCGAGTGCCCGAGATAAGACTGAATAAACTCGGCCTGCTCTCAGTGTTTACTTTTTCAAGAGGTTTAATGAATATTTAAAATAGACTATTTAATTGCAATTTAAAAAAAATCGCCTTTCTGTGTTACCTGGTTGTTGAACATGCTTAATTCCCTAGCCGATTGGTCGCTACTATAATTACTCTCCGATTCAACATCCCCAAGTAAGTACAGAGCTGATGTGTCGGCTTCGTTCATATTCCAAATCGAATTTTATAGCGACAGCTTGAATGACAGCTACGATTAGTTCGAAGAGCTAATCCATTTATTCAAAGTACTAGCGTACTACTTGAACGTATATGCACTGTATATCGTTCAAAAGGCAAGAAAAAATCTATCGTTTTCAATAAATATTCAGAAAAGAAGTTTCCTCTTTTCTTGTTCTTCATTTAAAATGAAAAAATGTTAATAGCATCGTATCCATCCACTTTCTAAATAGCAACGGAAACATTGTATTTTATTCATGCATTTTTCTCACTCCTTTCTATAAATTGACACAAAGAGATTGAAACTTTCTTTTGCAGTCTTGAGAACAATTTTGTAGCCTCTTTATCAAGTAAAGTAAACAAATGGTCTACTCTTTGCCTTTGAATGAATACGGAGTGTTTGCAGTAAGTGCGTCGAATACCAAGGGGCGGAAAAAGCTTGTATTACGTGCGATTCGCCAATAATTAAATACAGTAATTTGGTAAGTCGATATGATTTCAAATACAATTCTACAGGCCGCCTTTCGTCTTATAATTCAAAACTGGTCTCGAGATTGCGCTATATTCTCAATTCAGCCATCAGAAAAACCTAATTAATAATCAAGCGACAGACAGTGTAATAAAGAAAGAAAAAGAATGAGCAATAAAGGTATTAATTGAACATTTTCCTAAATATTAAATTTTGTGCTCTTATTTCTCTCTTTTCTCGCTCTTTATCTTCCTTTTCTTTCTATTTAATTACTTTTATGAACCTATAAAACAACGTTACGAGCGATCACATGACATAGTAGATAAATGAAAACGAAATGCGTGATGAAAAAGCTATACGTGTCTTCCTATAAATTAATTAAAGATTAACGGTTTCGGCTTTCGTTTGCAGCGACACTTTAATTATATAAGAGGGACTATACTTGGTTGTCGCTATTTTTTCCTTTTCCTTTTTCTTCCATCTCTCCATTTCCTTATCCCGCTGCTTCTCCCCTTACTTTCTTTCTTACTCTCTCTCTCTCTCTCTCTCTCTCTCTCTGTGTCTATCTGTCTATCTGTCTGTCTGTCTGTCTGTCTCTATCTAACCATCTATCTTTCACTTTATTCCCTTATATATAAAATCATACAAACCCTGCCCCTAAGCAAGTCTGCAGTCTGGACGAAAATGTGAGGTGGACGGTTAGCTGCACTTGTATTTGCAATACCTGTTGAATTCAAGATCAAACTACCATAAATACTAATATTATTGGTTTTAAATATTTAATTATTCAATAATCAGTGAGGATTTACAATGTTTCTCTTATTAGCTTATAAAAAAACAAGAAAAACTAACCATCAACGCCACCTACAGTCAATCGACGAGCTTTTTGGCCTGTCTGCGTCTGTTGTGGTTTCACGGGGTAGGGAAGCAAAGGAAAAAATGAAAACAAATTAATTTTTAAATATAATTTAGGCTTAAAAATTATTAAAAATTGTTTTATAAATGAAAATTAAGTTGAAAAATTGAATTAAGGTCTTTCTGTTTGTTAAAACACCTGAAAAAAAAATTGAAAACTTTTCAAGAACCTGTTCATTAGTTTTTTTCGTCAATCTCCAATTCTGCCTTGGTCCTGAAGCCTGCGTCTTTGGTCGCAAACCACCAGCCAAACTAGGTCTTGAAGTATCACCAAAGCCAGCTGTTACTGGTCTAGCCGTATTATGATACAAACCAGTCTGATAGGATGGATGAGTTTGTATATTGGATGGTGCAGTTGACGGCCGGACTTTCCTCTTAGACGGATTTGGAAGAGGATTTTTTTCTACCGGCATGTTTTTTTTGTTGAATTGAAAGATTTTATTCCAAAATTCCGATAAATTATCCTATGAAAATTTACATATATCGAATTTATCCGTCCAGTTATCTGCTCTTAACGGTTGCTAACAGCCCGATAAATAATAAAGCTATGCAGTCAGGACAGTGAAAAAAATCTATAACAGCCCCAATGGTAATCCATACTCGGACTTCTTTGTTAAACAAAGTGCTTTTCACGGTGATCTTAGGCCTTTTAATATGTGAAACCAGCGCGAAAACCTGTCCTTATTATTTATACATGAAGGTGATTAAACTTGTATTTTGACATCTCATTCAGCCTACTTCTCACATAAAAAATATTGCGCCAAAAATAATAATACATATTTTTTCCCTTTATCCGCCCTGCAGGTGGCGTTTCAAAAGAGCGCTCGGTCACCCAATTTCCATCTAGTGAATGGAATAAAGTGATTTTTACACCTGCAAGTTATTAAAATATTTGTGGGGGCTAAACAGGTCAGAAAATGATCTAAAGCACAATTAAAGGTTAAAATATTATTATTCTGTTAGTTGTCATCTTCAACGACATGCGTCTTTTATTGAAAATATGTCAAATAAGACTCATTAAATAAACGAAATATTTGAGGGTATTGAAATACTTAGCGCTCGAAAGAAGGAAACTGTTATATAGGCCGTCATGTTTATCTTGTTTTGAAAATTTGAAAATATTTTCAATAATTCCCCATTAATAAATCCGTTTGATGTTCAGAAAATATACTAAATGCAAAAGAAATTGTGGTTAACTACAATTAAATTCATTCATTTCGTCTTCTTTGAAAATCCCCGCCTCGTTCTGTATTGGAAAACGGAAGTTTCAGAACAAAGATTAAAATGACGAAGAGATCGGGTATTTTACAAAGTATCAAGAAAATAAACGGTTCAAAGAAAAAACTATATAAAACGCCTACAAGACTAGTATTCACTCAGGCATAATAGCTCAAGGTACGCTTGAGGCTCTTTCGTTAAGTAATTCGAGGTAAATCAACTTACACGAAACATAATAATGTTCTTCCTTGGCAAGAATTAGATATGTTGAAAAAATGACGTTAAAATTCAATGAATGTACTGTTCAAACCCATATAGAATGTACTCGAAAATACATGCAAAATAAAAGAAAATCGCTATATTTTAATATAGTATATCGCATAGAATGGAGAAGTTATACTCTCTTTTTTGAATAAACAGTAAATAAAACCGGAAGAGATTGCATATATATATATATATATATAGATAAAGTTCAAGAAATAAATTTTATAGCAGGCCTCAGCAAGTTTGAAAAAACCATTTAAGCAAAGAAAAGGAGAGAGAGAGAGAGAGAGAGAGAGAGAGAGAGAGAGAGAGAGCAGCTAAAAAAAATACTGTTTATGGAAAAAAACATTAATCAAAATGCTCTGTTAGATATACTGTAACTGTCTTTATCAATATTTATATATATATTCTCGTATTTATAAATTATATAAATATAGTCTTATAGGCACACAAACATGTAAAGTAATATTTACACATATACACTACATAGTCAAAAATAGAAATTCTATAATTTAAACGTTTTTTAAAATAAACTCTATTTAAGGTTAAAAGAGTGAAGGTACCTCTATATAATTAGTCAATTACACCTACACTTGAAAATATATACTGGCAATCTAAATTTTTAATTAAAATAACAGTTTTTGAATAAACACGAGATTTGGATAATATTTTAAAAATACTTATATATACTAATATATTAGTATATATATAATATATATTTTCAAATGTGCATTATTGCCTTTCACATCAGTAGGAGACCCCACCGCAAAAAAAAAAAAATTCCTTTCTTAACTTTGTTATGTCGGTCTCTTTGATCTGTTAAAGAAACAAAGCTATCCGCCCGACATAAAACGATTTGACTTAAAAGAGACCGTTTGACATGTGAAAAGAATCTAAACTGTTTGAGGTTACCAATAATCGCTCTCGCCCAATAATTATAATTGAATAAACTATTCATTATAATCAAGTAAAAATATGCAGTATACAGATGACGGTATTTCCGGTATAAATATGGCACATGGTTTTTGTACAGCATGTTTGTGTTCCAGCAGATGTTTAAAATTAATGATTTTTTTCTAGAGATCTTTAAACCAAAAAAATTTTTTTGGTCTTGAAGCAGACTTTATATTTTTTTTTAAGTACTAAATATATATTCCCATACAATTCGTATTTGCTTATATAAAAATCGAGTATCAAATAATAAACCACATTAACATCCTAACCTTATTCTATACTGTTTATAAATTGTACTAATATTTTAAGTTTTATTCTGTAGAAAAAGATAACGCATAATAACATTGATATACATATACGTAAACAGTATATATATATATATATATTTGTATAGTTTTATATATCTAATGGCAGACGATTTGCTCCTTCTCTTCTTTTAAATAATATATATATATAAATTTATACATAAATATATATATATATATATATATATATATATATTATACAATATACTGTACATATATACACAAAAAAGACATATATAAATTCACAAAAGTGAATTTTATATATGAATATCAAATATATCGTATACAGATATCATATAAATATATAAATAGAATATATATATATATATATATATATACTGTATATATATATATATATATATATATATATATATATATATATATATATAATATATATAAAAGGTAGTATTTGAAATTTATATTTCTATATAGATTTAAAAATGTCAATCTGTATTTTTCGGCCTATGCCTCTTTTGATGAAGGGCTAGATGGTCTGATCGTGCAAATGACCTTCCACAAGCAGAACACTTAAAAGGTTTATAGCCGGTATGTTTTCGATGATGTCGGGTCAATTCGTCAGATCTGGCAAATCGACAATTGCAACCCGTGAAATGACATCTGTAAGGTTTTTCCCCTGTATGAAGTCTTTGATGAGCTTTCAAGTGTGAGCTTTTCGTATAAGCTTTACCGCAACCTAAAAAAGTTATGAGATATCCTTTAGTAAAGGCTGATAGCAAAATTGTATTTTACGTCATTGTTTACTACAGCTCCCTTGGCGACACAGGCCATAGAGACATAGAGAAACAAACATTTCGTAATAAACGATTCTTACCTGGATAATGGCACCTATGTATTCTTCTCTTTTCCAGATCAGAGTTGGTTTTTCTATTATATTTAATTGTCGTGCAGCCGGCGTGAGTCTTTCTAGGCCTATTTGTAACTGGAGTAAGGGGTTGCTTTACGGGAACATGTTTATGTAGGGGAGTTGGAGAAGACGGTTGGCTATTTGGAGGCGTTAATGGCATATTAGGAGGAGTCCAAGCGTCGGCAGGTTCTTGCTTGACAGTTGGCCAGTTTGATTGACAGTTATTATCTTGATAAGACCATTCTTGTTTTGAAATTACCTTCGCTTTCCCATCGAGCGAAGGCGTTTGCAAACATTCTGTTTGTTCAAAGATTTGAGATATCGATAAGGGGTCAACTGGCTCGTCCTTTGGCAGGTATTTTTCCATTTCCTCTTTAAACTTTGACTATAAAAGTGAAAGAAAGACATAAGCAAAATCTTTCTACATAGGAATATCTTTTTGCTAAGACAAAAACAAAGCGGAGAAAATATCAAAACGTTAGTTATCATATCTTCTAGAACAAAACGATAAAGCATAAATAATAATCCGCACTGTGAATAAGAAAGAGAGAGACGGAGAAGTGTCCAGATAAATATTGCTGGTAGCAATAGTCATATAAGAAGAAGAGAGAGAAGAAAAGGTAAAGAGGGGGAAAAAGGAATGAAAATTATTAAAACAGCAAAAACAACATTAAAATCGACGAAAACGGCTATATAATAATAGCAATTATATTTACCTCGTCAAAGCTTAAGACGTATCTATCAGTATCATAAACCCCATCACTATTAAGTTTATGTTCAGCTAAATAAGATTCGGGGTAAAAATCGCTGTTACCGTTCAATGTTGAATACATTTTGAGGCAGCAACCACGCTAGATATTAAGTGAATGAACGTACTAGCAGCTATATTATATAGCGCCACTCAGTGTTTAGACATGTTGTTTTGGAGACACTATAGCAACAGAACAACAGTATAGTAGGAGATATTTTAAAGCTCATATACTATATATAACAACGTTAGATATTATCAATTAATATTCATTACGATACATATATATTTATATGTATATATATATATTTTAGAGAAATTAACTTATTACATTAAATACTTGACAACATTCCAGAGGCTAGGCCTATCGTGTTTAAAAAAACGCCAAAAGTAAGATTTTCCATAGAATATTATCAATTTTCTTTCCAACCTTTGTACCAATCTATGATAATATACAATATATTAAAAACAAATATAGGTTTGTGCAATATCTATAATTAGAAGGGATCTATTTTAAAAACCGGAAAATTCACTGTATTCAAAGAAATTACTATAAAATATATATGCATTTATATATCGTAATGTTTTCTAGTGATTTTTGTTTACACTTGTTTATATCTAACCTGGAATAAGCTTCCAGACCGTCTATTGGCAGTTAACGATACTTCTCTTTATTTAAATTTGAATATATTATATTATATATAGTATATTAAATTTTTCATAGATTAACTTATTTGACTTTTCCGTACTAATTTCTTTACTCTTGTAAATTTGATTTTCCTAAGACTTTCTATATATAGGCTTTATTATAATCCTATATATATATATATATAAGTAAAATGCCTATTTTTCCTGTCCAAGTATTACATAAGGAATCGATCTATATATAGCTATGACCGATTTACGTGTTAAGATATTCTTTCTCCTTAAAGCATTCTCATCATGGAAAAGACCTATAGTAAAGTATTTTGTCAATTGTTGTATTGGAGGCTATTTTTTTTCTTTATATTTCAAGTAGAGTGAATGATTTTTTCTTCTATCGATTACTCGACTCGTAACATCTATAGAAAGGGTCAATTTGCACTTTTTAACCCTTTTTCGATTGATAGACTGTCAAACAAAAATCATTAATAAGTAGAATTGCCTCAATTACTCTATTCCTTAATACGTCAATTCTCTTCTTTTGTACTGCTTTTAAAACATCACAAACTAAACGTAAAGCAGACGTCTCCACCTTTCACTAGCTCTCTAGATCTACAGTTTTTTACCTTAATGATATAGTCAAATGAATGTAAATTCAAAAATGTACCACATAGTTATAAACAATTTTTAAACATATTTTCGTTGAAAAATCATTATTCTTTCCACAATAGGCTTACATCGTTATATGAATAGAAATAAGATAAATAGACATATAAACACGCACATACACAAAAGTATGCTTATGTAAAGTATTTCCTTAAGTTGTTTTTCTTTTTTTCAATTCCAAGATTCTCAATTGATTACTTTAAGGATCAAAATCAACGCAAGTATCTAGAAGATGACATACGCCAAGTATAGGCTTTTTAATAAAAGACAAAGAAGATTATAAGTATATTTTCTTATGATTAGAATTTATAATGAGAGCATTAAAAGTAAGAATACACAGGTTAAAAATTGTTTTTTTTCTTGATAAATGTTTTTGTTAAGAGATAGAATTATCATCTTTCAAAATCTTTAATACGAGTAGTGTTTACTTCTTTTTTTTCAATAAACTTAAAAAGGAATTTATGATGTATTCTGTAACGATTTTTCCACAGACTTATTATTATTAAATCAAACAGAATATCAATATTTCTCTGAAATTACAAAATATATGGAAAAATTGCAACAAGCCATACAACTACTGTTTCGTATATTGGACATTTTAATTTAGTATCTCTTATATACTGTATTTCTGTACTGTATTATACAACTACCAAGTTCTAATAAAAGTATCTATTGACAAAATATTTATGAGGAACTGTTGTTCATAATTCACCAGCACATCCTCTGTGTTCTGAACACCTGCGAAATAAAGGCACTATATACATTTTAAACAATATACTATAAGATATAAATGCGGTTATTATCGCTAGAATTCAATCATTTTAAGATAAGACATAACAACTTACGGATATGTATAATTTCATTCTTTCTACAATGTCATATTTGTTTAATTTGTTCAAATCAGCAAAAAAATTTATATTTCACCAACATTTTTGATTAACTGGCATTATAATATTCACCAAAAAAATAAATAGGTCAACGAATTCTCTCTTAATCCTATAAGAAATTATCATGGAGACTTTATCATTTTTAATAGAATTAAGATTTTAAAGTTCACTTTTTATGGTAAAAGTTCTCTTTTCCCTTTCTGTAATTCCCAGAAATTTGTCATACTAATGACTCATTCGTAACCTTGGCGGTAAAGTTTTTGTCAGAAAAACAATGATGTCAATTGAATTTATATCGTTTAGAGAGTATAAAATACGTTTAAAAATTAATTTTCAATAGAATTGTACGACATGTAAAGTTACTTTTCAAATGTTAACCAAAAATTGCAAAGGAATACAATAAGAGATAGAAAAAGTGAACTATAAATTCATTTTGCATAGCTTTCATTTTTATTTTCATATACAAAATGTTCACAGAATACAGCTGAATCATCATTTTCTTCTAAAACTGATAATGGAATCATATTTATACATATACTTTAATTATATAGAATTATTATTTATACATTAAATGTTCTAGATAGTTCTCAAGTTTTTCCTTCACTATTTTTAAATTGTAAATTATTATTTTTTCTCTGGTTAAAAACATCACTTTTATTCAAAAAAAATTCATACATATATACGAAAGAATAGTTGTACTTTTTTTAAATGTAACACCTGCTACCCTAACTTTTTATTTATTAAAATACCGATTATTCGCAAATACAAAAAGTCATATCAAATTAAATAACTGCGGACTTAATATTTTAACATTAAATGTTATGCGCACGCATGCGCATTATTTTAACGGAAGTGTACTCAGCTCCATTTTGTCGGCTTTGTTGCATACGAGAATCTTTTTCTCTATTAAAGAAGGAATCATACAATAATATTGATGCAATCTGAACAAGGTTTGTTAAATAATTGTAGAATAAGTTGTATTCAATTAAATCGTCCTCCTTCTAATAAATCGCCTTTTCTCCTATAATTTTCACGTGTGCGTCGAACCTGACCCTTCATTTTGATTTTCTCTCAGAAATTCGATTCATTTATCTTTTTATCCGTTAATAACTATCTCAAATGCATAAATCAGCTTTTACAATTCTAATTTAGTAAATGTAAAGGAAATCTTTTTTGATAATTAATATTTGATTATATATAATTTTCAAAATATATTTTATATTCGATAGCTGCGGCTTACGGAGACTACTCCCTACCACCAACAGCCGGTCAACCTGCCCCTCCAGCTCCCATGCAAAGGTATCTATTGTTCTCTGTGATTCTATATAAAAAAAATTGAAAATCTCAAAAGTACTTTAATAGTACTTTTTGGTTTTGCTCATAATAGCTTGTGAATTGAATGATTTGTCTTTTCAGTGCATACAGCGGGTATTCCGGTTCAGCAGACCCAAATTCCTATGGCTCAGCCTATGGAAGTGTTGCTCAAGGTCAAGCAACTGGTCAGTCGCCAGGTCCTGGACCAGGCCCAGCAGGTTATGGAGGCAGCCCCTATGGAGGCCAAGCTCCTGCTGCTCCTGCTCCAACTGGTTATGGCGGAGGAGGCAGTTACGGGCAAACTGCCAGTAGTTACGGTGGAGGAGGCGGAGGAGGAGGAGGTGGCGGCGGCGGTGGTGCAATGAGTAGTAGTAGTAGTTATGGTGAACCTCCAGGCGGTTTCCAGTACAGCTCAGGTGCTGGTAGCTTTGGTGGAAATAGAGGCGGTGGCCGAGGAGGTGGAAGAGGCGGAAACGGTGGAGGAGGCGGAGGCTTTGGAGGAGGTGGAAGAGGTAAAGTATAGAGTTCTTCGTCGATTGCTAATCATATCTTTTTTCTCACATCAGATGGTGGCTTTAGCGGAGGTCGTGGAGGTGGCCGTGGAGGGAATGGCGGTTACAGAGGTGGCGGTGGCGGAGGCCGTGGAGGCGGAGGATTCGGAAACGGAAGAGGTAAGTCAATATCAAAATTTATTTAAGAATAATAACCAACAAAAAAATGTTTGAAAAGATTATTCATCCGGTGGCGGCGGTGGAAGAGGAAGTAGTTTTGGCGGAGGGTAAGTCAACTTTACTTATAGAATGTTAGGTGTGCATGTTCGGCTATCGCTCGCAGCGTTGATTAACAAAATCTAAGAATAATTAAATCAAGAAACTTTTTTTAAGTCTATTATTTTTTCTTAAACTTTTAAATAGCCAGTATCCGAAAAAATGAACAGGTAAACTATTATTGAATAATTTAAATAAGAATTTCTTATAAAAAGAAAGCTGTTTCTTATTGGTTCGCGAGAAACACGCGCCTCTCGGGTAACTTGGAAACTTTCAAAGAGTAACAAATTTTCAATTATTAGTCATGTGGAGTATAAACGTATAAATTACCTGGGTTATATGATTGCTAAAAAAAGTAGTGAATAAATGAAAACAACGGGATAGCGGTGTATATAATTTTTTCCCAAAAATTTCTATCGAGGTGTATTTAAAAGTCTTGTAAGCAAAGAAAAAATAAAACAGGATATTGGATATTTACTTGTTTGTAAAACAACCATTTTGGTGTGTCTGAAAAACTTTAAACTGTAATTAAATTTCTTCAGTATTAAGCTCGATGCTAAATTATTAAGAAGTCATTTTACAGATTTAGAGTACCTTGCAGTATTTCTTACGAGAAACTCAATTGAAACAAGAAATTTGTTTAGATGTGATTTTAGTTTCATCAGTGTTATGGTGTGCTTCTACAAAAAGTTAATATTACTATTACTTACAGCTTTCAAGGATTCTTCATTTTTTTCATTGCTTAGTTTTTTTTAACAACCGCCTCGAGAATGGTAGTTGTTTTTGCGTGTTTATCGCGCAAATTATTTCGTTTTATTAACGAACTCTTGGTTTGTTATAATTAAAAATGATTGCGTATATTATTGTATGATAAATGTATAATTGAGCGTATTCAAAGCACGAAATGGATCGCTTGAGAAGTGACAGACAGATATAATGAATATTTAATATCCTAACAGACGAGGAGGCGGTGGTGGAAGGGGTGGCTTCCACAAATTTGGTGGTAAGTTCAATAAACTGTTGAAAGCAGCAAATTTTACAACAAAAGTATTTTTGCTCTCTATTGCTGCTAGGTAACTTGGTGGTGTGAATTATAACTATTTAAAAAAAATGAACAATTCGAAAAAATCAACCTTCTTTCAGTAAATTGTAATTCAAAAGTCTAACAAATATCAAAATATAATTTTGTTAAAAGCTCAGAATTTGCATTATAATTAATTATAACAAGTTGTTTTCATTCCATAATACCATTAAAAATCAACGGCTGTTTTAAGTTAATTTATAACTTTCATAAATTTGTCCTTGAGCAAACTGAAATGGAGGGTTGCAAGTTATAACAGAAAGTAATATCTTAACACTTAAAACGGTAGTTTCAATAAATTTTTTTAAAATATTAACTTGACATGCGAATTGTTCATAATTTCATTTAAGCAAGGTATTGCTTGAAGATACCGTCTGGTGTAAATAATATAAATGATTACTAAAAAAAAACAGGTGTGCGATCTTTTAAAGTCGTGTCCTATTCATTTAAGTACTTCAAACTGCTATCCTTTCAATTAGAAAGAAAAATATTTATCTATATATATATATATATATATTTATATATATAGTTTTATACAACACCCACCACTGTACCAATTGTTAATGTGAGAGTGTCGATAAAAATTGTAAGAACAAATTTAAAAAAATGGTTCTATATTAACCATATGCAATATTATCGTTAACACCGATAAAAAGTCTCTGAAAAAAAGTAAAGGGTATCATAAAGAGTCTGAACTGAACATTTCTTTTTTAAAGAGTCAAGGCTAATAACGTTTCTTAAGTAAATAACATACATTTATATGGTTACATCGAATTATCTAATGATAACTTAATATCTGTTTTTTGTCATTTTATTTCTAAAAGCTTTTTGAACGGGCAATATTTTTTATAAAAAAAAATGATTTTAATAGATTTTTATTTGTAAAACACTTAACCTAGGAGACAAGAATGTTTTGTGATATGTGTTAAAATCACCACCAAAAATTTCAAATATCCGGATATTGAAAATGGATATTGATGGTTGATAATCCGTTTAAACAGTCTATTTGACAAAGCTGTATTATTCGGTATTGTGTGGTCTTTCCACTATTGAAATAGACAAAAATATTATTCCTGGTTAATTTTTGTTTTCTTGGGTTCACTGTTCAGACAGACTCTTTATGTTTCACTCAGTTATGAGAGTATGATCTTATGAGTGCAATGAATGAAAAAAATTTAATCACTGCTAATATTTAAAAACTTTTTTTTTCAACAGATGAAGACGGAGGGGGAGGAAACGGACCAAAAGAAATGGTTCCAATTCCCAATGCTGTATTCATATCAAACCTACCACTGGATGCAACCATAAAAGACGTAGCAGATCATTTTGGTCAAATTGGAATGTTGAAGGTCAGTTTCTTCTTCAGCAAAAAGTTCATTTTAGTAACGTTGTGCTTTACCACAGAATGATAAAAAAACGAACGGTCCAAGAATACAAATGTACACTGACAAAGTCACAGGAGCTCCAAAAGGTGAAGCAACCGTATTTTACGATGAAGATCAAACCATTCCTTACGCCATCGAATGCTTCAATAACAAAGAGTTTCGTGGTAGTGTTCTTAAAGTTGTTCAGGCAACGAGGCCCAATTTCGGACCAGGTACGTATTGCATGAAACAGCAAATCCATCTAAACTTCTAAAAAACTATTAATAAAACAGATAATAAGTGGGGTGGCAATGATAGACGAGGTGGAGGAAGAGGAGGTGGCGGACGTGGAGGACCACGAGGAGGAGGTAGTGGTGGTGGACGTTCAGATATGCCTCGTGAGGGAGATTGGACTTGTCCAAACCCGAGTTGTCAAAACAATAACTTCTCTTGGAGGACATCGTGTAATAGGTGTCAAGCCCCGAAACCAGGTGGAATGGGCATGGTCAACGATGGGGGACACTTCGGTCGAGGAGGTGGAGCTGGTGGAAGAGGAGGCGGTGGTCGAGGCGGACCAGGTGGAAGAGGCGGTGGCGGTCGAGGCGGAGGTATATATTAACGTTTTAGCGCCTGGTAAACAAACTATAAAAGATACTAACCTTACATTAACTGAAAAATCGGAAATCGGTGAATCAAAAGAAATAGATGAGAAACGTGACTTTTTAGCAAATGTCCGCGGTGGCTTAACGCCATGTACTAATTAGTCTATCATGCATAATCATCAACTCAATTCAATTATCTCCTGTTGGGAAGTCGTGCAAAAACAAAGACTTAGTCTTCAAGCCATGCCTCGTTACAATTTCACAAAGAAATTTTTTTTCTAACCAGGTCGAGGAGGCGGCGGAGGATTCCGTGGCGGCGGCGGCGGCGGCGGAGGAGGTGGACGCGGCGGTGGTGGTCGTAGCTTCGGCGGAGGTGGTGGCCGAGGAGGAGGAGGCGGTGGCGGTGGAAAAGGTGGTCGCGGCGGCCCCGGAGGACCAGATAGGAGGCCAGCAGGAAGAAACGATCGCAGAGACAGGCCTTATTAACTTAAATCAACCCCGTCACCATCAGTTGTAACAATTTGTATATTTGAAAAATTTATCATTTTTTTGTCAAGACCTGTCTTTTCGTTACGGCTTTTTCTATGATGAATGTGTAGAAAATTTCCTTTTATATCTCTTCTGTTTTTTATATATATATATATATTATATGAAACTTCGGTTTTGATGCACTGTATAAATAAAATAATTTTGGCATGTTTAAAATGCTTAAGGCATTAATAGCTTTTATGTGGAAAAGAAGAATACATGCTCTCAACCGATTTTCCCTCTTCACGTTTACATGAGCTGCCGTTACAACGTGAGAGAAAGTTTATATTCAAGGACAGGTGCATAATTTTAGGCCTACTAGAGTTGATACGGTTTTTTTATAGTCATAGTACGCGTGTAGTATTGCAACCGTCACACTTCAAAGAAGTTCAAAGCTGGGTTGAACAGGTGCAACGGATAGTACCTGAAATTTTGCGACGCCTCTGTCCGTTGAGCAGCGTTTGAATTTTTAAATAGCCTCATTCTCCTTCCACTCATATTTTGGATAGCCCACGAAGGATGCAATAAAGATAGATGTCGAGAAATAAGTCGCTAAATGATGTAACGAATATTAAAATGATGGAAACATCTAGAGGAAGATTGAAGCAAAAATATTTAGAAAATCCGCTGAAAATTCTACTCAAATCTCATCGAAAAGGTGTTCTAAACTTGAATAACTCTTCAAAGAGTAGTCATTCGATTCATAGTGAGTGTTACGGACATTATAAACTGAAGAGAGATGATTCCTTTCCGAATCTGACGTTCAGAGAAAAGACATTGAAAGAAAGTACAAGTAAATCACAAATAAATGCTGCAGTATTAGCCAAAACTCGTGATGAACATATAATTAAAGATTGCATTGGTAAAGAAAATGAAATACATCATCATTTATACTCTAAGGAAAGAAAAATGCAGATCGACAGCGCAATGTCCTGGTTACAAGAGCAGCTGGTAAGTACCGTTTTTTTTAAACCTAAATTCCACGAATACCAATATTCAAGCTAGTTTTTCGTATTTTTCTTCCCCTATCCAGAATAAGATGCAAGAATACGATAAAATTCTCTCAAAAGAACTCAATTCAATTACAGAGATGATTAAAACATTAAAAGAAGATAAAATAGTTGCTCCGTCCCCTAAAAGATCAGACGAGAAAAAAATTGAAAAATTAATGAAGCCTCCTCCCAGTTATAATTCTATAATGGAAGAAAGAGCGAAAGTATTGAGAAAACAAACTCGGGAAAACGAAAAGCGTTCAACTCTTCAATGCGATCTTATTGATAAAGTTTAGTCATGAAAGAGAATTAGTGATAGATTATATAGTGTATATAGAATTAAATCTCTATATATGTTATTTATATGTCCGAGTACTTCTACTTTGTTATATTTTCTTTAATTTTTTGTTTGATTAATTTATTAGTCTTTGTTAAAAAAATTCCTTATTGAAACATGAAAATAAGACGAAGAATAGAGCATAAACACTATTAGTAGAGACATTACCTTATTCTATATTACCACTATATACAGTATAGCCAAAAGACAATGAAAAATAAACAAGCAAACAAGAAGAGACGCCTCGCCTTTCTCTTGATTTAATTATCGTAAAATTCCGATGAATTTAATAATAACGAGTTCTTTAAATTTGATGAAATATTTAATTGAGATACTGCGAAAATTACGTTATAACTTAATAATCCTCTTACGTGATTTCTGCATAAATATTTCAGTTTGAGAGGATGAGATAGACGCTTTCCAATTATGCCTCTAAATTCATTAAAAGTCATATTATTTGGTTGAGAATTTCTTTCCATTTCCAAGTGTTTCAAGTTTTTATCTTTCGAGGTGGGTGATAAAATTAGGCAAAAGTCTGGAGTATAGCCAATACTAACCAGTAGTAAAAGACTATCTAGACAACCAATATTGTAAAATTTGAGAAACATTTGAGAGAGATCAAAGTTGACAGGACCATTTAAAGCCCTTAAAGCTAATCTATAAAGAGCAAATTGTTCTGAACTCTTATATCTTGTATTCCAAAATTTCAATTTGAAAACTTGACGAATATCGGCTCCTTCGTTTAGGAGAAATTCAGCAATCTTTAACCGTCCTTTACACTTACACAGAGAGAAACTTTTATAATAATGACTAATATTTGGAAAATCAGTTAAGGCGTAATATAACATTGGTCTATTATACTGATCAGTTTGATGAAATGTTAATGATTTGTTCAAAAGAAGCTTTAAACATTCTATACATCCATTCAAAGTTGCCGCCAACAGTAGTGGACATTGACGATTGAAAATCTCTAACTTGCTATTTTGCTCAATTAAATATTGAGCAGTTTGGCATCTATCATGCATTAATGAATACTGTAGAGCTGAAGCCCCTGATCGATTACAGTCGTTAACGTTGGCATTGTTTCTTAAAAGAAGTTTTACGGTACTGATGTGACCGTTTGAAGCAGCTTTAATTATTGGTGAGTAACCCCATAAATCTTTATGATTTACGTCGGCCCCCCTATGTATAAGCTCTTCTACTATTCTGTCGTGACCGAACGTAGCAGCTATAATTAGTGGAGTAGTTTTGGATTCATTTTTCGTTGTCGTATTCACGTCTGCTCCGAAATTTATCAAACGCTTAAGAGCGGCCAGGTTACCAATCTCAGCAGCGGCGTGAATAGGAGAGGTTCCGCTCGATTCGTAAACGTTTACCTGAGGTACCAGAGACAATACAATGTTTAAAACAGCCTCGTTCCTACTTCGTACAGCTTCAATGACTGGGTGTCGCCCATTTCCGTCTTGTAATTCGCTATCAGCTCCGGCAACTAGTAGGGTACTTACCGAGTGATGCTTTTGTTCATCAATAGCCAACGTTAAAGGTGTTCTTCCATTAGGTAGAACTAAATTCGGATTAAAATATCTCAATAATTGCCTAAGCTGAAGAACATCGTCTTGCTTAATAGCATTCTTAAGTAAAAAATTTCGAATTTGTTTCCGAATTTCTTCTGATTCCTTCGAAGAGAGATTCTTCTCTTTATTCTTAGGGAAAGAATTACCCATCAAACTAGGTAATACAGTGAAGAGAAAGGGTATTATCTTCTACAAGACTATAGCATAGGTATAGAAATTACACATTGCCTGCATTTAGTATTATCTTACTTCCTGATAAGATTAGTCTCATTTTGATTATAGCAAAGAATCTAATAATAATAAAAAATTCCATTCTTATCCTGCTGCTTTCCTATTTATTATAAATCTATGAATATATATATATACAGTATATATATACATATATATAAATAGACTGTATACATATAATTTATGTATATATTAATTATATATGTGATTTTATTTAAATTATACGAAACTAACTAATCTGTCCAAAGCTATATACTTTATATATACAGTAGATATATATATATATATGTATGAATATATGAATATGTATACATTTTTACTATTTTTCATTCAATTCATTATATTTATATCTTAATTTTAATGACTTCCCAATAAATGAATAAAGAGAAAACTTTGCTCTTTCGTTTTTAATGATTACAAAGCGTGTTACCGCAAGTTTTTATTTCTCATGATGTAAGGCCTACTTTTTATTATTTTCGCCGAATGTCGTATCAACGTGTAGCTTTATAAAAGATATAATTCGTATATACAGTATATAAACAGTATATATGCAGTATATACAAGTAGGGAAAAGGTTATGTAAACTCTAAATTTTCGTCTATTACTTTACTTTCAAGTGTTTGATAGAAAAGGTGATGACGTGACACTCATCTATTATGAATAGTAAATCTATTAAAGGAAGGAGACGTACTTATAATTCTTATATACTTTTTAATACAATCTAGCTTATACGATTTCCTTGCACACCGTCTTACTCTTTCCTAGAAATACCATGTGTGGTTTAATTATTACTTTTCTTAATTGATAAAAAACCCAAGTAGTCTGTTTGGTTCTGATAATAAAAAAATGTTTAGCCAATTTCAATCCAGTCTTCAGAGAAAGCAGTTTTTAGCTTCCTAGAAGATTAAATTGTTAATTATTGCGATAAACAAGTCTGGCCAGAACTCTCCAGACCTTTTCAATGAATATTAAAATCTGGTGTGTTTACTGATTAGTAAGTCCAAAACGTATGTAGTAGAAGTTCAACGAATTGGTTCTCCATCCTTAACCAAAATATCATCTTTGCTATATATGATATGAGCTGAGGATACTTTTTTCTTTCATTTTCCTCTATTAATACTATCTTTTTAGCAGAGCAATCTCTTTTAGAGTGAGAATTGTTATCTTCTCCTTGAAGTGACATATCAGGCGTAAATTTATATAGTATATGTAAAATGTGATATTTACAAAATATGAACAAAATCGTTATCTAATGCAGGTGTTGATTATCTACGTTTATTAGGCTAACTAATATTAAACATCTTTTTGTCTTTGTGTAAAACAGAGACAAACGTTGTCTCTAAATAATGGATAATACAGTATTAATACAGTGTGTTTGTTAGAAAGAAAATATTGAATAATTAAGATAATAACAAAGATAAAGTTTTTTTTTCTGTTGATTAAGTATCAAAATTTTGGTCGCTGATATGATTTTCATTTATACCATCTATCAGCTATGTTTCCTGGCATACACTGGGTTTTGGAGCTGTTCAATCTACATCCATATTTACATTTCGAACAGTAATAGTTATAGTAGGCGCAATTGCATGGTTTGTTGCTGCAAGATTTTGATTGACACGATGTCACGGCTAGATAAGCTACTGAATCGTTTCTTCTGTAATTGCAGTATTTCCTCAGGTAATTTCTGTCGCATTTACGAACTGCGTATTTGCTTCTTGATACTTTCTGGCAATTCCCGCAACTTGGACACTTTTCCCATGTACCCCAGCCTTCTACAGCGCATTTAAATCTACCGTTACTCGTTTTTATTAATTTTGATCCTTCGCAACAGGTAAAGTCTTTAGGATCTTCCTTGGGTTTTGGCTTATTCCACCAGTTCCACCAACATTTATGGAATCCTCCATAACCATAATGCCCGCTATAAGAAGCCATTTCTTCGTTTTCCAACTTCTTTGCTTTACACGGCTTGTATAATGATCCCGGAATAATAACTTTTCCACTTACAGGGCAGGCACCGCAAGCTATCAGAGAAAGTTAATCCTTACGTTGAAAATATTTACTCAATATTAGAGAAAACTTACGAATGTTACAATGATCTCCTCCCCATCCAAGGGGACAATCACATTTCGATACACCACCTTCCACGTAGCATATTCCATTATTCTGACACGGATTACTCTTACACTCACTTTCCTCGACTGTCGTAAGCAAATGTTCAATTTTTGATTAAACTTGACATTAAAACACTTGAAGATATATACCTCGCTCTTCGCAGTACTCTCCTCCATATCCTACTTTACAGATACAAGTAGGCTCTTCATTCATTAATACGCAAACACCACTATTGAGACATTTGATTGATTCACAAGATGGGCCCTCGTTCTCTGTAATGGAATTAAACTTTAAAAAAATTGATATAAAATAGACTATTAACCTTCAATTTCACAAGTTCTTCCACTGTAACCGCTGGAACAGTCGCATTCATATAAAGCTTGACCATCAGCTCTTAATATATCACTAGTTCTACAAGTGCCACCGTTTTTACAAGGATTAATTATGCATGCAGTTGGTGGAGTATCACAGTTTTTTCCAGTGTAACCATCCCAACAGGTGCATGTATAGCCACTTCCCATATTATTACAGTTGCCTTTGAAACAAGGAGAACTGTCACAGTAATTCTTCCGATTCTCACAATGTTCTCCTGAGCGATTGGGAGGACATTTACATTGGTACGAATGAGGATTCTGACTTATGCAAGTTCCATTTCCTTGGCATGGATTCGGATTACAAGGAGAAGCAACTTTTTCGCAAGAATTTCCTGAAAAACCTGATGTACAGTAGCAAACTCTGTAATTTACTCCTCCTGAACACGTTCCACCATTTTGACAAGGAGAAGTAACACACATTGAAGGGGTAGAACAATCATTTTCGTAATATCCTATTGGACATCGACACGAGAAACTTCCATCCGCTAATCTAAAGCACGTACCTCCATTTTTACAAAAGCCAGCAGGACATGACTCAAAAATTGTACACCGATCACCGGAATATCCAGGACTACAAACGCATTTGAAACCTGAGCTATTTGACGAATCGAGTTCGCACCTTGCAGTTGAAGAACACGGATTTGACATACAAGGGGAATTTTGGCAATTAGTTCCTGTATAACCATTTATGCAAACGCATTCATAGTTTGAACCCATAGGTCTACATTGTCCATTTTGGCCGCAGGGGGAATTATCGCAAGGCCCTCTTGTATTTTCGCAAAATTCACCGCTATAACCATTATAACAATCACATCTAAAATTATTTCCTTCAGTCAAAATGCAAGCGCCTCGGGAACCGCAAGGTCTAGAAACGCAAGGATCTGGAATTGTACAATCAATTCCCCTATATCCTTGTTCGCAGGCACATCTATAACCTCTTTGTTCCCTAGTATCTTTAATACAAATTCCCTTATTGCAAATACCAGATGAACATGGATTTTCTAAATGAGAGATAATGATATCTTTTATCAGATAAAGTCTTTACAAAATATATGTAATAAGTTACTTTTTTCACATCTACTTCCTTCGTAACTTGTTGTACAGACACAGATAAATTGTCCGCCAACAATATCGAGGCAGGTACCATTATTCTTGCAAGGGCTAGATAAACAAGCCGGCTCTAATCGAGTAAATATTTTACTTAATTATTGACAATTCGATAAAAGAGAGAGAGAGAGAGAGAGAGAGAAAAGGCAAAATCCAAACAAACCTTTTTCACAGGTAGTTCCTGTATAACCTTGCTTACAAGAGCAGAAAAAATTTTGATTTTGGTTAAAAGGTAAACAAGATCCTTCATTTTTACAAGGATTCGGATTACAAGCGTCAGGTGCAATTGGTTCAATTTCACATGTTGTTCCTGTATATCCATTAACGCATGAACATTTATAAGCGTTAATCTTATCTTCACATATTCCTTTATTCTTGCAAGGATTCGGTACGCAATCGTCTATATCTTTATAAAGAAAGAATTTGAATATATTTGAATATTTTTCATGAAATATTCTAATATATTTAATATATTATTACTTTCTTCGCAAAATTTTCCTCCAAAACCCGATTTACAGTTACAAGGAACGTCAATTTCACCAGTACAAGCTCCTCCATTTTGACAACGACCAGCGCAGGTTTCATCTAAAACCCTTTGAATGCTTATCTGAAATCCTCTTCGCTCCGATGTTTGAGTTCCTTGTTTAATAGATCTAAATACCAATAATGCACTATCAAGATCACTCTTAACCTCTTTCATTTGCGGACTTTGACAACAAAATCTGGAATAAATTAACTTAGTATTCGTAAATATAAAAAGAAAGATAAGTTATTGATTACCTTGGTCCTGGCTTTCCATAATCGCCATTGAGTCTCTAGAAGAAAAAAGGAGTATATTAGAGAGTTATTAGTGTTGATAAATGAAGGATCAATACCATTTCTAAGTAATCTTGACAGTGGTTTTTCGTGCAAACGATACCAAATTGATCAGAAAATGTTAATTTAACGTTGTAACCGGGTTCAGTTGTAATATTCCACGTGCATTTAGAATTTTCTGGATAAAATTTCGGACTAAAAAAACCAGGCGATTCAATCGTCTGAACTGAATCGTCAGTTAAGTGAATATTAGAGCCGCAACCATCTAAGGAATAACAAAAACATTCGTTAAGTCATAAATTGAATATAAGGGAGCCAACCCTCTTGAAATGATGACTTTTCGCAAAGTTTTCCACTTAGACCCTCAGGACATGAACAAGTAGAGCAGTCTTTCGGGTTTTGATAACCTTCGTGACTACATTGTAATTTTGGTTGAGTGATGCAGGTTTCTAAGAAAAGAGTTAACAATTTCCATTTCATACAATTCCTTTTAAGTATTAGATGGGTAATAAATAAGATTCTCACCACTACAGTAAGCTAAATTGATCATTTTAGTATCGAAAAATGATAATTGTTCCCTTTGTCCAAGAGACCTTTGAAAAAGGGCATTTTTCGTTTCGATCGTGTTTAGACTTGTTGGTTTTCTGGAAAAGGCCTGATGGAGACACGACAAATTTTAGGCTCATTAAAAATTAGGCCTAAATTTAAATAGAAATATCGACTAACATTTTCTTTGTAATGCATTATCGACGAAAAATCATACGGTGTGAATTTAACTTGGACCAACTCTTCGGAAACAGCTATAAAGTTGGATTGTTCCTTCTCAACAGCATTTTTCAGTAGAACGTTTAAATAATTGTGTCTATCAGATCTTTGATGTTCATGCCATAGGCCTAGAAGATGCCCAATTTCATGCAAAGTCAAACCAATCTAAGCATGTCCAGGAGATTTGTAAAAATAGAAAGTAGATTTAGTAGACTATATAAAAAATATAAAAAACTACTGCCATCTGTTTTGTTTAGATGAGAAAATAATAAAATGAAAAGAACTTAAAGAATGGCTTAAGGAGTGAGAGAGAGAATGTAAAGAAAGAGGTCGTGGTATTACAATGAAGTATTCCTTTTTTTTATTGACAATACTAACGGGATTTAAGCACGAACTTCCTAAAAATAGAATCTGAGGCGACGTCTCAATTTTGTCTTTACCAATAAATGATAAACATTCCGTTGTCGTAGCAGACTTTCTAACGTCAACATGGGCAGAACTTTTAAAAGTTTCTTCAACAAACTCAACACAAGTTTCAGCTTGCCAAATATTAAAAGCCCTTCTAATAATGTCTTTTTCCCCATCGCCTGCATAACGAAAGAATTAGAAAAGAGGCTATTTTCTGTAAATAATTCATTATTTCCTTCCCCAAAATTAACTCTAAATAATAAGCATCGTTAGAATAACGTTTTTCTATTTACAAATATACTGTATATACTAATATATACAGTATACAGTATATATATTGTATTTATACAAGAGATAAATTTATCTCTCTACCTTCCTTCTCCTATATTTGCTATGGATAAGAAGATCAAATCAAACTTACTGTACTTGGGATCAAGAAAGTAGCGGATTGGAAAAGTCCATTTAGAAAGAGGTTGATTGCCAAAATTAGTAATTGCGGCTCTCTTCCGTCTATAGATAAGTGAATTTTCAAATTCGTGCCTCATACTGCCCGAAAAAAGTTCATCATCCAATCTCATAATGTTGCCATTCTATTCAATAAAATTCAATTTTCTCTTATAAAAGATTATCGGTAATTTTAATGAAAATAATATTTCTATTTCACCAAAAATATGAATAGTTAGATGAATTTATTTGAATAAACTTTAATTAAATATGTAGAAAGAAAGCTAGAGTAATTTAATAATATTTGCTCAATTACGTTATCTATTGTAGGGCGGGATGTGACGCCGGAAAAGAAGATAATTAAAAGGAAGAGTCCTGTTGAAATAAACATTTTTTCTCGATCACTGTATTTCATTGAATGCATGGAGAAAGCAATACGGCCAAGGCACCAAAGTCGTGACTCAAATTTTTCTGCTAATTCTAAGCCTATTACATTTAGTAAACAGATCTGTTCTTTATTCAAAATATCGCATTATATTACCAATTCCCAATATTACATAATTCTTACATTTTGGTAAGATGGACCTAGTTATGCTACAGCAACGCCATCTCTCAACAGCCGGTGTCACTATTATTATGCAGACGACGTCCGATAAGCGACGCTTTTACTTTTTTAAATAAAATAAATTTATTGGAACAGATGTTGCAGGTTAGAAATGAAAAGAGACAGAAAAAATGGTTCAACCAATTTTCTTTCTCTTTCAGCCTATTAGAGTTAAAAAGATTGTATTTTCTTTTTACGCTCCTTTTTTCACCCCCCCCCCCCTCTCTCTCTCTCTATCTCTCTCTCTCCCCCTCTTCGTCTAATTATAGTACGAATTATGTTCACTGCGTATTATACAGCATGTGGGCTATAAATGCACAAAACTTGTTTTGCAAGCGTGTAGCAGACAATTTTCTTTCTTTACGTGCGTCTTTGTCAGTTTGTCAATACCAAGTCACTTGGTCTGGTTTTTATATCGAGAAGGGAGATATTTTTTCCCCTTATCTGTGCATACTATGAAATAGAAAAGAAATAGGCGTCAAGAGAGAAGAAAAGGACTGAGTTGATTTACGGATTTATCGGGAATTAAAATCATTAAATTATGTCTTGATGAAAACGTTAATTAAAGATGATCCATACTTTTTCCCACCCCTATTCACCCTTCTCTCATTATGAACCCCTTGGCCCCCATTCTCTCCGACCCTTAGTTCTTCATCTCGATCTTTTCTCTCATTCTTCACCTATTTAACGAATAGCTTCTAACGTAAACCATAAAAGAGAAATATTCGAGGAAACTGGTTACTACATCTAAAACGCCTATAAATCGCATCTGCTATCAATTAACGAATACTCGAGCGTTTGCAACGGAAAACCGCGTAGAAAAACGCGAGTTTACAAACTAGGCCTAACCAATCTTGAGGCCGGCCAAACTTAGGTTAGAACAGATTAGCATCCATTCCGACTGTGTTTTGTATGCGGCGCTTTAGAAAATTCGCTTAGGTTTCCTTCCCGCCTCCCCCCTCCTCCCACTATTACTACTACCCTATTTTTTTGCTTTGTTTGCCAAAACGTTTACAAACAACGACCGGATAGAGATTAATCGGTACGAATTGGATGATTGTGATATGAATGCGGATAGAACTAAATGGCCTTTCGTCGAGGACGTTCACGTCGTGCAGGTTATCAGTTTATTTCTAAGCTTATTCTTTTTCATATTCCGCGTCTCCGTTAATACAGCTTTTAATAAAATGTCATTTTGTCACCCCACCCCTCAACCATCCAACCTTCCCCTTCCCTACCCTTTTCTCATTCATTTTGCTCTCTTTGCTTCTTTCTTAAACCCTTTGAGTGTTTGCCAATATATATATATATATACTGTATATCTATCTATACAAATATGAGTATATGAGTATGCGAGTATGTATATATATATTTAAATGAGTGTGTGCGACTGTATTTGAATCCAAGAGCATGCTCCTGTATTATCTCCTCCTTTGAATTTTAACTATTATCCTTTCCAATCATTTCAATCCTTTGCTAATCTCTCTGTAGTGGATTAAAATATACTTTGCACCTTATATAAAAAATGGAAGAAAAAAAACAAAACAACATTCTCCTTAACTGTTGGTCGACCAAGTTATGGATATACGTAGGCCTAGTGAAACAGGCTAAGCGATCGTATATTTATACAAAGGCACGAATGCCTGGGGGCAAAGTATATACAATAGTAGCTAATTTATACATAATAACTTTTGGTACAAAGAATAGAAAAGAATTGATACGTTAAACGTAAAGAGAGAAAAAAGATGATTTTTTTCCCTTTCCCATCTTTATCTTCTTTTTAATTCTCTCTCTTTCTCTCCCTCTCTCTCTCTCTCTCTATGTGTCTGTCTCTGTCCCCTTATCTCTCCCTCTCTTTCTCTCAAAAATCTAATAATATCCAATCTTTTTTCTTTTAAATTTTATATTTTAGGAAAGAGAAGGCTTAGTTCTGGTTCGAGGAGAGACGGATTCGAATGCAATGCCTATGAAGTTACGACTGGGTAGGGACATAGTGGAATTGCACAGGGAAGAATTAGTTTGCGTGGAGCCAAACGATATCGACTCATCTCTATTATCGAAAGTGAGTGGCGGTCCGAATCGATATTGATTGATTTGTCTATTCAGGATGAGCTAAAATGAACGAGTTGTAGTTGAATTGAATATCAATAGAACTGTGATTGCTTGGGAGTAGGCGAGTCTATATCGGATTTCCCAAGTGTTTTTCTCCTTTTTTGTCTCTACTATTTCTTATGTTCATAGATAAATAGATATTTCCGCCCCTACTGGCGGTCCCTATCGTTACTATCTCCAATTACCTTTTATCCTACTCAAATTTCAATTTGGTTGGGATAATTTAAAAGGAGAGAAGTCAAAAAAAAAAATAGGCCAAAGGAATGAAGATAGGAAAAATCTAAGCGAAAAAGATATCGAGAAGGGGGGCGTTTTCCGACAAACTTTCCTAGTCGAATCGCAACTAATTCGAGCACCTCTTTGCCGAGTTTTGTTTGCAAATCCAATATCTATCGCCCGAATTCGATGAAACCCGATTTGGTTCGATTAGACGGCCCGTTCGCCTTATTTATACGAGCGTCGCTTAGATTTCTCTGTCTCACTCTTAGCTGTCTGTATCTATCTGCCAAAGACATTTCTCGTTTTGAATAATTAAATATAATACAGAATTGTTTACAACAGGAACGTACAGTTATCGTTCACAGAGGAGGTGGTGGTTTGGGCATTAGCGTTAAGGGTAATTTATTTGTTTAACGAAAAAAAATTAGTCTCATACGTTTAATTAGGCTTAATTTATTATCAAAATAGGCGGACACGAACATAACCTACCGATACTCATCTCTCGGATATTTAAGGGCCAAGCAGCGGATAGGACAAGATCTTTATACGTTGGAGACGCTATTCTATCTGTAAACGGGGCGAATGTTACAAAATTGCGTCATGACGAAGCCGTACAGTGCCTAAAGCACGCCGGCAACGATGTTACTCTAGTCGTTAAATACTTTCGTCCAGCCTCACTATTCCTAGGCCAACAAGATCGAGAGAACGATAATGGTAATGATCCTTTATCTAGTCTTTTCGTTTTAAGACTAGAGCTTTTTCTCATAGCCCGTTTCCCCTCTAAAGCATCTTGAATTTAATAAATATTCTTAATAATACATTCTTTCGAATATCTATATTTTATGTGTAATACAGTTCCTTAATAATTTCCTTCTTTTTCTGTTTTTACTCAAATAGCTGGCATGGGGAAGCAATTGGAGATCGAAAATGACAATATAGAAGTTGGTACCCAGTTTTTTTTATACCCAATTTTCCCTTGCACTTTTTTTCCCATTCTACAAATGCAAAAGATTCGCTTTTTACGGGGGCGTCGATCAATTTTCTTCTGTACAGATAGACGACCAGCACGTACCGTTGGCCCCAATAAAGAAGGAATGGAAATTGTCTACAACCATACCATTATTATTCGCTCATATAAGTTTATCAGAAGGAGAAAAAGGTTCTACAAGCTTCCAAATTCAAAGTGCAAACGATTCAATACACAGCGGTCTAATTATGTGCGAAAACGCCTTCTCGTGTTCGGAATGGTTTAACGATATATTTAATAATATTAGTGCCTTGAATTATAAACGGATGAAAGAGTTTAATAACTCAATATATCCCTCCAAGCAGGTTTATTTTTCATTCTTCATATATAGATATACTAATATATATATATATATATATACTTTATAAAATTTTATGATATATTATTTATTGATTGAAAATGAGCTACTCCTACATCAACCTTATAAATTTTTTAAAAGGTCATGTTTATGAGTTGGGTTAAGGAGAAGATAACTAATGTTGCTTGGGCACCGACTTTCCTCTGTTTATGCGGAATGGATGTTTATCTTTTCGAACAGCCTCCGGTAAAAGAGAATTAAGCTTTTGGTCCAATCAAAACCAAACTAATTCATTTAATTTTCTTGTTCTATTTTTCCCTAAATCTAGGCAAGTCGGGATGATTGGGAAGTTCCAGAAAAAACATTCAAAATATACGAATCCGTTTTTAGAATTCTAAAGGTAATTTCTAGTTGAAAAAATTACTAATTTACTTCTTCTCAACCCCCCCCCCTTCCCCCTTCTTCCTCCCATCGTTAATGATGCTTAATTTAAATAATTGACTTGTGGCGCCATCTATAGTATATTTTTATGTACATACATTTCAGCAATCCGAGTGTGCGGACGACAGAAAATATTGTTGTATAATAGAAAACGCTAAATGTAATAAAGTAACTCAAACGGTTCAGAAATGTTACATGAGCGTCGATTCTCGACAACAACTGCTAAAACTGGAAAAAGCCTGGCATTGCGCCAATGCTACAGCGGTGACAACAATACAGGTTAATAAAGTAAAAACTCGTATCCTATAATAAAATAAGGATGGCAAAGGTCTTATATCGTTTTATTAAGATTATTAATGTTGTCGTACAGAATATTACTTACGGGTGCTCGTGGAATGATAGACTTTGCGGTTTAACCCTGGATTTGGATGGTGGTATAGCACTCTATGATAATGATACAAAGGTAGAGAAAATTACGTTTTTCTTTCTCTCTGATCTTATCATCTTATTCTCTCTCTCTCTCTCTCTCTCTATTTCTATTTTTGTTTTTCTTACTAGAACAACGAATGGGCCTATCAGTTCTCTCAATTGAAAAGTTCCCGAGATGACGGAAAGAGTGCACTAATGATGAATTTTACAAATGAAAATGGGATGATCGAAACCAGAAAGATTGAGAGTACAAAAATGTTTGCAATTATATTCTGCTTACACTCATTTTTAGCTGCAAAGCTAGCCTTTGTAGATCCAATATTTCTACAAAACGTTGGACTATAAATCAAAGAGTTTGTTATACAAGAAACTACAAGAAAATAAAAGAAAGAGAAGAAGAATTAATAATATTAACATGATTAAAAAAATAAAACTAAAAAAGTGTGCTATTTAGTCAAAACAATGAAAAAATTCTCTATTTTACACAGTCTATTATAATAAATTGTAAAATTAACTATCTTAATTATACCTATTAATACTTTTTATTGAAATTATACATATGTAGTACGTAGTATATTTATATCATATTTTCTATTTATTAGTAAGCAAACAATGATTGAAGTATATCATTTATAGTATACTTTCATCTACTCATAAAAATGCATCTATGCATAAGTATATATGTGTATAAATATACTAATACGGTATATATATATACATATTAGTATATAACGTTTTATATCATTTTCTTATTTGGTGCTTTTTTTTCTTTGTTCCTTTATTCTTTTATTTATTTCTTTCTTTTCTTTCTTCTCTCTCTCTCTCTCTCTCTCTCTCTTTCTTTATTACTCATTCATTCAATCACTCACTCTTCTTATCGTTTATTCAATTTTTTATTACACTGAAATAAAAGTTTTTTGATATTGCTTCGTTCAAATCTCTTGATTTATTATAAAGTTAGAGAAATTATTAGTTTACCATTACTATATCTTTTATTTAACCAAGGCTATCAGCTGAATGAAAGTACGGGTTGCTCGTACAAAGAGGGGTAGTTGCCATGACAACGAAAACTAGAAGGGTACCAGGCTGCATAATGCAGTGTACTTTGCGGTAGCTGGCGAAATGGTAATGTAGTTATTTTTGTCCGCCGCAAACCTCTGCGTGCCTGCTTACTCTATCCGGAACTTGGTAAAGAATGAGAGTGGATGAAACGAATCAGCAAACTAGGAAAAGGGTCGATGATACAAATCAATTATGGAGAGTACAAGATATGCCTAGCTCAAACGAATCTACGAATCAGGTTTCCATTTTTATATAATCACGCTTCCTCTTAGTTAAAAATCCCCAATATAGATTTTACTCTAAACGTATGATCAATAATATAACTAATAACTGTAGTCCTACAAACATTAATCATGTATTTAAAAAATTATCAATAATTTGACATCAGGATCGACGCAGCAACAGACAGCGCTACCATAGATAGAGCGTTATCGATTTTTCAATCTATTCCCGAATTTCTGATTCTATTTTTTACCAAGAGCGCCCCCGCGTGGAAACGCTTGAATCCGAGATGTCAAATATTCAGATTTCCACCATGTTAAATATCACTTTTAATGTTTACTTGATTTTTATAGAGTGAGGAGATTAAAAGATGAGGGCAACATGAAACAGAATGAGCGAGAGAGAGAGAGAGAGAGAGAGAGAGAGAGAGAGGGAAATAGATAGATAGATAGATAGAAATAGAATATAACTATATACTGTATATACTGTATATATGCTTATGCATATGTGTGTATGTGTCGGCGTCTGTATGTTTATATATGTATGCATACAGCTTTTTAAAAGAGAGAGAGAGAGAGAGAGGAATAAATAGAGAATGGGTTAGTAAATGAGAGAGGGAGTCAGTAAATTTATATCTAACTTAGTAATATAGGCCTAGCTAGAAAAAGCAAAAAAAAGCAAAAAAAACCTAATTATAGGCGGAACTTTTGATTCATTCCTTGCTAACCCAATCTTCTTAAGCATCCCGCAGATCTCTTGAATTGATTGCATTTATTCCTCCACTTTCTTCTCCTACCTGTCTTATACTTTTACCCTTATTCAATAAAAATCTCACGTTTGAAATCGTCAAAAAGTTTTTGAAAATGTGAACAGAATACCATATTATCAGTATGTTTGAACCTTGCACCATACTGGGGAATTCCTTGCAACGATTGTTAATAAGAACGTATTGGGAAAACACCGGAAAACTAGTTAACACCATTCTGAAATAATCGAACGTAGCGTAACGTCATGTTCTGTTCTTTTTTCTAAAATGTTCGTTAAAAAAATCTTACTTTTCGACTGTTTATTCGAAAGTATAAAGGTAAATAAGAGAGAAAATTTTGAAAAAAGCATTTAAATATATGTTATTTATTAAAGTGTTATATATATATATATATATATAGATAATTTTGTGTTTTATACACACATGTTCAGTATATCAATTATATATTCAAAACAGAATTCAAGAGCTCCATCTATTGTCGACGATGAAGATGGACATTTAAAATACTCTATAGGAGATAAAATAAGATCAAGATGTAATAATTATTTATAAGTCCACTTTCAAAATATTCAATATATAATATTTTCCTATTAATCTTTCTCTTAGATGAAATTTTACGAACCCTGGGAGAAGGAACATTTGGTAAAGTTGCGGAATGCCGGGATACTAGAAATAATAATGAAGTTATAGCCTTAAAAATAATTAAGAATGTTGATAAATATAGAGAAGCCGCCAAATTGGAAATTAACGTTCTTAAATCAATTAATACATGGAAAGGAGGAGGAAAAAAGTAAGTAAAAAACAAATCTTCTTTTTTGTTTCTCGATAACCCCTTTTGCTATTTTTGTAACTGTCACGTGACGCATCTTTCAGCTAGAGGTTACAAGGGTTAGTGGCCGGTACAGGAAGAATATACCCTTCTTTTTTACTGCATAGTCTCACCTCTTTTTTTATTAGCATGCATCAAGTTATTCTCTTTCTCATATAAAGGCTATAGGAAGGGAGAAAGTGCAGAAAGAGAGAGAGGGAGAGCAAATAGAGAAATAATGCACAATTTATATAATTTATACTTATTCAATTAGACCTTAAACCCTAGTAGGGCAGTAGAGCGTCGCTAAGTATATATATATATTTATTTATCTATACTGTATATCCTCTTCTGTAGCTTTTCTTAAATGTATGCTTTTAATTAAAAATGAGAGAGAAAAAATTGCACACCAAGGTCATCACTTAATCATATAAAGATTTGTTTTTTTTTTTCTTTCCATCACAGTCTTTGTGTAGGAATGGATGATTTCTTCGACTATCACGGTCACACGTGCATAGCTTTTGAGGTGCTAGGCCTAAGCGTGTTCGATTTCTTAAAGAATAATAACTACGCCCCGTACCCTCTTTATCAAGTTCGACATATGGCTTATCAACTATGTTCGGCCGTTGCTTTTCTGCACGAAAATAACCTGACCCATACTGATTTAAAACCCGAAAATATTTTATTCGTTTCATCCGATTTTGACGTAATTTTTAATGAGAAAAAGAAAAAAGCTTATAAGCGGGTAAAGAAAACTAATATAAGACTAATTGACTTCGGCTCAGCGACTTTCGATGATGAGCATCACAGTACGATTGTATCTACAAGACACTATAGAGCACCAGAAGTAATTCTGGAGCTTGGTTGGTCTCAACCCTGCGACGTTTGGAGTATTGGTTGCATTATGTTTGAATTCTATACTGGTTACACACTCTTTCAAACTCACGATAACAGGGAACATTTGGCTATGATGGAGAGAATTCTGGGTACTATTCCGTATAGAATGGCTAGAAAGACAAAGTAAGTTTGTTACAAACAAATCTATTTATAATTATGTGAGTCATTTATACAAAAAAAAACAATATATCAATTATATTCAATCAATCTCAACAACAATTGTCCTCCCTCATCAAGTATAAAGGGATAAAACTCTCCCAAAAGGGTAATGGGAAAAAAACATAGTTATGGGAGGGAAGGATTTACAGAAAAAGGGAGAAGGGGTGGGGGGGTTAAAAGACCAAAAAAAATATATATATATACAAAGATGAAGAGATATTATCCAGAGTTATTACTATAGAACCGGCTACTTCTGGCACGGTCGACTAGAATGGGACCCTCAAACTTCGGCGGGTCGCTACGTTAGGGAAATGTGTAAACCTATACATGTAAGTCAGAGAGAAAAACGAGGAATTTTTTTTTTAATAAAAAAAAAAATCTGGAATTATTTTGCTGTGTTTACGGCGATATTTCTTTTTATACTATTTCCGTTTTAAAATCCTTATTACTGACTCTTTTATTGTGTTTTATAATGTTTTTTATTTAATTCTCCATACTTTGACTCTATATTTTTTTCTGACTTTGCTGTTGACTAAACTTTTTTCTAACCCGTTTAAACCTTCTAACCCACTCAATTTACAGGAAAGGGCGATATTTTAACAATGAAAAATTAATCTGGGAAGGAAGTAATTCGTCCGAAATGTTTGTAAGAAGTACGTGTAAACCTCTTAGGGTATGTAAATAGGACTACTGGTTTTTACCTAAACTCATCCTCGTTTGTTTCTGTTACTCACTAAGTCTTTTTATAGATTATTTTTTTCTGTTTATTTAAATAATCATATAATTACAATCTATCTTATAATTAATTATATTATCAATTTATATAATCGTTTAATATATTTGTTTTCTTTTCTGCCCTCTTCCAGAGATATATCTTAGACGAGAGTGACGAACACAGGCAACTATTCGATATGGTTGAAAAAATGTTAGAATTCGATCCAAGGCATAGGCTAGAATTATCAGAAGCATTAAAACATCCTTTCTTCGACAAGCTATCTCCTGAGGAGAAAACTTTCACGGAAAGGGAACGATCTCACAGTTTAAGCCGTTAAAGAAACAGTTCATATTCCTTTTTTTTTGGTGCTGACGGGGGAACACATTTTTTCATGTAAAAAGAAAAAAAAAAGAGAAACAACACCAGCAAAGAAGTGTTTTTTTATAAATGTGAAGTGTTCGTAGTTGTTTTTTTTTCATAGTTCAGACAGAAAACCGTTGTGCATGCTGCTGATTATTAAAAAAAATGTGAAAAAAAATATTGCGACCCCTACCACTTAAAGATTTTTTAAACTTCCAATTAAAAGTACAAATGTAATAGATAAATCTTTATATATATATATGCTAAGAAAAGATGATTAATACCACCTTACGTGCCATTTTTATATAAATGGAAAAAGACTATATATCTTTCTAGATTATGAATTATTAATATTACTATATTGTTCTAAATTAATGCTTATTTAGTCATAATGTTTTATATTATATAAGATAGCTTATTTTGTGAACTTTATCTTCTCCTTAAAGAACAAAGAATATATAAATATTGCGGCTATTTACTACCAGTTTACATTTGAGATTGCTGATTATTTTACCGCTTTATTGGAAAATTATAAAAATTAGAAATGGATAGCGATTTATTCGAAAGAGGAGAAAGATCAATCAATGAATTCATTTCATGGTGCAAATCAAAAAACAATTTTAAAGAAATAAAATTTAATCCAAAAGTTTGTTACAAATTTGTTAAATACTTTGTTTTCTTTTTGAACGATTATTAATCATTTATACATTCGCATAATATCGCTCAAATCCATGTGCAGAAAAGAAATATTATTTTTCTTCTTTTGCACTTAAATAATTTAAACGTCAAAAAAAAATGGAAAACTATTCCAGAATTTACAAGTTTACTCTCTATGCATAATCGAATATACGCTTCCCATCTGTAAGGCAACAGGCTTTTCTCAACTGTATTGTGATTATTGATACTAAAAAGTGTGATTTCATAAAGCCTCAAACATCTGTGTAATGTTTATATTACATAATAAATATTTCTCTTCTATTTGCTTCCCAAACGTTACAAAGTCATTTTCTATAAAAGTTGATGTTTTCAAACATTCTTTACTTAATATAGGTCAAACTAAAATGGCTGGGAAAGTCTCAGCAAATCGGAATGGTTTGTTCTGAAGATATAAAACGAAATGAAATTTTAGCAAAGATACCAAAATCTAGAATTCTAGAATCCGATAAAGATAAATTGTCAGAATTCCAGTATCGCAAATGGGCTGGTCTAGCACTAACAATAATGAAAGAGAAAGTCAATAACGAATCAAAATGGTCAAAATATTTACAAGTATTCCCCTCGGTACACTGCCCCCTGCACCCTATTCTCTTTTCCAGGTAATTGAATATAAATAGATACCAAAACAAATAATGTATTGGGATAATTCGTACCAGAAAATATTTTGAGAGCGCCCTTCGCGGTAGTCCAGTTTACGGAAGAATAGACAGGGATAGAAAAAATGTACGGGAAGATTGGCAAAAGGCTGCTCTACCTTATCTAAACGAAAATGAAAACTATATGTCAGTACGAGTTATTTTTAACGTAACAGCAGTGCAATTATATCAAGCCGGCGAACTTTTAACAGAAGCTCAGATAGTTTATTGGCAGCTAAAAAAACATTCTTGGAAACCATCGCCTTCATAATGTCTTACAGGTGTGCGTTATGTTGCAAAGATTTGTTTTCTTCTACTCAAACAGTTCTTTAAATGTAGTTAATCTATTCTCCCTTGTTTACACTTAGTTTTACGTTGGAAAATAATACGACTGCAATGATTCCTGTTGCCGATGCTTTAAATCATCATCCAGAAAATAATGCATGCTTAAAATACGCTTCTAAGCATACCGATTGCGTTTTATTAGTAGCAGTGAAGCACGTCAAAAAGGTACTTCAATTGTTTACTGTCTTTAGCTTTAAAATTTTCACGCTCAACAACCTTTCTTTTGTGTAGGATGAACAAATATATAACACTTTTGGTCGTCTGGACATCAGCCAAACATTAGAAATGTACGGATTCGCACTAGATTACTTAGAAGTAAGGTCAACCGACGCCTACGCCGTATGTAGTTCTATTTATAAAAAAAAATTGGAGTTATCTTCTTTTTTTTTTAAAAAAAAAACTTGAACACTTTTTTCAAGGTTTGACATTTCAGAAAGTACTTATATAATCTAAATTTTCAGATAAGTATTGGGTTTAGAAATTTTATTGAAGGCGCTTTTGATCTTAATTTACAACTTACGGAGAGAAATTGGAACTTACTATTAGTATATACATACTTTTATTATTATTAGTAGTAATAAAGATCTTAAAATTCACACTCTTTTTCATTGAATAGAGACAATGTGATAAGTTTTTTGAATTTACAATTTCCTTTAACGGATGTTGTCCCAATCTGGTTAAGTTTATTCAAGTAAGGTTTTACTAATTTATTCAATAGTCATAAATCTTTCTTAAACCGTTAACTTAATACTAATCTTTTATTAATACAATTGTTATATATTGTTATATTTATTTACTTATTAAAAAAAGAAAACAGTGATAGCATTCTATTATTATACAAATATATAGTGTACATAAGTATTAATATATAATTCTCTTTTCTGTCTCTCTCTCTTCAAGCTATTCTTTGATGAACCAATCTACAAAAGTGATACTGAATTTGAGGAATTAGTCAAATGGGGTTTGTATAGGCTTACAATACAAAAAAAAAAAAGAATCTGTACTTGATTCAATTTATATTTTTGTTACAAAATTAATCAGAGCATGTTCGGTCTCGTCTAAAAAAAGAAGCAGTTAATTTGATTATATCGTAAGTAAGAATATTATTTAAATAATACATAGAAATTAAAGAATTATTATTAATAACATTACTTCTCTTTTTAATTAACCATCTTTACAGCGGCTTATACAATCAACTTTTAACTTTTCCGAGATCTTTATACCACGAAAGAGTCAATTATAAGTTTGTTAAGGAAACTGGTCTGTCGGATTGCACAGGAAATATTACTTTATATACGCATTCAGTTTGTGAGCTTGTTTGGCGTATTATTTGCTGTTTGAACAACGATTACAAATTAAAAGATCCTCCTGCCGTTGTTAAACTCCCACAATCTCTACTAGAAGAAGAAGATAGTGATGATAAAAGCGATGAATTTTTCACTGGTTTTATAAATGATAACGCATTTGATAAATTTCAATCGGAAGCACTAAGCTGGACAATAAATAAATATGGTACAGTTATGAATTGTTTGAATGAAGAGAGTAGAAAAAGACATTTAGTCGAAGAGACTTTAACGGAAAGTAAAAAAGAAGATATTGCGAAAAAGAAACATTGTTTGAAATAATCTGATAAAACAGTTTACTGTTTACTGATTAAAAATATACTTTAATTGAGAGAGGTTCGATATTAAAATATATGATAGTCGATGTATAGTTGTATATAACTGTAGTTATGGTATTATACAATACTGTACGAGTAAAATGTCAGCATTTTAATATCTCTTTAATACAAAGCAAACTTTTTAGAAAATAATATTATCAATCATCATTTCTTCAAACTTCTAAAATGTCCTATATATTATTAGTTTTGTATCGCTTTATTCAAGTTTATTGGTTAGTTCAAATGAACGCTGGCGCTTAGCTGCTCCTGGCCTGGTTTTTAAGAGATTTGCCCTCATTAACTCTTCTAGTTCTTCGTCACACCCGAAATCTTCTAGCGACGTTCCTAAGCTTGCTGTATCGTCGCATATTGAAGATTCATTGTCTGAAGAGTGGGGTTTTCCACTCCCATAGTCGCTAGTTTGACGCTCTGAAAACGAAGTTGTGGAAGAGTATTGAATAGAATGAGTACATGTTTTTTCATTATTTGCTAACACGTTGCCCTGCCACTCGACGGCGCCAGTAATATTTATACTTCTAGGCGTGAGAAGACCGGCATCTCTAATAGGCGTCTGCTGACGTTGGATAGACACAACATCGGGTGTTTTCGAAGAGGAGCATCCCATTATCGAAACGTCGTCCAAACTTTGGACAATCTATCTTCTTCCTTTAATCCTTTTCTCTTCTCCCTTTAAAAATTTATCCCTTAAGCAATTACGTAATCGACAAGGTGAGCATCCGTTGGGTTATGGAAAAATTATGCCGCCTAGCGTCGCTTTAAATATATACTTGCTTAATCGGCTTAGAAGTGGCCTCTTGAGACCTTAGCGATAAGATAAACAGAAAAGATTTCATATTTTTTTTAAATCAAATTACGTGTGACTTTGAAGAGACTGTATACAAAAACTTAAAGAATTTGGCCTTACGTAAAGACCTGCAGACAATGATGTCAAAGACGAGGACTTGTCATGAATTCTTATGAATTCTAGCCTTACTTCCACCCCTCCTAATTAATATTAAATAAATAACTACATACGGCTTTATGACCGTTATAGAGTCTCTTTCCGTTTGCTTACTAAACTCTTGGCATGAGGTCTTCACAATTTATTTACATTACATAATATAGTGTCAGTAAAGTTGTAGGTCTAGTTATGCAAGTATATATATACTGTATATATGTATGTCATGCAATATATAGAAAAAAATATTTCAATTAATTAATTGGTTTTAGTTTGGTCAATAATGAAAACTGGTAAAAATTAAATTAACAAAAGAGCGAGTAGAAACTAAATTATCTTGCATTAGTGAGAGTTATAGTTTCATTTAACACATTTAAATATATATATATATATGTACCATAGACTGGATATCTAGAAATGTTATTGTTTTAGTATGGTAGGTATCCTAATCGTAAGTTATTACTTTGTATCTTCTGCATAAATATAACTTGTGCGGTAATCTATAGATATTGAAAAACTTGCTAATAGACAATTTTTAAATAATGATTAATTCAAATACTATGTACATTATATATATATATACTGTATATATACTGTATATAATATGTTCAAAATTGAAAATTCATTAAACTTTACTGAATTGAAGAGTAACTCATAAAATCTTTATATCCTTAAACAAATCTTTAAACAAGTTATGCAAACAGACGTTTTAAACTTTTCTTTCTTTCTTTCTTTCTTTCTTTACTTAATCAAAACGAACAAAACGAGGCTATCTTACAAAAAAATTGATTTTTACTTCTTAAATAACCATCTTTACCTGTAAAACTTTAAATTCTTCTTTCGTTTACTCTTTTTACTTCCGGTTTTCCATATTAATTATCTTAAATTATGAACAATCTCTATATTTTTTAACTTTTTTAACTATTTGAAACTGTATCTTTTACTTATCTGCTATTTCGTTACGTTTATTTGATACCAACTATACAAGTACTCGCTTATATCTATGAAACCATAATTAACGTATTTTAACATCAGACTGAAAGAGTTTGTTAATGCATCGCGCTAGAACGCCATCTGTCGGAATGAATATGAAATGGGAAGGAGAACAAAGATAAAAGAGAAAAGGAGGTTTTAATTTTCACAAAGATCAAAACTGGTGTTTTTTTTTATTTAATAGACAATGAAAGAAATATAATATTAATTAAAGAAGGAATTTAATACTAATTGAAGTAAAATATCAACTTATTAGTTCATATATCTTTTACGTTATGACAATAGAAGAAGAAGAGAAAGAGAAAACAGTAAATCATAATTATCATTTATAATAAGATTAGCATATCTATTATTATCTAATTAAAGAAAAAGAGATGTAAAGAGATAAAAGAAAATCTTTACAATTCACATAGATTTTATTCAATCATATGTTTCTTAATTACTAACTCAATTATAAGATTATACTGTATTGATATATAAAAAAAAACACTCGTATGTTTGTTTATAATGATTATCTACTAAATACTTGTATTTAACTTTAATCCTGTTTTACATACAATACATTCAAGATCTAAAAGTAGAACATAATTGAAATGTGATACTTCAGCTTGAATTTTCATGTTTTTTCTCTTTGCTATTTTATAATTAACTTCTTTAAGCCTATAACATTCTATTTTGTTTTTTATTTTCTAGTTCAATTTAAACAAAACGCTAAAAATAAACCTATTTTCTATAGTAGACCAATCCTATAGATGAATTAATAGTCGTTATGATGAAAAATATAATTTCAACAGAAATTTATCTTTTACGATTTCTAATCTCATAATTGTTTATCTTGTCTCTTTTTTTATGCTACTGCATTGGCTTACAAAGTCTAATTATTGCAGTAGGTCTGGATTATATCAATAATAAAGTCAACATTGTTAAAAAGTCTGGGAAGAAAATGGCTTGTTCAATATTTATTGTCGTTCATTGTGTTTTTTCTTAAAGAGATGATCATTTTTAATAAATAGTTGTTGTATGTTTTTTTTATATAGAGTTATAAACTGGCTTATTACAGTTATATTCATTTTCCTTACTTATGTCGTAAACATATTTGTCTGAGAATGAAAACCAATTGGAAGTAATAGGAGCTGTCTGGTATTTTACTGATAATTTTGTTTGTATTAAGTGAGAAATATTGCATATGCAAACCTTGAATGTGAGAAAGCTAGAAGGAGAGAGAGAGAGAGAAAGAGAATGAAAAAATGGAATGAGAGAGAACAAGAAATATTCAATAGGTGCGAAAAATAGACAGAAAACGTTTTAATATCAACCTTATAAAATTAAAGAATAACGAGAAAAATCTGCAAACTCGTCTGCAAATTTCCAGCTATTTATCAATAATAAATTATAAACTACGGATATTTAAAGAACAGACTTCTTAATTTATAATTAATTAGCAGTATAATACATTTATTAGGGAAAATATTTAATACTCATAAACTGTAATTAATGCTAATGAATAATAAATTAAGAATTGACCTTATCAACGGACGTTTCTTTTTCAGCAAAAGGGGAAACTAAGGACGGAGATCATGAAAGAAAGAAAAAATCCATTAAATTATTAAGACCCATCTGATTTTTTCGGTAATACGAGCAATGTTTTATGGACTCTACCTTTCTTCGTCTCTTACTCGTTTCTATTACAGATATATGTAGTATAATAGTCTGTTAATTTTTTATTATATTTCTCTTCTGTTCTGTTCTTTCTGGCTGTCAGTCAACTATTCCATCAGCCTATCTTTTTGTTTAAGTAACTCTATAGTTTTTTCCTCTTCCTCTAGACGTTATTTTGCTTTTGAAAAGCATCTAAACTTATATATTTTATTATTAATATAAAAAAATACACTTCTTCCTATCAGATTCTCTTTTCGTTCCTAAAAGTATTTAGAGATAGAAATAGTGAAATAATTAAAAAAAGTGTACAAAAAGAAAAAGTAAATGGAGATTTGTACAGCTATTATACTCTATATACAATTAGAAGACAGAAAAATTGAGGAAAACAAGAGAAAATTTATCATTTTAAAAGAGGAAAGTATCTTTCCTAAGAAAAATTTTGTTTCTTTAAAAAAAAATTAAACCTAAAAAATTTTTTATTTTGATGAAAGTTGGAGAACGAAATGCAGGTTTCTACAACAACGAATGAATCGGTTTTCAGCATTCGATTTGAGAAACCTGTCTTTCGCAATCCGTTTCTTTTTTCAAGTTTGAATAAGGAAGCAAAGTAAAGTTTTCAATTTTCATCTCCTTCTTTATGTTTTTTCTTCTTCTTGAAGCTGGTCTGTTCAGCTCGCTCTTAAACACTGACGTAGTTGCACCCTATTTATACACTATTTTCATGGGATGAAAATCGTGACGAATATACCTTAAAGGCGTTCCCCAAAGGATGAACTGTTCAAGCATCTTTTGAAAGTTTACTGTTATTTTTTAATGCTAACTGATGCAAAATTATTATTAATTTCTTAACTAAATAATACTAAAAATTCAATTACGTAATGAAATAATTCGACTAAAATTCAATAAATATTTAAAGAACCAAACCCCCCGTTCAAGAACGCCCCTTGGTTACAGGGGGTGTGGTCAGATCATCTTTCTTACAGCGTCACGAAATTGAATTATGCTCCAAGCGTTCGTGACTAGCGTTTCGGATAACTAAACTTACATAGAATATTAAAGTCGTGAGAATAAGCTTCATCATATCTAAAATAACAATTAATGTTCATGATTTTTTAATTCTGTAATATCGCTCTTTTTGCTATTCAGTGATATATTCATATATACTTTATAATATTATATTCAAATAGTCAAATGTCATTTGAAGATGCAGGAGTTAAAAAAAAATATAGTCTGCTAATAATAAACAATTGAATAAATACAACCTTGAAATGACACCAAGTTTAATTGTTTATTTGTTTATATTGTATTTTTCCTCTACTCTCTCTTTCTCTTATTCTCTTTCATTCTTTCTCTTAATCCATTTCTCTATCTGTTTCACTCCCGTCGACAGAAAGAGAAATGATAAATTGCGAAGGCCAAAAATTTCCCAAGTTCCTCGTAAAATCCTTTTAGGATTATGTAGAGCAATGTCAACAATCCCCCTTTAATCGTTGGCTGTCTCACATTACAAAGAAAATGTCAAGCAAGCGTCACACTTAATTTCTTTAACAGGATAGGTGAGAAACTGTCTATTAGGTACAAAGCTTGCTAACTTTATTCTGCTCTCTGGTTTTTGAACGTATATCAAGTTATTCATAAATAAATTATTAGTAAGGTAAATTGAATTTTAGTTTGTTGCCTAATGTGTTTTTATGTTTCCATCAGCCAACCTATCCCTTGAGAATCTGTCGAAGGTGAAATAAACGAAGAACGACCTTTATCAAGCGCCTTACGGCAATTACACAAATGTTCGAACATAAATATATAATCGATCGAATCAGCTTTACTCTTTTTTTTAATTTTCTGCTTGGTTAAGCAATTAATATACTAATGACAGAAGAATAAGACAGCAGGCTAGAGAGAGAGAGAGAGGAAAAGAAGGAAAAAGATATACGAATGACAAATGAGAGAGAAAGCCAGACAAAAACCATTTTAATAAGGAAATATAAAAGGATTTTCATAAGAAATGATCGGTTGTCATAGTTAAAGGGTTTCCTTTCATAATCCTTTTTAATATCATTTCAAAAATGTCATCCAACAGTGAAATTTAAAGTACTGCAAAAAATTTCCAGTTTGTAATGCCATCTATCAGAGAGTATTTTTATTACAAATGTAACTATGTCATTAGTTTAGGACATTAAAAAACTGGTAAAAAATAACAAGAAAAGTAGAATGGTGTTAATAAGAGCTGATAATTATATTTCAGACAATAACGGTAGAAATATCTCCAAAATTCTCTACATAATTAATTTATATACTGTATATATCAAAAATTCTTTAAATTATTAATAATTTATTTTTAGACTAATTAGAAGTCTTATAATTACAGAACTAAGAAGCTAAAACTATGAGTTTTCTTATCGTATAACTGCCAAAGTAATCGACATTTCGTGCTGAAAGTGTATTAGTGTAAAAAGACTTTGTCACAAAATTATTATAATAGCATATGTACACCTTTGTAGAAAAAAGAAAATCTCTGTTTTTTATATTTTATTTAGTTTTACTATTCTCTTTTCTTCTTTCCTTCTTTTAGTATTTTTTTTTAATTCAAATCTTCCTAAATAGTCTTCAAAGTCATCCTATTTTTTGAGTATAATTACATCTCTAATTAAATGTCCTTTTTTTTGAGAAGGAATGAGAAGAAATGAATGTTTTCAAGAGTTTTGAAAGGCTTCACTAAACAATATTTAGCAAGAGAACAATGGATTATAGAATATGTGTTATGAGGAAAATTTTACAACAACCATTCTCAGTGATTATAAAAAATTTCTCTCACATTTTAATAGGCTAAAAACGTAGCCATTTTATCAGCTAAATCCAATTTTCAATCCTATCTCCCTTCTGCTCTTTATATAGCAAGAGAATAAATAAATATATATACAGTATATGTACTGTATACATAAATTTAGATTGGTCAAGTATTTAAGAAAACATGATAGGAACCTCGACGTAAAGTAGATGGAAGAAAAGAAAAATCTAAATTCATCAGAGGCTTTCATATTTTAAGAAAGTATCGTCCTTCGCTCGAAGGTGCAAAAACTACTCATATCATTAACATTAACAGGATTACAAGATTACATTTTTTTCTGGGCAGTACGCTGTTATGTTCCTTCTGTATATCCATATTCTATATACTTTATCTTACTGATATTGTAATACTCTTCATTTCTACATTAGTTAATGCTGAGAAAAGAAAATTAGCTTGTCTAGATTTACGCTATTTAGGCCACAGTTTCCACATTATCTGAGATTGGTGTAATGGTCAATAGGCTTTGTTTATACCGTGTTAGCGTCAGATTTAGTCTCTCTCTCTCTCTCTCTCTCTCTCTCTCTCCCGATCTATCTATCTTTCTTTCTCTCCCTCCCTTTATATTTAGACTATATATAGTAACTACAGGGTAATTTTCCATTCAGATATAAGCGTTACACTATTCATTATTAAGGTATTACAAATAATCGAAGAAGGGAAAATTAAAGGAGCTTTGTGGACATTATATAGACTTTATTCTGTTAAAGAGAAACAATTATTTACATTTTTTTTTTAAAAAAACAACTTTTATAGAAACTGTATTAATACTACTAATACCCGGGTATTAATAATTAAAGTTAGATTATTAGAAACTACAAATAATCTTTTCTTTCGCCAAAGAGTTTGTCGGAAAGTATTTAAGAAAGAAAAAAATGATTCCTTTAGGCTAAGTCAGTCTGGTTTTAATCTTAGGAAGAGACTGAAAAAAGTTTTGCAGTGTTAAGAATTTTACAGGTCGCGCCAGTGTTTATAAGAGTCTGCAGTCGAATTCATTGTGTCTGCATAAATTGGTAATGTGCTACCTGAGAGTAAAGTGCTTACTTGTTTATTTTAGCCTTGCCATTATTTTAATAAGGTACGAATTTCATTTATTTCCTATTTTTTTTTTATAAAAAAAAATTAAAATAATTTTCTTAATGTTTGATTTCGTACTAAAGCTGTGCAAAAAAGTGGCTAACTCTTATAATCTACTTATAAGTGATTATCATCTATAATACATTTACGAATTATCTTTATCTAGTAAAAAATAAGAACTTAATAGGGTCAAAAAGTCTTTTTTTTTTAAATATATCACAGTTGAAAAATTTGTAACCTACTTTTCATTTTTTTTTTAAAAGAAAAAGAAGTCAGCAAAAGAAGTATATATATCAATATATATATATATATATATATATATTTAAATACAAATTGATGATATATACAGTATATAATTATGTTTCAAGTTTGTGAATATTCATAAGATTCAATTATTTAAATTAGAATAAATTAATTATATTATTTTCTTCGCTTTCCTTGTTCTATATTTTCATTATTAATGGTAGAGTCGAACCCTTTTTTTTGGATATATTTGAAACATCTCTAGTACTTAAAGGAGAAAGAGATAAAGATAAAGAAAGATAAAAGTCTAGAGAAAAAAGAGAGAGAGAGAATGAGGAAGGGCTGAAGGCAGAGTAGGAAAGTCTGTCTTAAAGAGTTTAGAATGAGTATTATTATCTATGGGAATAGATAGAAAGATTATAAATATGTGAGCGAAGACAGGTAAAAAAGACAAATGGATATTTAATATCTTATTTCCCTTTATGACGTCAACACATTCGTTAACGTCCTTTTAGAGACATCAACATTTCTTTGATTCCTTTAATATACAGCTTATTAATATGATAAATAAGATTATCCAGCTTTGTTTTAATTAACTCTTATTTTAATTTGTTTATGAACAGTTTAAGAATCATTCAAGCTACAATAATAAAACGCCATCTGCCGTCTCCGTGTTCAGGAAAAGTCTTTTTTGGGTAAAAAAATGCTTTAATGAATAATTTACTAATAAAATAAAACGACTAAACTACTAATTGATTTGATCCTAATGATTTTATTTGAGCTAACTCAATCGCGTAATCAGTTTCGAATTGTACGTGGAACTTGTAAACTTAACTTAACTTAGCTTTATCAAAGAACGAGAGGTTTTAGGATTGCGCAATATTAAACCGTTTTATTGTTAAATCCGAATCAAATTCTATTGGTGAAAATATTTTTCATCTCCTACTGGAAAGCAATATTATGCAAACAATTTAAAACGTAGGCGCCATCTGGAATTAAGTTGATCGAAAGTTGTTTGTTATGAAACGTACTTTTGAGCTGTGAGGTTAAAAACAAGAGGTCACAAGAACTGTTTTATTTCAACATTAAAAGTGAAAAGCAAGACAGTTCTTATTCCAGAAAGAGAGAGGGAGAGAGAAAGATAGTAGGAAGGACATAAATATAGATAGAAGAATGAGAAAACAAGAAAGGCAGCGAAACTGAAGAACGGACGAACGAGTAAACGAATGAGCGAGCGAGACACACATACACAAAAGCGAGAGAGAGTGGAAAGGAGATAGAAGAAAATAAGAAGAATACATTAATTTTATTTGTGCAACAAAATCGTACTTTCATTTCATTTGATAAAAAATTATTTATTTTCTACTACAAAACAAAAAGCGGATTATCTTCTCAACTACTGAAATTTTTTAATAAACAATGATTCTTCTACTTATCCTTTTCACAACAAATTTTTTCAGTTCGGCACTTTCTAAGAATAATACCTCTAGCCGAGAAGAAATCGTCCAGAACACTACTCAACTATTAAACAAACTCTTACGGGGATATGATAAAAGATTGAGACCTGGATTTGGAGGTGATTAACAAACCTTTTAAATTAAATTTAACCTTTAATAGTTTAAATTGAAGCATTTAGAAATATTTATCTTTTCTCTAAAGTTCCTTTAAATTAAAATTGATCCTTATGGTTTATCCTTTCTTTTCATATTTTTTTGATTAATTACTAGAATTATCATTATGATTAACTAAAAATCCTCATTTCTTTACTCTCCTTTTTCTTATGCCCAAATCTTAAGAATACTCAAGTGCATTTTGAGAAGGTATCAATTTCTATCTATAGGTTCTCCAACTCTAGTCGATGTTAATCTAAACGTAAGAAGTATGGGTCCAGTCTCCGAAAGAGATATGGCATATCAAATGGATTGCTACTTTCGTCAAAGTTGGGTTGATAAGAGACTGCAGTTCGATTCTGGTGAAATAGAAACGCTTCGTGTCAGTATTACATTTTTAGAGAAGATTTGGAAACCGGATACACATTTTTTAAATGGAAAACAATCCTATTTACACACAGTGACCTCTCCGAATAAATTATTAAGGGTCAATAAGGATGGTAGAATTCTGTATTCTATGAGGTATTCCTACTTTTTCCAATTTAAATTGAAAAAAACTCCTAACTATTCTATTCCACCCATATATTCGTTTACTCTTTGGGGAATTAGTTTAGAGATGTTTTCCTTAGACTGGTCTTAATATACTGATAACAGGTTAACTATCAAGGCTACGTGCCCTATGCATCTGGAGAATTTTCCCATGGATACGCAAAATTGCCCTCTACGGTTGGCCAGTCACGGTTATGATACTTCCGATGTCTTGTACGTTTGGACCTACGGTGCGGGCAGTTCGATCAAGATGGCTTCCGATATGACTTTATCCCAGTTTGATCTTATCGACTTTCCACAAGGAAATCGAACAATTTCACACGCAAGAGGTAAACGATTTCTCCCTCCCGTCACCATAATTCAGTGATTTTCGTTATTTTCTTTGAAATAGGCCAATTTTCATTACTCCACGTAACTTTTACGCTAAAACGACACATGGGCTATTTTCTAATCAACGTTTATGTTCCGTGTTCCCTTCTTGTTATATTATCCTGGGTTGCCTTTTGGATAAACAGAGAAGCAACAGCCGACAGGATGACGTTAGGTAATTAAATATATATAAATATATAGTATATTATATACTGTATATATATGCATATGTCTATATATATATATATTTTTTTTTTGTATACACCTAATATCGTAGATAATACATAAAATTACAATAGTAATTTAAAGATGATATTATACTAAATGAGTAGATCGGAAAAAATTAGAGTTGCTTTTAGTTATCCTTTCCTAAAAGATAATATTTATTCTAAATATCTCTTTTCATCTCTTTCTTCTTTCGTTATCTACAGGTATAACTACGGTTTTAACCATGGTTTTTGTTGGAGTCGATAACCGGGATGATCTCCCAAAGGTTCCAAATTAAATTACTTATATATATACTGTATATATATAAAAGTTCTTCTAGATCAACTTTCAAACTTTAATTCCATTCATACAGGTTTCATATTCAACTGCTTTAGACTATTTCGTTAATATGTGCTTCGCCTTCGTATTAGCGGCTATTATACAATTCGCAAGCGTCCATTTTTTTACAAAGCATGGAAGTGGTGAAGTTTTCTTCGAGTCAGATATGGAAGATGACTATCTAGCCGAAAATGATGATGAAGATTCAACTGATATTAGATTTTCAATGGAAGAAAAGGTACACGTTCTCCTACAGATTCAATTAGTCTAATTTGCTTTGAAAACGTTTGGCATTCTTTATTTTTAGCTTTTTCCTCATCGTTTTTTCATTATATATCTCCGTTACCAATTTTTAATTGACCCTTACAGGATAATAGTAACAATAGAGGCTATTTCCTTAGACCGAAAGCAAAGCAATATTCAGCGCAATTTAATGGCTCTTGTGTTAACCAATCACAAGTGAGGAAGAGAAAAGAAAATTGCTGCTATAAATTTTATAATTGTCTAACTGCAAGTTCATCTTATCGCCATATGAGAGTTCGAAGTTCAGATGGTATAAATTCCGTAAGCATGATCGATAAAGTGTCAAGAATTCTCTTCCCCACGGCTTTTATAATACTCAATATATTCTATTGGAATCTCTATCTAGGAGCTAGTAGCGATGGAATAGGGGCGTTGATGTAGCGGAAAGAAAAAAGAAACTCTTCAAAGAGATAATAACAATTCGTCGACCCTGTAGAAAGGATCTAACATGATCTTTCTTCACAACTTAGTAGTAAATTTAGGAAAATAGAAGAGGAGATAGGGAAGGGAAAGGACGGGGAAAAGGAATGGAAAAAGAAAAATCCTCCACAAGTTGCTAGCAATAAAGTCTGAAGAAGAGCGTTACAGGTCCAGCAGGTGTCGCTTTTTACGTTCTCTGGAAAAAAATAGAAATTAAGAGAATCGAATAATTTTCTATCCGATGCTCTAAATAAATAAGCCTAAGAAATAAATCAAATTCAATTCTGCTACTAGCTAATGGTTATCTTATTTGATATATGAGATACTACATGCACAGTCTTATTTACAAAGGCTAAGAATAAACCGATAAACAAAATGTGAGTAATGGATAAAGAATTGAACGAATCTTGTATAGATTACTAATTTTCCAATTCCTCCATTACGCTGTTTGCATTAGGCCAAATATTTTTTAACAAAGTCGATAAGTGATAGTTGAACGAGCGTTAAAGTAAATATTTATAGGCCAAAAACCGGAAAAAGAGGGATGCCCCGTTTTATATATCTAGTCAAAAAATCTTCTACCTCGTCGTGATTCCTTAACCCTTTTCTTAATTTACCGGAAAATTCGCTGAACCGTTAATAAAATTAGAGAGGGGTAGGAGGTTAGACGAAGAAGGGAACATAGAAGATCATGACCGGATTAAATTAGTTAAAAGTTTTTTTTACATATATTTTAACTTGAAGTATAGCTTAAAGATGGCGCTGTAATCTTTCAATGTTATCCTTTCGGTTTCAGCCCCTGGAAGAAAAGACTATTTTTCTTGTTCGATTCTTTTCAAATAATCCAAGGTCCTCGATAATCAGACTAGGCCTTTTAGAATTTAAAGTCAAGCTTGGAGCTTGGAAAAGGCCAATTGGAGAGGCATGTTCGTGATGGGAATATGCAAATATTAAATGATCTGATTCGGATGCGTTCTTACCCTCTCTTCCTCCCTCTTTAACCCCTCTCTTCCTCTTTTTCTTTCTTTAAGCCGACCAATTACTCTAGTAGTTATCGATCGCCACACTCTACCTTTTATATCAGGTTAAAAGAGAAATACGGGGTTAAGGATGAAAAAGAGGACTAGGAAGAGTGCCTGTGCTCTTCAGAGAAAATCTCTGTTGTTTCTTTATTTTACCCTAAACATAGTAAAGAAGTATACAAACACGGTGTGATAACGTAGATGGCGTCATTCGTCTGCTCTAAACGTTAGTTATCTACATCATATCCCATTTCCAACACCTGTCCATCTCTCGGAAACTAAAGGAGAGAAAACCGCAAAACAGTAATAAGCAGTGTAAGGTTTGGCCCAAGGCTTTCGCCCCCTTTTTCTTCTTCTCTCACCCTCTCTACTCTCACCACCCTCCGGCAGATAAGGGACGTCGGTCGATAAAAAAATCGACGGCTCCTAAAGCGCGAAATATAAAGATAACAGCTATCGTATAGTCTGGTAAAACGGTTGTTTGTAAAGATAATAAATCCATCATGCTCAATCAATTCTGAACGGCCTAAGTAGCTTATGCAAATAGTTTATATTGATCAGAACATTTTTTGAGCGTCGTCACCGCGTCAGGTTCTTTCTATTATTCGAAAGCATTAAAGGTACCTCATGCATTACGACTGATCAGGGAGAATAATAGTTGGAGCTTTATGCTCTCTCCGCTCTCCGACTGTAGTTTGGCTGTAATAAAAGGAAAAGTGGTAGAGCCTTGTCCAAACAGTAAGAAGCGAGAAAATCTATCTGTTTCATCTCTGGTGGACTTAAAATGTCCTCTCGAGATTGACACATTTGCAAAATTCATGATCGCCAGACGCGAAGCTTTCGGAATCAATTATCATTTCATTTGTCCACCCTTTTTCGCCCTTTTAAAGAGAATATAAGTAGTATAGAGTGTTGTCACCGTTAAACGCCACCAACCTAAAAGCTAACGTTCCAACTGCCGGCACGTCGTCAATTTGATTAACTAATCAAAGTTCGTTTCGGTAAACCTAACGTTCTTCGATGGAAGGTACCACTAACAGAATGATTTATTTACCCGTCTCACAATCTTTACAACTATTAGTGGTTAATTTCTTCTAAAGAGAACATATTAACAACTTCTAATCTCTTTCAAAGTTCCCGGATTACGTTGAATAATTGACGAATTGGCCGTGAAATAATTCCGCTCGTAAAAAATACTTAATGAGACAGAGTCATGCAAAACTAACTTTTCTCCTCTCTTTTCTACTATGTCCCCCCTCGCCCCTCCTCTCTACCTTTTTCTTTCACTTTCTTCCATAAGAATAGCATAGTCGTTCCTAACTTTTTTCCTATACAATTTCCCTATTTAAAAACACATTCTTATTCTTACTTCAATTCCTTCATCTATATTCTTATTTATTCCACTTATTTTCTTCTTTATTCATCCTCTCACATTCATTCCCTCAATCTTAAAAAGAGATCTTCCTTGCTCTTCTCGTTCTTCTCTCCTTGATTCTCTTCCTAATTCATCGTCTTTTCCTAATATGTCGTCTCTTTATGGTTAGATTCATTTTATCTCTTAATCTCACTCAATAGATTTCCGTAAAAGGAAAACTAAAGCAATAGTATATGGTAAAACGGTTGGTCAGCGTTAAATTATTGATGGAAGAAAATTAAGCGGTCGGACCTGGGAGAAAGAAGTACGTTGGAAGGCCAGCTGGGGGAACAAGGTAAGAGGGGCGTGTAGCTAGGGTGCTAAAAGATAGTGTTGAAATTAGGGAACTGTCTACACCTTTCCCCCTCTCGTCTCTCTCCTCATCTACACTCAGACACACACACATCCTTACTTACTTACTTACTTACAGGTTTATTTCCTATCAATTTTTAAACAATAGCAAACTAGTAGGGTCTTCTCCCTGTTCAATATAAGAGAACTGTTCAATTCAATTTAGCAGTAGCGTTCAATAAAAATATTCGACAAATATCACGAAATGTTCATAATAGGATATGTGGGAATGGTGGAGAAGTGTTTTTCCTTACAGAGTTTTCTCGGGGAGTATGAGAGTATAGCAGCCTTTAAATAAAATAAGGAAATGGCGAGAGAATGATTCTAATGGGATGTAAATTTGCGTCAGCCGCCTTTTTCCGATCTCTTGACGCATTCAATTTTTTCACTCTCATTCCTAATACAAGGTTAACGGACGCAAAGCGTAAAGAAGTCTACTATTCCACCTAATGTAAACTCTTCTCTCTGATAACTTCCACCCTGAGTTCTTTTGCTATCGTTTTTTTAACAGTTTATACAAACGGCGTTTGTCTATTTATTTAGACTTGGGCATACTGTCGGATATTAAGAGTTTTAGAAGCAACATTACCGTTTGTCACGTAAAAGGCCGAAATGTACATCTAATGAATAGTTTGCCATATAATATTTTGGAATCATTACGAAATTAGGTATATATCTTTAATTTAAGCCTAGATATACTTAGGTATATGGTATAAAGGAAGGAGGCAGGAAGTTTTCTTTCTTTTCGACAACAGCTATACAAACTGCAAAAGTAAAAAAAAACGAAATTACGGTGGAAACATCGTTAGACCCTATTGACACTACATAGATTGGGTGAGCTAAAATTTTTTTTTTTTTAGACGGTTCGACAATGCTGCGAGGCGTTTCCTCTCGACGAATTGCCTATTTGCCGTGTTACTAAGCTTTTTTCCATGGACACCCCATTCCCTCCCAACCGACTCAGGTCGAAATAGCGTATAGGTTTTTTATTGAAAGAGGATATGGTACAGGAAGACGCGTTGGGATTTCGGCGAATCAAAACGCCAACTCTCTTTAATGTCATCCGTCGTGTCATTCTCACGTTTCGATAGAGGAAAAAACTGAAAAGATCCGCATTAGATGTTGGGAAAAAATAGGTAAATACAACAACCAGAAAGAATGGAGAGATGAGAATAAATACAGTACTAAAGTATGGAGTATTACAAGAAGAGAGATCAGGGTGAGGAGTAGAGAAAGTTCAAAGTTAGGAGGAAGTCATAGAGAAAGTAATACTTATGATGAAAAAGTAGTTTAGATTAGACGAAACCGTCAAATTAAATTTTTGGCTAAAGGATGGAGAAAGAGAAGAAGGAAACGTATGCAACGACAAGCAATGGTCTGGCGGGAACAGCGATTGTAACTCTTATCTCGGTTGGAGGCCTGACTGGTGCAGTTCATTGCCGTCTATTTTTCTTTTAACGTTGACCGATCGAGATTTACGGGATTTGCTTTTTATTCCGCTTTTTACGAGTTCGATGAAGCGCTTATTTGTTTTTTTATTTTCCTACCCCCCTTTCCGCCTACTTCACTTCTCTGCTATTCCACCCTTTTCCACCTCATGCCCTCACTCACTCACCTACTCTTTATCAACTCATCTACTCACTTCCGTCCACATCTATGGTGTACGATTGTAAAAGTCACATTCTTGAGGCGGCTATTCGTCGTAGGAGAGCTTAATTGATGACGTCATAATTAAGTGACTGTAGAGGGCGCGTTAGCTCCCCTTTAGCTCGTCGTTTTTTTTTTTTCGAGAGAAGGATAACAGCCCAACTGCAAAACTTTTCAAGTATAAATTTCGTGGATTTGTCAGTGTCGGTTACGCTTTGTCGATTCTTCATTAGATGGCATTCCATCGTAAGTATATGTTTTATACATAAGTATAATTATTAATACAAAAGGGAAAAGCGTCAAAAACCACTATTACATAGCGTCAAGACTCATTTATTCATTTATAATATTCTTATACCTGCACTCTGGTTTCTAAAGCAAAATTCTCTTTTTTTTACTTTTTTCTACTATCTCTCCTCTCCGATATCTAACTTAGCTTTCATTCCCCTTTCCCCTTAATTACGTCCCCATCAGTTTTTACACTGTATTCTCCATCCTAGTAATGAAGACGTATAGAGTTAATTTACCGTTAATCGCCAAGCACGTCAATATATTATCTTTTCTTTCTCTTTCCTTTTCCAACAAACCCTCTACCTTGTTATTTTTCGATAGTAAAAGAAACGGCCTCGGTCACTAATAATTTTCCATATATTTCTTTTTGCCAGTACAACCAGATGAATGATTTCATTTTTTGTGCTGGATGTTTAAAAGAGGGCAAAAAGGCTACTTTTAAGCAACAAAGGCTGTAAATTACTTTTTTTTTTAAAAAAAGGCTATAGACATGATGAAATAAATATGAAGGATTTTAAAAACAATACATGAATTGATTTTACACATACCCATTAGCTTGTACAGTTGCTTTTTCTATCATATTCATTGTTAAATGCATATGCTATGTATTTTGCCTGAGAGGGTAAAAGAGAAAAAAAAACTGTCAAAAATAGGAATATTACAGTTTAAAGTGAATATTAGGGAAACATTTTGAAGGGCGACGAGCAATTTTAGAGTTGTTTGTAAGGTCAATTAAGGTGAATGAAAGCGTGATGGAGTTTGTCACAAAACTTGGAGACGATATACATTACTATATTTCAACAGATCGATACGCAATTATAACGATTATTTGTGTGAAAAAAAAAGAGGCGGCAAAATCATAATTCTCATTTTGTGACTCTGCCGCCGCATCTACCGCCGCCGCCGCCGCCTCAAACTCCGCTTTTTTTTCTTTCTTTCTATCTCCTTTAAAAAAACTTTTTACTTTTTTTTTTTCTCCAATCTTTATGTCTATCTGTCCATTCCGTAAACTCAACTGTCGCTTAAGCTATTTACACATTTGTGGAAATTGCTGATGAGCATTTTCTGCTCTTTATAGTAAATGTCAGCTGGCTGGAACATCTACTATTGGCGTTTTGTAAATAGAAGAGAACGTAGTCAATTGATTATATTTCAATCTATTTTTCATAAGTTAGCTAATAAATATTTCAGTTGGCCATAAACTATATTAAAGTATAAAAGTTGTTCAAGAGGAAAAAAAAGAAACTAAACGATCTAACAGTAGAGGAATAGGAACGGAGGTTCGATCAACCGTTGCCGAAATGGCGTAGGGCGTCACAAGTGATTTCTATGGATGATGATGAATTAAATTCATATCACGTCAACCTATTCGCCGTTTCGAGTGCCATTCGGTATAGCTAAAGTCCGAACTGATCCTCGTGTAAATACAACTAGCCAACGCCTCTATAATTAATCTCTACCGAGAGTTTATTAATCGATTTTATTTCACAATTTCTTTTTCAAACGCCACACCCTCTTGCTTCTAGATACATAGAACACAGCCCGAGATAATAATCGTTGAACCAATCTTCACCCCCCACTTTCCTGCCTCTTCTTCCATTTTATTGCCGAAAAAAAGAGAAAACGCTAAGCAGATATCTTATCTTTGTGCAAGACAGTTGGCATTTAATCCGCAACGGCCCCGACCCTAGCCATATCTCTCTCCTGTTTGGCGTATACGTAAATTTATATGATTAATATTGCAGTCAGCGCTTCATCTTTTCCATCCTTTCCTCTTCTGTGCCTATCAAGATTCTTTTCGTATTTCTTTTCCTGTTCATCACACTTTAATTTAAACGCCATTTTCCAAAAATAAATAAGAAAGCAAGAAATCCTTTTTATCCACTCTTAACCCTTATTTATTTTTTATTTCCTTCCTTTTCCTATTTATTCTCTTTCACGTGCTCTTTCCTCTTCGCACTCTTTCTCTTTCGCTTTCGATCACATAGTTTTTCACACTCTCCCCTCCGCTCCGTCTTACTTCCCCAACTTCCCTTCCATAACTACTATTGATATGTAACATTCAATTCGGATCTGGTTTTTTTTTTAAACTTAATTGTTTTTCCTATAATTAAAGAGCAATCGTTGCGGACTTTTAATTTCAACCTTACCAATCGATTTTATTCATTCATCAAAGCTACCTTGTAACAACGCCTCTAGATATAAAGCCCAATTAGAATGGAAGACTATCTTTAACTATCCTTGTCTATAACCGTCTAACAGATGTTAAAAGTCAAACAAAAACAACGAAAATCTCCGTCTCTCTCTCTCTCTTATTCTATCTCTCTTTCACCTTCACTCTTATTTTCATTCACTCTATCTCTTATTCTGTCTCTCTATCCTGTCTGTGTTTTTTCTCCCACTCTTTCTCTTTGGGCGTATTATCTGTCTAAATGTCTTTAACCCTTTTATTTATTTTATTGGCGAAAAATAAGTATTAGGCCTATTTTTTTAGTTATTTTCTTCCCTCCCCTCTTATAACGAAGACGATAAGGGGGAGGGAATAAGGATTGGAGAAAAAAAACAAGAGATAGCTAGATTATGAGAAAAGAGGAAGAGGAAAGAAAAGAAAAACACAGAGTTAAAAGATGGTTTATATATTATAACGGGATATCAATCGTAAGCGCTTCGTTCGAGAACACTTTTCTTAGACTTTATGATGTTTACTATGCACTCGAAAGACGCTTCTGTGTCTACAGACGTTCGATTCGAAGGCGACGCTTCTAGTGATTAATGTGCACTAGCAATTTTTTTCTTGAATATATACTCTGGAATAAGTATTTTATACTTTTAAATTGGCTTTACGTGCAATTTGAGACGAAAATTTAGATAACTGTGCATATTCTAACACTTAAACAAAAAACAAAATAGCGTACAGCTAAGGTGGTTTTAGAATACATGTAACGGATATATTATGCCTTTGAAGATCCACAAATCATTGATCGAACAGTAATCTGATCTGCCAACTGTACATAATTTTTGAGTGAAAGAATTCCTAATTGCGCTCTCTATTTTTAGAATGCTAGACGAAAACCGAACGTCACCTTCGACCCGCTAAAGGACGTTTACGACGAATCGATGTGAGCCAAGAAGCCTGTATAGGATAAGAAAGTAAGTAAACTCAGTGAGGCGAGAGGACTTTAAAAAAAAATAAAGTAGCACTGCTTAAGAGGGGATTATCGGAGGGCGAAAACATCCATCATCGGACGCTTTAGTACAAATCCCGTTCCGACTAGAAACACTTTTTGCGCTAAGCCTCCTTAAAGCAATAAACTCGCGATAGAGACCAAGCAAAAGTAATGAGAGGCTAGCATGCTTTAAGCCCGTAACAAGCCTTCCGTTGATGGAACGGAATAAGAAAAGTAGCTGTTTTCGCAACCGCAATTGCAGTCTGGCGAGAAGGCCGACCTACGGCTGAGTATGATGGAATGAACTGAAAAAGAAAGAGAAAATGTGAGCTAGCGAGCAAGAGCGAATGAGTAACTAAGTGTGTGTAAGAAGGAGAAAAATGGAAGAACAGAAAGGAAAGAAACTGTATTGGCATTCTATGTCGATATATTTACATTCTTAGCCGGATATACATATGCGTATACACATATCGTCGTTTACTCAGAAACATATCAACTTTTCGACTCTTTTTCAAATTATTCGAAATTCAATAGGCGTCTATATGTATTTTATCGTATTCCTCTTGCTAAACTTGCCTATTACGTTGGTTTATTATTTCAATGATTTTTCTTATAATTAATCTTCTTTAATTTCGTTTTGTAGAGCACAGAACGATGCAGGCAGATGGCGTTCTAATGTTCATCCTAATCGTTCTAGTCATACTATCTTCCGTCCACTTGGCAGATGCTAAGAAAAATAAGACAAAAACATCCAGGTAGAAATTAATATTCATTAATTAAAAGTATTGCCTTATGAATATTTATTAAGACATAATATTCAAAAGTAATTAAAACATATAAGTTTACGGTTTTCTTGAACTTTTTTCGTTTTGAAATTAAATATTCTCACTATATGTATATTAATATTTACATATACTTTATTGTATACACTTTTTCTAATGTATACAGTGAGGAGAGAAAAATATTTCTTTTTTTGCTCTAGGCCTACATAATAAATTATATGAAAATTCGAGACCAGTTTTCGTATTCCATACATACAGCATGATAAAACGAGCTCAAACTATATATAGTATATACCGTATATATATATATATGTATTAATATAAATTATATGTATATTATATCATGCTGTATAAATCTTTCCTATAGTTTTAAATTGGACAAAAAAAAGTGATCATTAAAATTCACCTGTATTTGTTTGCTTTGAACACGTTTTCATCCGTCTTGAACACGTAGACACGTTATATATAAAGATTAGCTGTTCGCAGATTTTTTGTTCATTTATCGCCTCTCTGCGGACGGTGTCGGATGTGTCATAGATGTAATTTAGAATTGCGAATGAATTACATTTCTGACACATTCGACAATGCCCGTATCCGATCTACGTAAGCCGATTTGTTTTCCTTTTTATCCTCATGAAACAAGAGAGAAAAGAAGAAGAAAAAAAAAACATTAAGTAAATGCTTGGATACACCTAATTTCATTTTTTTCTCCTTCTTTCTTTCTAAATTGAAATTAGGAACAAAAAAGAGGAAATAAATTAAAATAACGACGTAATAATTAATGAAAATTATTCCTTTGACTGATTGATTGTAATAATAATAGTCAGTCTTATCAAAAGAGGGGAGAAAACAAATAAAATACTTTCTTTTTTATATATAGATATAGTGTACATGTTAGTTTATTTATATGGAATTCTTATACTTGCAAAAAAACCTTTTGGGTGAATCTGTTTGAAATAAATGAAAGAAAATAAAACTTCTCAGCCTCAGAGGACGAGATATACAGTAGATATAGACATATACAGTATATATATATATATCGATATATCTATATATATATATATATATATATATATGTATACTATTTATAGGAGAAATCTAGTATAAATATAACTTTATTCTTCTATTTAAAAAACAAAATGGAAATCTAAAACAAATGAAAACAAAACAAAAATTGTTAAAAATTCTTGAATTGTGGAAAAAAATTCAGGCGCAATAAACGAAGAGGCATGACGACGAGCAAATTCGTAACGAACATCTTGAAAGGCTACGAACGGCAGGATCCTCCTCCAAATGGTAGCCCTATATTTAGTTGTTTTCTCTTGTGTTGTTGGCATTTTCCTGTAAATACGTTTCGGCATGCCTAAAGAAACGAATCAAGGATGTAATATAGGCCTTAAAAAAGTCTAAATTCCTACCGTGTATATTTTTGATTTGCAGAAAAAGTAAACTAGCTAGCAAGCTTTTACGATCATATCAACGAAAGTACGGTCGGTCACCGCCATATCCTGGTAAGGCGTTCAAAACAAGACAATATAAAACAAAACAACAAAAAAATAAAAATAAAAAACAAAGCCTAAAATAATCTATTTTAGTTTTTCTTTCAAACCTTCTCTCTTTATTTCTTTCATTCTTTATTATTTCCTAATCAACCGGAAAGAAACATTAATAAAAAAAAAACCGTTCATAATCATTAATTAATAATTAATTGATACTCTTAAACGCTCTTCAAAAGCCTATGTTATATGAATATCAATTAACCATGTGCAGTATACAGTATATATATATATATTAACGAATTATTTTATAAAATATGTCCTATACATAAATTATAGAAATATCACATGTATCTTTAGAAATATGCATATTTATATACTTAATATTCCATACCGATATTCATATAACATGGGAAATTCATACATTATTTTATATATATATATATATATATATATATATATATATATATAATATACTGTATATATATTCAAAGCTTTTTTTTTATTTCCTTTTCTTCTTTTTCTCAATTTTCTTCTTTTATGATTACACTACCTTTCTTTCTTTCTATCGTCTAATTTAATACTCTCGAGCAAGCACTTGGATTTATTTATGCAAATTAACGATTGAAGAATGAACGGCTTCATTGCATGATCTTCATCCTAACTGATGATTTTTGATAGGAAGAATCATTTTTTTTTATTTATTCGATTTGCTCTATTCAATTTACATATTTCGTTTTTTTTCTTATTCTTTCTTCACGATATATACCAATCTCTTTTTTATTTATTTTATAATTTCATCATAACGACCAACCAAACAAAACAAAACTTTTCCCTTCAGTATCATTTTCTTTCTTCTTTCTTTCTCTCTGTCTGTCTGTCTCTCACTCTCTTTCTCTCTTTCTCTCTATCTATCTATCTCTATCTTTCCCTCTTTCCCTCTTTCTCTCTTTCTCTTTCTTTCTTCCCTTATCCACTCAATATTCCTTTCTTTTATTTTTTTTATACTTTTTTATGCTTTTGATATGATCGTTAAAAGACTTCGATTCTTATGCTTTTTTAATTAAATAAATTAGTTGCATGCTATCAAACGTTTGTTGTATATTGTTTTCTCTGAATTGCACGCATGTTTGTCACACCCTTTATAGGCCTAAATGTTTTCTATACCCAATTAAAATATTACTTGCTATTTTAGAATTATTTGTTACGCAGGACCAACAAACGTGCGCCTTGGCATTTACATAAATAGCTTTTACGCAATAAGCGAACAAACCATGGCGAGTTTTTTTTTCTTTTTTTTCTCTTTCGTTTTACATATATACTATAAATATATATATATATATATTAACTATCTAAGGAAACTACTAAACTGTAAATAAACATATAGATAAAAATAGTACAAGGGTATTTAATATATAAATAAAGGAGAAAACTTTGTATATACTTTACAATAAAATGTATTTTGTAATGATATATAAGTTACAAATCTATTTATGTTTATTTATATGGAATATATAAGTAATATAGAAATAATACAATAGGTTTTTTCCTTAATATTAGGATACTGAAAGAAAACAGCAGTTTTCTTATCAAATCGTTGGGGATGATTTGAAATTGGGGAAATTGAATAATATAATTATAGTAATTTACTCTATTTTCATAAAAACGACACAGGACTATTCGTTAAACGTTTATTTAAGACAAAATTGGACGGACAGAAGATTAAAATTTAAACCTCGAAAAATCAATGGAATAAATACCACAGAAATAAAATTAGAAGATGAAACGTGGAACAAGATTTGGATTCCGGATGTTTTTTTTCGAAATGAAAAATTAGCTAAATACCACGATATAACAACTCCAAATAGGCTACTGACGCTAAAGAATAGTGGTATGTTGTGGTATGTTTCCAAGTAAGTAGGTGATAAAATAAAAAGAATGAAAAAAAGAATTACGATCAATACTCTTTATAAAATCCTAATGAGATTAAAAAACTGCAGAATTACCGCAACGCTTTCCTGCCCGATGAAATTGCACAAATACCCTCTAGACACACAAACTTGTCCCATGATGTTCGAAAGTTGTCAGTATATATTAAACTATATTGTTATGGCAATCAATATAAACAATAAATTTTTTTTTTTTTGCATCGCTCTACCTTCAATCTTCGAATTCTGTTCTCTCTGCCGTGTATACATCTATTTATCTATCCATCTATCTATCTCTCATGTCTCAATCTGCTCATATTTTATATATATATATCAATATATCAATATATCTTCATCTCGATTCCTCTCTTTATAAACAACAACAGTTGGATACACAACGGACACCTTAGTTTACGACTGGCTGGATAATCCAGTTGAAATGGATTCTGGTCAGCTGGATTTACCTCAGTTTAGGTTCGTCAAGTTCTTCCTAAAAGATTGTTCCCAAAACTATACGACTGGTTCCTATCCTTGTTTGTCGGTTAACTTCGTTCTTAAGAGGGATATCGGCTATTATATGATTCAATTGTATATACCAAGCGTTCTCATCGTAATTCTTTCCTGGGTTGCGTTTTGGATAAGTATAGACGCCATACCGGCAAGAGTAACAATAGGCCTGCTTACTGTATTGACGATGACAACACAATCGACGGGGAATAGGTCGCAGCTTCCTCGTGTTTCCTACATAAAAGCAATAGACGTTTGGATGTCGATGTGTTTGATCTTCGTTTTTGCTTCTCTTCTAGAATTTGCCGTTGTTAATGTATTTTCAAGAAAGGAAATTCGTCAATCAGCTCGTAATACGTTCCGGAAAAGAGCATTGTTAGCAGGTCATGCAGCAGCGGCAGCACAACCTACACATCAGGAGGAGATTGCACTTGAACAGGTTTTAATCAGTTTTCCTCTCTTTATAACACTTTTCTTGTAAACACAATTTTTCTCTTACCCACCTACCTCCATTAGCTATTAATCCATTATTGAGAAAAAGTAGTTTGTTATTCTTAACCTCACAGATTAACATTATCAACAACGGACGCAATTTCCGCGAAGCAATGGACAAGCGCGGTTACGTCCGAGATCCGGATGGTCGACAAAAGGCCAGAAAGATCGATAAAATATCAAGAAAAGCCTTTCCACTAGCCTTTCTCACCTTTAACATTGTCTACTGGACAGCCTACATTTTCGTCTAGAGGAATGGAAGGAATAGATGAAAATAACTTTTACTTGCCATGACATACATACCATGTCTCTCTCTCTCTCTCCCATATCTGTCTATCTATATCTCTATCTCTATCTCTATTTCTATCTCTCTCTCTCTCTCTCTCTCTCTCGCTCTCGGTGTATATGTATATTCTTGTATACTTCATATACAGCATATACAGTACAACTTTGTATATAAATATATATATTTATATATATGTATATATATATATATATATATATATTCACAAAATTCATTTTATTTGACAAAAAAGAAAAAAAAACATTCAAAATGACTGCCAGATAAATTTTTGCAAAGAAAAAGTAAAGAGATTAAGTAATATAGAGATTAATAAGATTTTATCAATTCGACTTTCTTGTTCAAAGTTTCTTATTTTTAAACTATTTTCTAATTTATTAACTATTTAAATACTTCGCTTTCTTTATATCTTTGATAGATTTTCTTTATATATAATGCAAACTATCTTTCTTTTCCCTCCTTCTCTCTCTTTTCTTTCTTTCTTTTCTGTCTTTCTTTCTCTCTCTCTATCATCCATCTTTTCTCTTTCATTTCTATTAGGTTTATAAATACTATATACCTAAAATCAAGATGAAATTCTATATTCTTCTTCTATCTGTCTCCCTCTCTCTTTCTCTTTTACTCTGTATTTGTTAAAATCACATTCTTATTTCTACTTCTTTGTCAATTCGTATAAGCTAAACTTTATACTTTTTATCTACAATTTAGTACCAGTTTATACTCTATTTCCATGATATAACTACAAAGAAAAAGAAAAAAAAGGAAATTATTGTTTTTGAAGGATAACGAGGAAATTGTCAAAATTATACTTGTTAAGGGGACGAATATTGAAAAATATAAATGCTGAAGAGTATTGAAATCTCCTTCAATTGATTTTTTCATTTTATTGTATAAAGCATATTGAAAAATCGCATTAGTATAAAAAAAAAGGGAGTATAGCCGGGCAAAATGGAGTCTATGTTGACTAGGATTATACAGTAACAAACTAGTAATAGATATGACACCGAGAGTTATCTATTGCTTCCGCGTAACAGCTATCTTGTTAATAGTCGTATTACTAGTAATTTTAATCTGTAAGGAATGGCGAAGCCAAGTGATTGGGGAGCGATTGGGAAATCGGAAAAGTACGGCTTATGTAGACCAATGGAATTACAATTGGGATTTGTAAGTACCGCATGCTGTATATATAAATACTGTATTTTATAAATATACGCTACTGTATATTAAGACTTCAAATCTCTTCTTAGTCTCGAAAGCCTTTTTGAACTCTATTCTCTTCCATATATTCTAATAGTTTTCCCATTTGCTCTTTTCTGAACCGTTCCATATTTCGTTTACTTTACCTTCAAAGTATTAAATAATACATCTTATATACAGTATCAAATATACTCGACGATTATATATTCATAATTTATACATATATATACTATAAGTCAACTGTTATTAAGGAAAAGTGAACAGAAGAAAACCGGTAAGAAAGCATCGGTAACCAGAAACGTGTTCCTCGTCAGACATGGTCAATTCGATAAAGAAACCGGTAGACTGACGGATTTGGGCAGGCAACAAGCCAATCTAACTGCCAGGAGATTGAAAGACATTAAACATCCTTTCAGCAATATTTATTATTCCTCAATGCCCCGAGCCGAAGAAACGGCTAAAATCATTCATCAGACGCTTAATTGGGCCAAAGCGGAAGCTGACGATGGACTTAGGGAAGGAGGACCCGTAGAACCAATTCCCAGATTAACTCATTTTAAAATGAGCGAACGTTCTTATCACATTGACGGCCCAAGAATGGAGTCCACTTTTCGAAAGTATTTCTACCGACATGAAAACTCAATGAAATTTCAAACCTACGACTTGTTGGTAGCTCACGGCAATATTGTTCGATTTTTACTTTTAAGGGCTCTTCAATTGCCACCTGCTGCCTGGATGAGAATTGCTTTGACTCATTGTTCAATAACGTGGATTATGTGCCACCCGGATGGAACCGTTTCGGCTTTCCTGGTTGGCGATTCTGGTCATCTACCTAAGCACCTCGTGACTTTTTAAGGACCTTTTATAATCTACTTTATTTTTTCCATTTAGTTTTTATTCAATTTAATCAATTCATTAAATAAAAAGCTGAAATTAGATGATTATAAAACCGTTCTAGGTATATATTAATCAAGGGAGTGAAATGCATATGGCTTCATCTTTAGAAGAAATGGAAGAAGTGGAAAGAGATAGAATGACATATATGTACTTGTATATCTATCTATCTATATATATATATAAATTTATATATATTTATACATACTGTATAAATTTATATATGTATATAGTAGAGAGAGAGAAAATTGAGAGTTAGTTAAGGAAACAGAATACGCTACTGCCATCTATATCATTATTTCATTGTAATAAATAAATCTCCATTCACATGATTGTCCAAGGCTAAACGTTCTAGTCTATTTTTTTCACTCTGATAATCTTTATCCCTTCTTAACATGTAAACTCTTTTTCTGTAAGACGCTAACAGAACATAGGCTGAAAATACTACGTGATCCATAACGAAAAAAGTAGCTAGAGCATAGAGGAAATACTTGTCAGCTTTATCTTGTATACTCTTATTGGTTATTAGCGAAATACATGTAGTGTGTATAGACTGCACGACAAGAATCATCATGTTAATGAGTATATAAATATCCAAACTCGTCAAATAAGAGATCGTTGGTAATGATCTAGAGACAACCATCTTGAAAGCTACAGACGTTAGGAGAAGTGTGAGAGTTATACCCAACCTATCTTTTGGACTTTCCTTATCTACTGTAAAACTACAAAACGTCAAAGATGTTATACAAAACATAATGAGGGCAACATTCCAGAAAAAATAGCCGGCCTTTCGGGCTACGTGACAGGTCAACGTAATTTTGGACCTCGTAAATTTCTTCGAATTCATTTCCTGCGTATTTAGTTCGCTCTCTTGCGAGTCGACATGCTCAAAAAGCGTCCATTCGTGCGAATCGCCGAACTCGGAAACGTCGCACGAACTTAAAATAAACGCATCTTTTATTAATTTCACTTTAGAGGCAGGGTGCTCGCTAGTTACATGGATCGATAATTCTTGAACGTCAACTGGAAAATCCCTCAATTCTAGATTCTCTTTAAAATCTCCTTTTAATCTCATTCTTTGACTGCAGACCGCATACTCAGATCCTGCTTTAGCGACTGTCCATTCGTCGCTGCGTTCCAAATCACCCAGGACATTCGTTACTTTTATTCTCGGATGCCATTGTCGCTTCCAATTTAGACGATCTAATTCATTCTGGGAGTACCCTGCTAGGTTCGCTTCAGCCCATTGAGCCTATTACGAGTAGAATACAGAGCTTTTTAACTCTAAGGTAAGATAATTTTAGTAAACTAGTAACTTATACTTGGATAAAGACGTCGGCAGAATACTTTTGGGAAATGGTATCGATATCGTTAATTCTAACGAACACGCAACGAACTTGCACTTGTATACTTTCTTCTCTTTCTTCTTGCAATATATCATCTTCCTCCTTCTAATAAAAAGATGGAAAAAGCAAAAAGAGAACTAATTAATACTTTTTCCTTCTATAATTCAATAATTATGCTCTTACTTGTTTACTTATTAACTTTACCAAATCTCCAAGTAACCTGATCGCCTTAGTATTTTCGTCTATGCAATTCCTTAATGAACTTTCATCAACTGTCAAACTCATTTTTAGTCAAGCACTATTCCCTTTTGTTCTTCCCTTTTTCAGACTGTCTTTTATTGAAAGTGTTTAGTTGACGGATTGCTACCATAACGACGTGAGAAAATTACTAGATCATCGAAAAATTGAACATAGGATTAGTAATAAAGAAATTTTCAGAATGTACTTATATAAACTAGTAAAATGTTCATTGACCGACAGTCCTTCAATCATTTCTATAATAAGCTCTATATTCAAATTCTAAGAGAATCATTATAATACTCCTATTTTTTTTTCATTCTCCCCTTGTAGGCCTATTGTAAATAAACGAGAATAAATAAATTTAGTTTTTCTCATTTCACACCTTGTAAAGGTCGATATTTTTTTTAGTAAAGACTATTTTATCATCACTCTTTTAAAGATTATTATACTTATACAAAGCTATCGCTATCTCAATTTTCCCCATCCTTTTTTTCTTCTCTCTTTTCCACCTTTTCACTTATTGTTTTCTCTTATTTTCCGTTTATCACTTTTTTTTCCACCTTTCATTGTTACTCGTGTAAACAGACTATCCTTCTTTCTCTTAAAAGAAGATTACTTCCCCTTTTCACTCTTATCTAAATATTTTATATGGCAATTAAATTAATATGAAATTAGTAAAGCTCATAATAGTAGGTAAGCTTCTTAGTCTTCTTGTCTTAGTCTCAATTGTTATTGTAAAGGTTGCTAGGTAACAAGAAGAGTAGTTATCTATAATGATTACACCTAGTTTTCCATCGATTTTTCGAATGCAAAAATATATTAAGAGTAAATATATGTACACATTCGACAAAATCGTAATTAAAGGTGATTCAAATAATCTCAAATCGATTAAAAATCGATTTTGTTTAATTCTATTAAACTAATTAAATTAAAATTCATGCATCCATAAAAAGTACTCTTTGTTATTTTAATGTACTTAATTATTTAAGTTTAATAGAAGACAAACAGATGGTAAACCAATAGGACGATTACTTCATAGGAATAAAGACAAAAGAGAAGGGGAAATAAAATAGGACATATTACAAGAAAAAATGATATTGTATTAGTTAATGAGGAGAGGGTTAATGAACAAAACACTCTTTCTATAATAAAGAGGAATATTATGCAGATGCACTAATTTTATCTTCTTATCAAGAAGAGAGAATCTCTCTCTCTCCCTCTCTCTCTCTCTCTCGCTATACAGTACATATATATAAATTTTGTTTATGAGATTGAATGAGTGTGATTTAGTAAATATAGAAACAAAAAACTACAAAAAAACCCAACGTGTTGTGAAAGAGGAAACAGTTACATTTTTTTCCCATCAAACTATAATCTATTTAGTGGTTTGTTAAAATAGAAATAAATACTAAGATTTACTTTATCCAATCGTCAGTTAGATTTTCAATAGTATTATTATTTGATCTCCTTTTAAAAGCAAGTACCAAACATTCAACCATATCAACGTTTGAATGTTCAAATGACAATAATGTAAATAGTTTTTATTCATTTCTCTTTAAAGAGTAAGTTTAGACAGAAACCGTTAATTTTTAGCTAAATAAAAATAAAAAAGAGATTTATAGACAAAAGAGATAAAACATAAAGCTATCAGCTAATTCCTTGTCTAGTTCTCCTTCATCTTCCAATTAACAATAACTTGTATATAGAAACTGAAAATTATTTCAAGTACTCTTATATTCCTTTCTTCTCTCTCTCTCCCTCTCTTCCTACTTACTCGCTTTATATAAATATATTTATGCCATTAATCAATATTTTATAACAAATGCAACAATAAGATATCTCTTATCTAATTGCTCTTATTATAAATCTATATTCAAATGTACATAGATTGTATATTAACACTCCTTTCCCTTTTAAGCTTCTGTTCTGCTTTTTCAAAACGTCCCCCATTATTCTTTCTTTATTTAACACTTTACAGTTAGGGGAGTAGCTGATGTCCAAAAGAAGAAAAAAAAAATCATCGGTAAAAGCGACATCTGGTGCAGTTCTCCAATTAGGATTGATACAAATCGGAAAAATATGTAAATTTTTGTAACGGGCTAAGAATATTAACTATTTTAGTTTGGAGCGATCAATTGTATTATACGTTAATAAATTATCTTTATCTTTATATAGAGACACGGAGAAATGGGCTTACAGATAGTAAGCAAAATGGAGAAAGCGATATTTACAGTAAACCAAAACGATACAATCCACTTACTCTGGTTAACAAGTTCAAATGTAGATATATATATTGCGTGATTTTATTAATTACAGATTCCAAACAGATTTAGCCGACTGTTAGGAATGCCATTAACGTCTATTTACAGGGATAAACTGTACAAACATGGATACTTTGGATAAATGATACATCCAATTTAGGATTTAATTTGTTTTCTTTAATTAAATGCGTATATACACGTTCCCTTATGTAGTAACTACGAAAAAAGAACCAGATATTAGACCAAAATGTGATAATGATTAATGGAAGAGAACAGAAAGAAAGCATATATTTAATTATGTATTAAGTGCCATCGACAAAGAAGCTAAAACCACTAAGGCAAAGAGAAAAGACAACAAAGATTTATCCGAATTATTTACAAAACTTTATACAAGTGGCGCCAATGCGGGTAAATTCAATATATTAACTTACAAGGGGAAATGGGTGAAAGAGGGATGAAGTGACGAAGAGACGCTGTCAAAAATCTGTCATTCTTACATATTCAAGATGGATAAGATGTAGGAGCTAGGGGTGGTAAGGGGTGGATAGGAGACGAAGGGAGCGCTTTTTTTATTTAAATTATAAAATAATAGGAAGGAAAAAGAAAAGAATAAATAAAGGATGTCAAACACTTTACGACATCCGAAAAAAATCTCCAAGTTTTTTCCTGTTCTATGTTTGTCCCTTTTGTTTACTTGAACAATATTTGATAACTATCCACTAAATCACATAAACAGTTAAAAGAACATAATAATCAAACTTTCTCTATACAGTCTATACATATATCTCGATCTCTGTCTTCCTAACTAGCTATCTATCTCTCTCATTCTTCCTTTATTATTATCCTTTTGTCCTCTTCGATATGGAATAAAGAAGCTATTTAGATTTCCGTAAACTAAATCCTCTGCAAATATTAACGGTTAAAAGGAATAAAATGGTACTACTTTACACTTTGCATAACACAATGTAAGATCGCGTCCAATCGTTTGTATTGTAAATAAATACTCGATAGATGTCACTTTTGCAGTTATATTTAATCATGTTAATATATCAGTCGTTTCTCTTCGACAATATAAAAGAACCAAGATTTATTAGTTCTATTTTTAAAAGATAACTTAATTACTTTATTCTTATTATCATAAAAAAAATGATAAATATGTGCGAAATATTTTAATTAGAAACTATGTCTATTTATCACTATTTTCATTTAAAAGAGACGCTCTTTCCGTCTTGCTTTTCTCGAATAAACACAGTATTTTGCACATATATACAGTATATACTATATATCTATCGTACTTTATACAAAATACAGTATTGTACCTTTTATATACAATTAAAATCAAGCACTTGTTGGATATTAGTTAAAGAACACCTAAGGGACTTGTTTGTTTATTAGATATAGCCAATACAGCGGTATTAATACGGAGCACGACACTTTTAGTAAAAGTAGCTGAGGCGGCGGTCTTTTGATGCTAAACTAATAAACCCTCTGGTATAAAAAAATCAGTTACGAAATAGTTATGTAATATGATCTAACCAAGTCGGGTTACACCAAAGCCACTCAAAAATCGCGTCCCTTTTTGGTCGAAAAGCGGAGTACGCTTGATTGACGGATAAAGTGTGCCATTTAACCAATAAGAATAGAGTTAGTGGGAGGAGCTTAAAAGTGAATTGTCGTTTTTTGAATTTGCGAGTGAATAACTCACTTTAAACGTCGTGTCAGCGCATGGATAAGGACGAAAGCCGTCTAGTTGACGTCTAAAAAGAATTTAACTTATTACAACATCATAAACAATTAAAGTTAAATAGCTATTTATGTTACATCGAATGAATATTGGAATTAGAATGAAAAGAGCTTATAGCGACGATGGATCCGATTTTGGAGAAGATGACACAATGTATAAAGAGAGGTAATAAATAAATTTAAAGAAAAAGTAATATAACGCTCAATAAATTAGCGTTTTTGTTATATAAGTATATTTAATTCTAGTTTGAGCGTCTATTTCAGTTCCGGTTTTTTTTGAAATAGCAATAATAGTTAACGGTTGATTTATTAAATATTCACAAACATTTTTAATGCGTTTCTTGCCTTCCAGTTTCTTTTATGTAATACAATGCGTTTTTTATTTGTATAAAAGATAGCACAAAGAACTTCGCAGATGTTTGCTTAATTAGACAAACATAGCTTTTCTTTATTCTCATCCGACCTGTATTCTTTTTACTTTGATTGGAAACGTCAACTCCTTTTTTACTTTCTATAAATATGTCAAAGTATACTGCTATTTAAATATAAATGATATTATTAAATGTATCCTTTAATTAATAGCTCTCCGGATCAAAGTTGCAGCGGTGGTCCATCCCGGAAGAGGAGGAGAGGCGTAAGCAATCTTTTTTTACAAAAGCGTTTAAGCGCTTGATTGACATGCTGAATCCGACAGATTGTTGAAAAACGAAGGAGAGACAGAATCAATCAGTCGTTAATCGAGCTGAAACGTTTAGTACCGGCCGCCTATGAGAAACAGGGTTCGGCAAAATTAGAAAAGGCAGAAATACTTCAAATGACTGTAGACCATTTAAAAATTTTGCAGCAGAAAGGTAAGCATTAATTTTATATTATCTACGTATTTATACCTTTTTTTGGCTTCTTTGTTCTCGTTTTTTCTTACCACTCCCTGGAAAATGAAGAACTTTTGTTCCCATGACCTGACTGACCTTGACATTTATACAAAATCCTTTTGCAAACAGGAATTACAGGATACAACGCCGACCAAGCAACTATGGCAATAGACTACAGAACAATCGGTTTCCGCGAATGTGCATCGGAGGCGGCTAGATATTTGGTGACTATTGAAGGAATGGATATTCAAAACCCTTTAAGGATCCGCCTACTATCCCACTTGGAATCCTTTTGTGCGCAAAGAGAAGCGGCGGCTCGTGCTAGTTTACAACAGAATCAATGGCCGGCGTCAATTTCATACTCACAGCCCACCTATCAGTACACGACGCCCAACTCTAGTCAGACATATCAGTCGGCTTGCGCTCCGCCTTCTCAAGATTCGCAAAATGGTATAGGTACAACTCAAGACAATGTACATTCATTAACTCCTCCCACTCTTCTTTCAAGTAAGCCATATAGGCCTTGGGGGGCGGAGTTAGCATATTAATAAAGATGAAATTGGCGAGAACTAGTCGTTATCTATTTATACGTAATTTGTTTTAAACGTATATTTATTTGTGAGATGCACTAATCGTAAATAAATCGAGAGAAGAGAGAAAAAGAACACGTGTAACTGATCCGAATCCCTTATCGCTTGTCAAAATTAGAAAATGAGGCGTTAACGGCTATCCCAGCTGGTAGATACTGTTATTATTGTATCTTTAGACGTCCCTGCGCCGTGTCAAGTATTTTTTGACCGAAATTCCTTTTCTTACCGCGTTTCCTCTTTTCATACGTCTAGTCTCGTTTTGCCTTTATCATTTGACAAAGAAGAATATATGTATTTATTTCTTGCGTGGAATTTTAATGCGATTGAAAGAAAACAGGTGCGCATTTTTTAGTGATGGACGATTTCCGTGCAAAAGGACCTTTTTTCACTTTTCTTCCTTTCTATTATTCTTCCTTCTTTTTTTTCTTTCTTTCTCTCTCTCTCTTTCTCTCTCTACCTCCCACCCTCTTTTTCTATTCATATACATACGTTCGTAACCTATTGTGCATTCTTCTTTAATACATTTATTTGTCCCTCTTCGGTAATTTTCTACTTATTTTGTCTTTCACTGAAAGGAAAACGTTAGTTAGAATAGACAATTTGAAACGAAATAAGCCATTGAGGTCGCGACTTCGGGGTCGTCGAGAATTTATTAAGTAGTCATAGGGTCAACAGATTAAGGATGATAAACGTCCGGTGGACAAAGGAAGAAGTCGTCTTTGATGCTAACACGAAGCACGCCAATTACACGCAATCATTATGAAATTGAATTCCGCAAAATTAGCTGCTTTAAGTTGTAACAGCGCACCGGAAGTTGCGCAACGTGACGTCAGGCGTTCCTCTTTCAAAGTAGCTAGTAGTTACCTTATACGAAGTTCTAGAATTTTGTGCAATATCCTGTCGGGTATGATCAAAAGATCACGTGACAAAAATTTTATTACGCAATTCCGTTTCTAATCAAGCGTGACATAGTGATTATAACATCAACCAAACGCTTTGCTTTTTCTCACGAAAGGCGTATAGATGAAGCGATAGGCGTTTATCGGCAAGGACATTCGTCGACATCTTATCCCGATAAACTAGGTGATAACCGTTTATAAGGGAAGGGTGACGCTGATAAATATATAGCGTAAATAAATACGACGTTTACGTCTTTCTCTCTTTAAACGAAACTGGCATGCAATAACTCGTTTAAATCTTTATTCCACCGCCAAATCGCACGCCCCGTACATTGTTTACACATGTACATAAGTTTAATGTACGAGAAGGAGACCGTACAGCCGTCTTAAGAAAAAAAAGGAGTAGCGTGGGAAAAGAGATGAATAGCGAGGAGACGTAAGCGGAAAAGGAAAGACGCGGTAGCGTGTGTCTAACGCGTGTCTTCTCGCCACAAATCATTCAATCATCGTTCCTTTTACGGGTCTATAGAGTAAGGAATGTTGGACGATTGATTGATCGGTTAATAATTTAATGATCAGTTTTCGAAGGAATTCCTGCTTTCCAACTGAGTTCTATGGAAGCCGAGAGTTTTCAATAGCCCGCCCCCTCCCTAACAGAAAATAGTTAGAAGAAAAGGAGGAGGAGGAGTCTAAGGAGGAAGGGGGAAGGAGAGGTGTAAGGAAAAGAGAAAAAGGAATAATAGTTTTAAAATCTAGGGGAGAAAAATATAGGCAGGTGCGCGGAATTTTGTGATTTCTATAAATGCGTAGCCAACTGCACTCTGCACACTCCCGACTAAAAAGGCGTCACGTGAAGCGAACTTCATCTCACTTTCGAATTAATAGACGCGTCTTTCGTTTGAAACGAGTCGAAGAGGAGTTCAAAAAGGACGAATATGTTAATCAATCAATTAGTCAAATTGCTGACGTCGGGTGGACATTACCTCCTGCAGAGGAGGCGCGTCCGGCAATTGCGATTTCAGCACGTTCTTGAACGCCTGGGTAGTTATTTATGAACACTTTTTGGAGGGGGTGAATGGGTTTTAATAGAAAGAGTAGGGCGCAGGAAAAATAAAGGAAAACCTTATCCTTTTCATCCAATGCATCCGGATAGGAGCCGTAAAATGATCTGATAGCAAATATTTTCGTTGATGACCGCTGCTCGGACTCGGTGCGAAGGTCAGCCCGATAGAGTCATTATCAGCTAGATTAATTTTTCTTTCGAGATTTAATATCCTAACGGAATGCGAACAAAGTAATGTACATATACACATGTACCTTTCCGCTTTGTTAATATGAGGGTATATTACGGATTTACAATTTTAAAGTGGTCGAAAAGTGTTCTTAATTACATGAATGAACAGGTGTACATCCCCGGGGCCACATTTTCCCGACATGACACTGATGAAGACCAGACAAAACGGGAATAATTAGAATTTTTTTGTTCCGAGTTTAGAATTCAACGCAAATGTTAATTTTCCATTTGACCTTTATAAAAAAATTATGAATACTATGATACTGTTTATACTGTTCGTTTATTTTTAGTTAAACACCTACTCTCCATTCCTCTTAACTCATTAATATTCAAATTGCTTTATTACTTATTATAAAAACTATTGGTTAAAGAGTTTAATAAAAGAAAAAAAATTGCCCCCTCCCTCTAACAATTGGCATTAAATCGCTCATTATGGCGAGAACGGAAACTCCAACTGCAAAAACTGCAAGCAACAATTACAGCAGGTGCGTGGTGTCAACTGGAATTGACACGTGCCAAAATGTCGTTTTCTTTTTGTGACAAACATCATTGCTGATGACTTCGATGAGGAATCGATAAATACTTTAGAGAGCTTTTATATTTGGGAAACATTTTTTTTCTATTTAAAATCTATTGACGTATGGCTAAAAAAAATATAAAAGGCGATCTCGTCCTTCCCATGACATTGATGTAATTAAAAGTTAATTACACTGTGGGAAAAGAAGAGTCCGGTCTTTTTCACCAAAAGTTAAAGTCGACCTTTCTAATGGACATTAAATAGCTTGGAAAAGGATTTATTGAAAAAACAGCTCTCAGAATTTTACTCATCCATCATTTTCAACAAATTTGAATGTAGAGTCACGCCAATGATTAAAATTTTGTCACTTTTCTGTTGACCGTCGGCTCTACAAAGGATTGAAATCAAAATCCTTTGTCCTTGGCAAACGTGCAGCTGGACAATTAGCATTTCGCACTGAATTTTCTTGACCTTCGCCCGGAGGAGGATGCGTAAAGTGACGGCATTGAGATAACAACCTCTGACCCTCCAATGCGCTCGGCTTTGTTCTTCAAAAGTCATCCTACTTGACGGTGGTGTCCATTCTCGACGAGTCTCCAGCTGCCTGGGCCGCCCACCCACCGGTTCAGGACATAGGTCAACAGGGTCTACGAATAATTATATCGCTTTGTTTGTCGTAAAGTTGACAATGAGAACACCTAGCGACATCTGTTGCTAAAGAAATGCTGAAAAGTGTAGAATAGAATTTTCCCTGTGGCAGATAGTCAACGTGAAAAAGATGTCTTTTTTTTCGCGCAAGTGGCGACATCTGTCTTAAATAGAGAAAATTCTCAAAACCTCCGCCTCAGCTGATACTAATTAATTAAAAGTAAACTCTTTGTAGTGTTTTTACAGAACTAATATTTCTATAGGTTATTAGTAAGAAAAAATGTAATTAATTGGAGGAAAGTCCGAAGTATAATCGCTAAGTAATATACATGAAGTAAAAGTCGGCTGTCACACGTTGCCAGAAGGTGGGTAATACTATCCTCGTTCTATCAGTCATTGTTCTTCTTTTACGACAAACTATTATTCTCTTTTTTCCCTCTATCTGTATAGATATATGTATATATATCTTTGCTATCTATAATTTTCTATCTTTATTATGAAATTGTATTGATGTATATAAATAAACGTATATACAGTATATATATATATATATATATATACTAATATATATATACTAATATATATATATATATATATATATATATATATATATATATATGCTTTGTGGATTACTTATGTTTTAATACAATTCTTTGTTTTCGACCCGCGCTACAGCTAATCCCCTATTTTAGTCATGATTTAGCGCCTGACATATTCAATAAGAGTGTCAACAAAGTATCGGCGTGACGTAATAGAAAAGAGAATAGTCGAGGGATCGCTTGAAAACATTATAGACGAAGCATTTTGGAAGGGACCTCTAGCCAACCCTACCATATCCCTTTGGGATAATAAAAATTTCTAGGGCTTTAAGTAAAGTAACAACTATTGTTTATCGATTAGAGGAAGCATACATTTTAGGACTAGAAATAGTAGTTCGTAAATGGGAACAGTTAATCCATTTGGATAATTAAAAAAAGGCTAAGATAATTCGGCAGGTGCTTAAACGACAATCAGTAAATAATTAATGAACACATCAACACTACACGCAGCTTTTATGAAACCTGTTAATAGGACCTTGGCCTTGAATGAAATGTCATGTTCGACAGAGCTCGCTTATTAAGTGTATAAAAAGTAATGAAAAAGAATGAGAGATAATATTTTGTCGACAACAGCTTGTTGTATGTAAAATTGGAGTAAATGTATCTGAATTGCATCTACGTCGAATGCCGGAGACGCTAAGGGAAAACACGTTCACAACGTCCGCCCTTTCCCTGGAGGACGCTCGTCACAGTCTGTCTGCAATTGCTGATATTGCAGTTTATAAATGTAGGCGAGAATGCGAGCGCTTGTTGAGAAGGAACATATGCTCGGCGATAAGATATGACGAAAGCAGAAAAGTCGCTAATTGTCTCCGTAGGCAGCAGTCATTCGCACGTTCTTCAAATTATACATGTGTAATTACAAGTCAGATGTATATAAGTATGTATTGTTTATATCTGGACAAGCATAAATAAATAAAAAGCGTACAGATATTTATATATATATATATAACATTGTACCACGACAGGAAAAAACGTTGCGTTTCTTCTTCTAATAAACAAATTCTTATAAGTGGAGTATATAAAATTGATAAAATGTCTTGATTCTAATACTCGAATAAATATTTCCACGCATAGGCCTACTGTACATGGTATATTTAGGGGCTAGAAATCTTCGACTATTAAGGAAAGGTGTGACAATTACTTGTTGCAAACGGACAAAAATAAGTCCATAGAAATATATAGAGACGCTTGTGTTATTTTCTATTTATAAACGCTGAGATCGATAAATGGCAGGCGACCGACCGAGTCTATGTATACTATACCACGCTAAATTGCTGCTGATAATTTCGAAGGAACGATCCCACGCACTGTATAGAGTTCATTGATGGTTTTGCGTTACGTATGACGTCACTACGAGCTGATTGGTCCATCGTACGACGGTATGCAAATCAAGTAATGCAGTATAGATGCCGCGCTAGTGCAGTCGTTCGTCCGACACGTTCGCTTCGTCGATTTCAATCGTTTGTCGTTCCGTGAATTCTCTGTTATTTTTTTCTACAGGTAAGTCTATAGTAGAAGTTTGTCGGGTGATTTATTAACGATCGCCTTTATCTTATCCGGTGTCTCGAAAGGCTAGATGAAAATCGATATAATCGTATGAGCAAACAAAAAACCGTCTCCACTTGACATTTTCTTTACAAGCCAAGCCGAGGAACGTCCGATGTATGACCTATACAGACAGCTAGTTTGTCTCCAAATTATTTTTAGCCATATTAATTAGTGTCTTTCCACACTGTTTATCTTTCGGCTGTATCGTCTTTGATATAATGCGACTAAGCAGTTTTTGAAACCTGTCAGCTGCCGAATTATCACGAAAACCGTTCTCCTTTTATATATATATAATGTTATGTAGGGTGTTGGTAATCAGATGTACACTTTCTTCTTCGGTCTTAATAGGTTCCCGCCATATAAAGTTCACGTAATTTAGACACATCTATATATATGTGAAACCGTTAATGTTATTGTGCCTGACTTTATGTCTTCGCGTGTGCTTTAGGTGTTTAATATATGTGAATTGTGTAATAAGGACTATCCATAAGATACATATGTACATTAGTTGGTAGATAAATAAACGTATGGTATAAAAGAGAATCGATGAAAAGAACGTTGAGTGTTCTTAACTCGTTAAGTATAGAGGATTTATAACCGGCCCAGCTAAAATGATAGAAAATGATAGATGAACAGGACATATCATAGTGATTTTGTCAAATAGACTTAGCATCGCAATCCTACGTCGCCTATCCTTTGTTTCATGCGACAACCTTTAATCGATTTTTTTTTGTTTTCTTCCCCGTTTTATTTATGTCCATATATTGTTCACGTTAGCTATATTTCTCTCTTATTCTATCCGGAGAGAACATGTGTTCTAGTCCTTTTCAAGCCTATAAACAGCCGGCGCAAAAGAGAAATGTTCGGTTTTTTTTTTCACTAAAAGAACAAAAGTGTTTTTTTTTTATCTTTTTGTTCATTTAAACACAAAGAATATTTCAATAATTTTCTCTACCCTTTTCTCTTTTTACTCCCTTCCCATCCCTTTTTCTCTCAATCTTACTCTTTTCTCTGTCTCTCTCTCTCTCTCTGTCTCTCTCTCTATCTCTCTATCCTCCCTCACACTATTTTTCTTTTCCTTCAGTTACTCTTTTTTTTTCTCTCTCTCTCTCTCTCTCTCACTCACTCACTCTCTCACTCTTTCCACATTATTCTATTTTCCAATAAACCAAGTTTTTTTTTCTCTTTTCATAGATTTTTCTATCATTTTATCAATCTATCTATCTTTCGCTCGCCCGCCCACAGTTCTCCTCCCCCCAACCCCCATCATCGTTGGTTCATATCAGTGTATTTAAACCCGCATATATTCAGTATATACATATATGAGTTTATGTATACAAGGAGTAAATGTACATATATAGCGAAACGGAAATTGTCGCGCACCTGTTGGACGGCAGGACGAGATAATTCTCGTTGTATATCGATTGAAATAGGTAACATGCAGTACTTGTCTATAAGATATATATTTATAAGTAAATTTTCGATATAGTTTAACACACATTTCGTGTATTAGATTATGCAGTATATACTGTATATATGTATTTTCGTATGTATACATATACATATATACATATATATATATATATATATATACTGTATATAAACTATAAAAAGGTATATACGATATCTATGTGCGGTATATTTATATATAGAAAATATTCATCTAGTTTCATATATTATAATATATTAAAAGCGGATATGCTATATATATGTATATATACATTATATACATTGTTATACATTATTATATGAAGCGTATATCCATATGATAGTATATATTAATAATATTTTGCTATATATAGATGTCATGTTTCCGTAGAAAAAGTAGTCAAGCCATTTGAAGCGAATATAAATGATGGAAATTCGTAAGCGTTTGGATTATTCCATCAGGATATAAAAAAGTAAAAAAAATGAAGGGGGTTTCAAAATCTGTTGCGTAAGCAGTCTTTCATTTTTTATCAGGATAAGCTACAACTATGGCGACTCTTACCCCATATATAAGCATAAATAAATAAATAGAAGAGATATAGCAGATGCCGCATATATTACATATATGTCATATATATTTGTATATAAGGAACATTATCGTATTATGTGAGTAGGAAATGTATAAAGAGTGGAGTAAAGATGAATATATATATCTACATATAGATATATTATTAGTCTATTTATATCTATTCCTTCCTTTTCATATAGGGCTTCATGTACACATGTATTTGTAAATGTGATAGTGTGCATCATATACAATATATGAAATATGTAGGTGGATTATTACATATTGCGAACTATTGTTAATGCAGTTCCCGATTTATTTATTATAAGGAGCCTTATAAATGTAATAATTAAAGATATATTTAATACATATATATATATATATATATATATATATATATATAAATGTAGATATACTATACATTTACAGTATATATATATATTTATACATGTATATAGATATATTCATTCATAGCCTGAATATAGCTTTTAGTCGTATAAAAGTAAAATTATGTAAACGATTATTGATCACTGAAAGAAAATAGACCTTGACTCTTTAGATACTCTTTTCGCCCCTATTTTTGTGGGCCAGTGAACATCCACTGCTAGTCTTTCTTTGAAAATATTTTAAAGAGAATAAACTGATAGATAAAGATAAACAGTGGAATGAAGTTGAGGGATGCGAGGAAGAGAATGGTGGAAGAGAAAAGACTATATGAAGCGACAAAGAATAGAAAAAACAGGAAGACAAACGGATATATCAATCATAAAGAAAATGTTAAGCTGAATAAATAAGGTTGATCAATGGCGCGAATTAAAAGAACGTGTACAGATGTTGCTGTCGAGCCAACTTCCTGCAAACTAATTACAAACCTACTCGCCGCATTAGCATGTAAGACTTCTTCACTACACTGATTGATTCCATTCCCGAGGCGCTCGTTTGTTTTACCAGGTTCCCTCGTTTTTTCCTTCATAATTGCGCTTTTCCTCCAGTCTATTTTACTTAAGCAGAGAAAACGGTCGGGACCCGTTCCCTAATGGAGTGCTGTATAAAATCGCCTATAGACCGCCCAGATAATCCGCCGTCTAAATCAATTTGTAGCCGACGTATATATAGATACGTACAAATCCGAATCACGTACTGAACTGCAAAAGTGAAATGTGACTCAGAACGTGACTCTCGTTTCAAGTTATATTCGCCTATTTATATATGTTTAGCTTTTGCATAATTAAATCATACTAAAATGTACTAGAAAGTACAAAAAAAGGCGGAAGAGGAATGAATTGATTGCAAATCGAGAAGCTAATTATCTTAATGTTCCATTCGCTTTGTTTTCGATTTTATCTTAATCAAAATGTCGATAAATTATCCATATAAATCTCTATTTTATCCAGCTATTTGTATTTGGAGAAAAACAAAACATTCCTAAATTTGTATTGAATTAGATATTGCTGATAATTTTCTACCTAAAGACTAAGCAACTTGTATATTTTATGTAATATCTTTCGAGTCTGAAAATAGATCAGGGCCAGTCTGAATGGAAATACAATATTGTTGTATCATATTGGATAATCCAGTATATTTGAACCAGTAAATAGCAATTAGATAGAGCAATATAAAGGTGATTCATCTGTTTTACTATTTGCATTTACTATTAAATACGTACAGTTTATATAAATTTTATTCTTATATGTATTAATATTATATTCTTATTTTATTCTTTAAAATAGTATGCGTATATTTTTCTATATCACGTTGTATTGTGCGTAAAGAATCTCTTCAATCGGCATTCACTTGTTAATGCTCTAGACAGGATAATGAAGAATAAAAGGGAACCGGTTAGAAATTCAAGGTCAAAATCATCTTAAATAACAAAAACTGATATCATTCTTTTCTATTTTATGGTACAAAATATATATATATATATATATATATATGCATTATATATCTAAATATTATATATCTAAATATACAGTATATATATATACTGCGGATACTCCACCTTTTCGCTGAATGAAAAGGTTCTTGCGGATTATATATTGCAGCTTATTACCTTTCCACTGTGTAGAATAAGGTAATATTCTGTGCCGTGTATAAAAGAAGATAAATTTATAAGCTTTTATTTTACGAATTCCTCTCTTACTTCTTGGATAATAACGATAATCAATTAGCAATTTTTGCGGATAAGGTTATATCTATATGTTCATTTGATTTTTTATGGAAAGTCGTATGTAGTATATATGTATGTCAACAGTTGGTCGATTATTAACAATTTTTGTTGACTCCTTTTTGCTCTTTACATCTTTTTTTCTACTTGATTAATTTTTATTTTTTTTTTTTGACTATTTTTTGTTATTTTTTTATCTATTCATTCCATCTGTCTATTGATAAGGCATGGACGTAGCCGGGTGGAGGACTACGGACTATGAAATGAGAAAACGATCACTTCCAGGAACTGATTCAGTCTCTACAACATCCAACTCCCCATCGGATTCCTCGTCGGCCAACGGGGATGAACCTACGGCGGCTAAAAGGCAGCGAACATCATCAACACTCGGTAAGAGAAACGGAGGACAACGGCGGAGGAAAGCCCTAAATGCAAGGGAAAGAAACCTCAGACGATTGGAAAGTAACGAAAGAGAAAGAATGAGAATGCATTCGCTGAACGACGCCTTTCAAGGATTGCGAGAAGTGATCCCTCACGTAAAGATGAGCCGGAAATTATCAAAGATTGAGACCTTAATGCTAGCCAAGAATTATATAATGGCGTTAACAAACGTCGTTTGCGATATGAGGGGTGAAAGCCCTATGTACGAATTAGGTGAAACGAAAAACCAACCCGGGCTACCCTCTTCAAAGAAAGAAAATATAGGAAGTTAGAAGGTATAGCTGGGTGTTGGAAGAGGACATAAGAACATAATCCAAGGATGTTTATTTTTTTGACCAGTTAAGAAACAAAAAAAATACAAAAAACTGCCACAATCCTCACAATGCATCAAGTTGGGAAAACTTTTGCCCCCAAAAATAATCCTAGTGTTGTTCTTTGTTTTATCGAAAATGTTTTATTTTGCGAATCTTAAATTTTAAATATGTTATTGAAATGACAACAAAAAACCGAAGAGAGTCCTCTATTTAGCCATAATTATGTACAGAAAATCTGTCTGTATAAGCTGTATATATATAGGCTGACTATATACTGATTATGTAAAAAGCGACATAAAATTACTTATGTTATTTATCTATCATTATGAAATTGTTCTTTGATTGTTCATCTCTTTCAAATTTTACATTCTATTGCTTTTATTCTTATTTTTTGAAGGCCATTTTCTGAAAAGGTAACCGATTTAAAAAAGGAAGAAACCTCACATTTTAAACATTCCAGCCAGTACGATAATGAATAAGATATATATACATGTATTTATATATGTCCTATATACACATAATATTGTTTATTCGCTATTTAGACCTAACAAAAGAGCTTCCATCGTTCCATAACTTTAAATATTTCCTTTGTTTATCATTTTTTGCTTTGTTTTGTTCTTAGAAGAATTTTTATTTGCATTCCAAGTTGTTTTCTGTGCACACCTATTGCCTCTCAATAGAGTCCTTGAAAATGTATATATATATATACTAATATATATATGTATACATAAATATATATCTAACATATAGGGACATGTATTGACATCTAAGTTTTCCTATGTTCTATATGTACAGTGCCTGCTCCAAGTTACAATTATACGCATTTCATCATCAAAAAATATTTACATAGGCGTATTTATCTCGAAGAGCAAGTGCTGTACATAGATAAACAACCATATATATATATATGGTTGTTTAGTTCTTTATTCAATTATATTATATATATATACTGTAAACAGAAACGAGCGTGCTTTATGAATTTATTGAACGTATCTAGGACCAATCTATCCTGTTCTTAAAAAAGTATATTTTATCTGCTGTAGGTAGTTTGTTGAAATTGTTGAGAAAAAATTGTACATACGAAAATAACTAAAAGATGCTATATATAAGATATAAAATATATATATATATATATATATATATATATATATATATTTACGTATATAATATGTATACATTTCTCTCTTTTTGTTCTTTGCTCTACTTATTATATCTAAAACTTATCAATAACTTATTTACAGCATCTTAACCCAAATGGTGAGAGTGTGCATATATTATATTCATTTTAAGTTTATGACATACATGCAGGAGGTCAAAAGAACGAGAAAAAAATATCTGCATAAACAGCATTATGTGCCCACAATTCTTTAGATTTGCCTGTTCAATGTGTGATTTAATTCTGTTTTGGAAAAAATCTAGAAAATACATTTATCCCAAAACAATCTTCAATTATATAAATGTGTATTATTTAATATATTATATGTATATTAATAGTATCTAATAGCAAATTTCTATTGCAAATTCTATACTCGTACCTACATTCTATATAACTGTAGTTACTTGCAACGATCGAGCTATAGATGAAAAAAGAAAAAGATAAAAAAAAAGCCAGGAAAAAGCAATCCCAAGTGCTTAAAAACTATAGCTCAAAAAAAAAAGAGTTGGTGTGACGCCTTTCACCCCTAACTCATGTCATAAGTATCCACCAGCATTGTTTGTTGGGCGTCCAAATATTGCTTTTTTTTCACAGTGGTAGATGTGAAGAGCTTTAAAGAAATTACTGGGGGAGTAAATCGTAAGAATATTATGTGATATTTAACGAACGAATTGGGAATGCAAGGGGGATTAGAAATGAAAGTTTTAATTGGTACGCTGAGGAGAGCAAGGGATAGAGAATGAGGTTAGCGCCAATTCAGCGAGAGAGTGAGAGAGTGAGAGAGGAAAAGAGGGAGAAAGAGAGAAAGGGAAAGGGAGAGGCTGGGCAGAGACTGAGATGAGAAGAACGCAAGGGAGGAGGAGAGGGAGGGGAAAATACGATGAAGAGAGTGAGTTGTGAGTGAGCAAATGAGTGAGTGAGTGAGTGAGTGAGTGAGTGAGTGAGAAAAGGAGGAAGGCAGGAATGGAATGAGCGAGAGAAAAGGTTAGAAAAAGAGGAGAAAAAAACGTCGGTGGATTACTTATGAGGATCTAAATGACTCGCTGCTGCATTTATTCCTCTTTATTCTATTTTCATTCCGCCGTGACGAACTCGTATATGTGCCGGTCTCCTTATTGTTATAGCACGCGATTGTAGACAAATGCACATAGACCGAACACATTATATGTCTTATAAGGAGAGTTAATGCGCCTGCATGTTGTAGAAAAGGTGAATAGAACACCTGAACTAATTAACAACAGTTCTACCTGAGACGAGACCTGTAAGAATATGACCACAAAAGCGGTCAGAACACGCGACACTCTTAAAGCGCTGCATAAAATTATAGCCCTCGGCTACCTTTAGTATATGCACACAGAGCATATAATGTGTACATACGCATACATAGTTATAGTTTGTCCATGTATGAACAATATAGAAGTACATATATAAACATGTTTACATAACAAAATGGTAAACATTTTGTTAATGCTGACCCCTATTAGAGAGGGTGTCGTTCGTATATCACAAATCAAAGCGGCGGCCCGAAGGAGGGTTGCTGAAAAGGGCAGAAAATGCCTTGAGACTGATCCTTTTCGGAAAATGAACGGCACGTCTAGTATATAACTATAAATATCAAAATGAAACCCTTGCCGGATTATGAGACTGACAAGCTAAATGGAAAAGCGCCGTCTCACCGACAAACAATAGGCAACAAACTACCGACGTCCCAACTCATTATCGCGGTCGGCGGAAGCGCTATATGTCCTTTTCAAGCGTCGTCGTTTCTATGGTAATGTTCTACCGGAATGACGTCAGACAGTCGTACAATTTCCGCGGACACCGACTGTGCATTGGCGTGTAGTTGTCAAGTTTTGTAGTTGGTTATTTGATATGAATACTTGAAATATCTTTGTCATATCTTCTACACTATATTTCTTCATCTTTCCTATTAAATCTTTCCTTTTGATTTCTTCTCTTTTTCATACAATTTCTCACCGCTATCTCTCTTGCTTCACCACCTCTCTTGTCTCTCCCCCACTCTTTCTTTTTGTCGCCTATTTCTTATTCTTTCTCTTTTTTCTTTTTACAGTATACATTACTTATTCTATGCATAATTTATAAATAGAAAACGGTCAAAAAGTAATTAACTCTCTCCAATTACTTAAAGCGCCAAGCAAACGGTGAAAAATTCGACTTTCGTTTATATATACTGTATATATATATAAATATATATATATATATATATATTTGCAGTTTTTCCATTCTTCCATATTCTTAACCCCCCTTGCGTGTTTGATGTAGATCTTTAGTCGGTGTTTTCTATCCCTTTTCTTGAAAATAAAACAACTCTATATGCAATTATACAACAGACTTTATAGAATGTAAAGAGTAAATTTCACAAACAATGCTAATATATTCATATCATTACACGCACAGTTTATCACGTCCTTTACTCTCTTGTCTAGCTTTTATATAACTATATATAGAAACATATTCTTCTATATATTCCGTGCTAATAGAGAAGTAACAAACCATGAAAAACTCTATAGCACCGATTATTCGACGTAATTTCATCAAGTATGCTTCGTCTGCTCCATGTCACGACTCTTGAACAAGGTGGAGGGAGGTGAGATTATCTATAGTAGAAAAGTGGGCGGAGCGAGCGACTATTGAAGATAAAACGATTCTAAATAAAGGCGGGGGCGTAGGAGGATAGGAGAAAAACTTTTTACGCCTAATAAACAAGCCTAATAAATGGCAAACAACATATATATCTCCAGAACACGCTCCAACGACAAACATGACAAACTGACGTGCGGCAATTAGACCGTACACAAACCGCTGTAGGCTTATACGCCTCAAGCAACTTACAAACGAGAGTGTTTTAAATGCAAAATCGATTTAACAAAGCGATGACAAACCGGAATATACTTTTTTCTCGGGTTTAATTACGATTAGACAAGAAGAGGTCGACTAGAAAGGAAATAGAGAAAAACAATCTACCTCATTCCTCCTTTATTTTCAAACCTTTCCCCACTCATTCTATCCACTCTTGCCGTATCAGACAAAAGAACGTCGCAAACAATATATCACTCTCCATTGCTCACTTCTTGCTCTTTAATCACCAGCAAACAATCAATGAATTCCGTGCACAATCTTCGTTTCGTCCTTCTCTTTTACACTCTATTTAATCGTAATCACCTTTTTTTTAATGATGTTTGCCACCTATCAATCATTATATTTAATTGCATTAAAAGCATTGACCTTTCTTCCGTCTTCATCTATCCAGCCTGAGGCCTAATTACGGACCAGTGACAAAAAACGTCATAGATAAATATATATATATTTATATATTTAAATATAGATATATTTTTCTATGTGGATTGATATAGAAAATGTGTGTCTATACTGTAATATTTAAGAATATCCAGAGTTCTACTATGTGTAATAAATGTTAATATATAATTTAATCTCTTTTAGTACGAATATACCCTGAATTCTTAAAGGTAATAAGAAATATGAGCGAACAAGAGAGAGAGAGAGAGGGCAAAAGGCAGGAAGAGAGGAAGAGGTAGAAAGACATCTGCCACTGAGCGTATATATGTACAGTATAAAATCTATACATCTCTCATAGCAAATATATAAAAGGTTTAGTTGGATTGTTATTTCCGCGTTATGTAAGCGGCAGGTACATAATACAGAATGTGATTAACAAATGAATAATATATTATGGAGTATATAAAATGCCATGGTTCGTTAGAAGACGCTACAGCCATTTTTAATTAACATTATTTCTCTAATGATAATAATTGACGTTGTCACGTTACTAAGGCGGTTGTGCAAGACACTTCCAACAAAAGGACTAAGATAAAAAAAAAGTAGCCTGTGCTATAATTATATTTTCAGAAGTGACTTAAAAATTGCGCGCAATGAATCTGCAAGAGAATACTGCAAAGTGTCGTCCATTTATGGCTTCGTGCTATTGTCTCGCTCAGCAACACTTTATTTCCAGCGTACAGCACTTGATAATAATTATTGATCGTTTTCTTAACGCCTTTATAACATAGTAATAACTGGAATTTTTGTCTTGTAATGAACACGAAGCCGTTTGTAAATAAGTGGAAAAGTAACACTTTTCGATTCCTAGAAAAGTGTATGAAGTCTGATGCGTACATTTCCTGAGTTGATATATAAATAATTCTATAAAACATATACAATTTAATTGATCTACTTTTATTTGAATATTCCTAGATTGTTTTTTAATTTCTTTGTTTTCCTCTTTGTTGTTGTTGTTTTTTTTAAAAAACAATAACTGATATATAAATTACATAGTTTTTAGTGTCTTGTACACAGTATATAGTTTATTCAAGTATGGTTATTAACTATGCACACACGTGCATATTATGTAAATGTTTCATAGAGATTAATAAACTAGGCAACATTCTCTGTCAGTATTGTATATATAAAAACTAGTATGTTTTGTAATTTATACCATTTAATGGAATTATTCGATATTGGATAAAAAAAATATGGTATATGGTGAGGAAACGACAACATTTATACTACATCAAAGGTGGAAAAAAAGCCACACTCTCAAATAGCGTATTCAATTAAATACAATATAGGCTATTTAGTTTAGGAAGTGATGTTTCTTATTAATCGCCTTTAATAATAGCCTTTGTAATTGCTGAAATATAATACGAAACAATTCATAGGAAAATATTTTCTAGTCATTAAGAAAGCAGAGAAGGACTTTTGTAAGATTAATCTAG